ACTCACGAGAGGCCATCGTAAACGTCGTAAATATCTAGAAAAGCGCGAAAGAGTCAAATGCCGACGTCCAGCGACGCGGAGGGATGCAGCGAGCAAAGAGAAGGTGGTGAATCCTGACCCGCAGAGACTTGTATATGCCCTCCCAACATGGGCCGCCTTTTGTTGTTTTCCCGCCATTGTCTTCGACGTGCGTAGAGGGACAAAAGGGACTGCCGCATTTGGAACAACACTCTGGACACGCTTATGGGCGCTTCACTATTACTCGGCTCTCTACCTTCCGCCACAGACGCGAATGGCAGGGTCTTGACTTCGTATTTCAAGCTCACAACTCGCGACCGCACTACTCTCCCATGATCGCCGAAATACGAGCATGTGGTCGAATCAAGTCCTCTTCTTGCGGTATGAACACAGCCGCAGTGGTGCATACAGGCCGTAAACCTCGGGCGATCATGTTCGCATGCCCTTTGTCCGGCCCCGCTCCGCGAAGCGAGCACCTTCACGACAATACTTCGCCGGAGCACATCGAGGTCTTTTGTGGGGAATATGACAATACGCACAGCACTGTGCCATGCTATCACTAACTGCGCATCGGAACCGGCGTGCATTCATGTCTGCCCAGTGCCAACACGTCGACGGTAACGGCATTGTAAATACCTGACATCGAGAAGCCGGTGTTCGTCGGATTGAGGTGCGTTGCATGCGGCTGGTCTCCCAGTGCTGTCGCACCCGCATGATGGTGCTGGGAAGTGGATGCAGGGCTCGGAGGAGACTGATCATAATTAAACGCGCATTTCGGTTGGTTCGGATACAATCGCAGAACTTCTCATTCCATCCATCCCGTGGCCCTCACAACTTCTGCGAGCGCAGGTTACCAAACCGCTTCTTGTATGCTTCGGTTACGTACTCCTACAGAAGCTCTTCATGAGTTACCAAGAGCGAGCAACGGAACCGTGCCCACGTACCTCATCGAACGTTGCCTTAAAGTTCGGCCGCGACTGCAACTCAGCCCAGTACTTCTCGAAGCGCGCGAAACGCGGCTCTGCGAGCTTCTGCAGGACGAAGGGCCCCTGGCCCTCTGGATACGCTCCGACGTCGTTCTTCAGCGCTACCTCTGCCCGTGCGAGGAACGGCGCAACCGCCACGTCCGCGATCGAGTAGGGGCCCACTGCGAAGCCTTCTGGTGCGAGGAGTGCCTGAATCTTTTCCACAGCGTTCAGGTAGTCGTCCGCGGAGCCGTTCCCACGTAGGAAGGCGTTCCAGGCCGGGACGAGCTTCGTGGATACCGCGTCAATGAAGAAGCGCGCTCTGGCGCGGAGGACGGGGTCCTCAGGCAGGAGGTGGGCGTGCGGGTAGAGGTCTGCGATGAACTCTACGAGCACGAGAGACTCGGCGAGTTTGGTGGAGTCGGGCGAGGGCTGGTCGGCCGCGACGTTGGGGCCGCCGTACGCGATCGCAGGGACCTGATGGGCAAATGATAGACTCTGTCAGGGGCGGTCGTCTGGCGTTGACCTTCTTGTATGCGCACCTTGCTAGCAGGGTTGACCTTTGGAGCGTACCATTGAGGCTTGTTCTGCAGATCGATCTGGTACTTGCTGTACTTCGCATTGGCTTCTTCCAGTGCAAGTTCGACCTGCGTACATCATTCACTGTCAATCCAGCTCTGGTCGGATCACCATGCGCTGCGTGCATACCCTGTGCGCATAGGGACAGATCTATGTTTCATAGTAGGTCAGGCAAACGTTACGCACTGCTATGTGATAGACGAGCGGTTCGTACAAACCTTTGCTGTGTAGAGGGTCAACGGCTGCGACATGTTGCGATTGTATTGCACAGATGCTGAGATGGTGGCGGCAACTTGTTCTTAAGAATGTTTCGTCCAAGATTCGGTGCATTATGAGGGCTCGCAACTGCTGTGATTAATAATGTTCTCACTGCCTTGGTCTTGGTCAGCTAATATTGCTTCGCAATCGCTTGACGTCATCTCCTCATAGTTCGACGCGATCGGGCTGCGAGGGGGTGTTCAGCGTTAACATTTCAACTCAGAAGACGAGCATTGCAAGTGTCCCGCATTGCAATTCGTCTAATAGTATCGATGACAACATGTCATCAAGTGATTACGCGCGGCCCAAATCTCGCCTTTTCACGACATTTAGTATCGACGTTCAGTATCATGATATACAACGTTTGCGATTGCAAGGACCGACCTACAGGCGGCGAATGTGTTCGACGGCTGCGGCACATACGCACTGAGGGACGACGGCAGAAAGTGCTTCGTACGAAAAAGAAACTAGCAGCGATGGGCTGCAGTAATCCATGAGACGTCTGAGGACACGCCTGCTGCGGAAGACAGAGATTGAGAGGAGAGTCCCAGAGTTGAATTGACGAAGTACAGAAGTCGTGAAGCCGTCGCGCCAGGCAGCCCTCAAGTTGCGATGCTGGTCAGACAGGTATTCCCATCGATGCTATTCCAGTCGCCCAAGTCGCAGTGGCAACGAATTCGCTAGATCTCAAGGCCTGAGGCCCAGGAGCTTTAGAGGCCTCAGGTGTCGCGCTTATCAAAATGGAGGTGCAGCCTTCGAAGATACTTTGCAAGTTTGTAGCGCAGTCGTCCGGATCATGCGGGATTGCCTTTCATAGCTTGAGTACTAGCACCGCGCAGAGCCCAGCCGGGCAAACACGATGCAAGATATACTTCGATCAGGCGGTCGTCCAGTGACCTTGCTCACACGATATGATTCTCCATGGAAGATCTGTATGAGCCTTGAGGCCGTTGTCGCTTAGCGTGGCCAAGTGAACCCGAGCACGGACCTTCAGCAACATATTGCGAGACTGCCACAATTCCTAGCATCTAGGTTTTCGCAAGTATATGCGCACGTAACAGTACTTGGCCTACGCACATATAACCGCAAGTTTAGCCTGTCGGCTGGCCCCCCTTTTATCTCATCGAGACTGCGAGTGGGCCGTTATCTTGAGACAGAAGGGTCTTATCGGCGCGTATCAGGAATTATCAGAAGACTATCATCCGAAAAGGAAAACCTTGCCACACTCGCGTTGCAGCCACGATCCACGTGAGCGTATTTCAAGGCGCGCCCACGGTTCAACTTGACCTCCCACCTTCCCTCCCGCCCCCATCAGCGCAGGGATCATCCACATCGCGCCCGTCCCCACCCAGTTCGAGCGAGAATAACCTCTATCAGTATCTGCCTTCTGCTATACTACGTGTCTTTCTCAACTGATAGCTATCGCCGCATCGCGCCTTTGTGAGCCACGCTTCTTCACGTCGTACAGTAGATCTTTCTCATTTCTACTACCCAAGATATCAACATGCAATTCGGAAAGCTCCTCGCGTTTGCTCACTCCCTCGTGACGATGGACGACGCGTCGCCTCCCATGGCCCAGCAACCCAAGCCAAGCTACCAGCGTGCCAACTTCGCCGCAATCCTGGATGGTAACTGGGAGATTTCGAGCCTTGGAGCGATGCAGTCAATAACAAAGAAGCACGAAGATGCTGTGAGTCACCATTGGACGGCTTTATTATTGACTGCACGCTCACCTCCAATGAACAGTCCGCTGAGGAATCGTTCCTTGACATGGACGACAATTTTTACGAAGTCGATGAGCCATGCATCGTGCATCCCGAAACCATAGACATGTCGCTCCGCTCGGATGAAGGTGAAGATGCGAGTCAGCAAAAGGTATGCACGAGCGGTTATCTCATCCTGTCGCGCCCGTTCTCACGGTATGTTCCAGATCGGAAAGGAGATATCATTTGAAGAATTCGAGCAGATTCATGCCATTACTTGGCAGCGTCTGTTCTGGGACCACTACGAAGAGCGAAAGGGAATGGTCGACTATAGTTTGTATGAAGACACTAAGCCAAACGTCGAGGTGAGTGTTGCGAGAGGTCTAGATCATAGACACGTACTCATCCATCTTGAATGGCAGGATACCTCCAAGGCCAAGGCAACAGTCATCTCTGAAGATGACGATGACGAAATGGCACCTGTCTTTTTGCCGAAGGACCTTCTCTCTGATCTAGGCGCAGAAGACATCGTCGGTAAGTATGATGTAATGGCCGGCGGCCATCACGAACTCGAAGCCCTTCCGAGTGACCAGAAGATGGTGAGTACAATGAACTTTTATATTGGTGACTGTGACTTACGACAAATGCGCAGTCTACCGACTTCCATCTCGATACAATCCTCAACCCTATCTGGGTCGATAGCGCCAAGGTCGGCGTACCCCAGGGGTCGTGGCCGACGTTCAACAAGAGCAACGCGAGCGAGCGCCGGCTACCGGTTTCGAACAATGCATGGACTAGTGGATGGTCCGACATCCCCCAGCCTCCGCGCAGAGAACAACCCGTCAAGCCCAACGTCAGTGTCATGCAGTCGAAGTGGCTTGGCGTCACGACGTTCGGTTCGTCGATTTGGTCCTCCTGCTCGTCTGCTTCGGGGTGGGACAACGCCCCGGTCGCCGCACCTGCTCATTCCGTCGACTCTCCGCGCGACCAGAGCTCCTCTCCGGCCTCATCCATTTCCTCGTTGCTCTCCTCGTCGGCACCCTCCATCCCCAGTCCTCGTAGCTTGTCGCCAATTCTTTCGGATGGCGCACTCAAGGCTCTCCCTAGTATTGAGCCCGGCTCCAAGTCGTACAGATCCTTTGAGGACGAGATCGGCGAGATCATGTTTGACTGTCTCTGACGTGATGACGCGTCATCCGCTCGTTCTGCGACATTGAGTGCGCTAGCTCAAATCGCGCATGCGCAAATAGCGGTACTTATGGTTGTAGAGAGGATGCGAACCCCAAGGTGCTGCGGGTAGAGGCTTGATGAAAAGCATTGAACAATGCGAAAAGTGTGGCGGGTGACGGTCTGACATGGACGAGAGAGGCAGAGGGGTGAAGTTTCTCCTGTCCCGTATATTTGTACTTGTTCGACTAGTCTGGCAGCGCTTGTTCCCTTTCTGTCTGTTATCTATTTCGTCTGGAATGTACATTGTGAGCGTGGCAATTTGTCTTGTGCAACGACGTTATCTGTCCTCACCTTCCGCAATACTCTCACTGAGAAAAGAATACAAGCAAGCCGCGTTCGCTCATCGTAGAGGACTTGGCTGATCCTCGGCTATAGCGGGCTCACCATTACGCTTCGCGCTTTTTTTGTGGATATATGCGACAGACAGCATCTGGCAGCGTAAGACAGCTGGCAGTTTTTTTGATGGGCCACAAAACGTGACACTTCCTCGTCACGGCTGTGACACGGGGCAGCAATATGCGTTGCACCGTGACGAAACACGCTCTTTTGAGTTTCACCGACGGTTTCCTGAGGACACTGCCCTTGCAAAGACGGTATCCGGCGTTGAAGTAGTTTCGAGGTGGTGGATTGGTACCGCTTCGCGCCGTGCATATCTCGCCGGGAATTTCTTCGCAAGAACGGACGGACTTTGAGATCACAGGATGCAGGCTTTGCGGCAAGAGATCTTGCCACCGAGCGGCGTGGAGTTTGCTGCCTGCTTGAAGCTGACTCCATCCACGCTGCCTGACAGCAAGCTCCCTGGATCAAGTGCTGGGTCGAGCCGGGTCCTCTTCAACGTCGTCGTCGCGCGGTCGAACCTCCTGCGCATCTTCGAGGTCAGGGAGGAGCCGGCACCGTTCTCGTCGCAGAAGGAAGATGAGCGCGACCGGCGGGCGAGCGTGCGGAAGGGCACGGAGGCGGTGGAGGGGGAGGTCGAGATGGACGTGTCGGGGGAGGGCTTCGTGAACATGGGCTCGGTCAAGGTGAATTCGAATACTGCTGGCTGTCGTCGCATAATCACAGACAAGACAATGAGATGCCGGATTTCCTATCTCAATCTCCCTGCCCATCGTGAGATGTGTGCGAGAGCTTCCAGACGTGATACTGATCATCCTTTGTGTCATCCTAGTCGACCGCTCAAAATGGCGCGGCTCATCCGCTCACTGTGAACCGGTTTTACTTGGTGCGCGAACACCGCCTGCATGGAATAGTCACAGGCATCGAGGGCGTCCGGATCATCACTTCTATTGAAGACAGCCTTGACAGGCTTTTGGTCTCCTTCAAGGATGCAAAAGTAGGTGCACTTCGCTACTCTTCGTGACGCATTCTAATACGTAGTAGATTGCTCTTCTAGAATGGTCAGAAGCGGTGCATGACCTCATAACAGTCTCGATACACACATATGAACGTGCGCCTCAGCTTGTAAGTGTAGTCCGGGATATTTCTCAGTAGCATTGCTGAGTGAAATATCAGCTTGCCATAGATGCTCCTCTATCTCGCTCGATCTTGCGAGCAGACCCGCTGTCTCGTTGTGCGGGTTTGTTACTTCCAAAAGACTCTATTGCTATCCTGCCTTTCTATCAGTCGCAAGCTGAGCTCGATATCATGGAACAGGAAACGAGTCAAGCAAGGTAGTGTGCTCGCTAATGCAAGAGTATACGACATTAATTTATGTCTCAGGGATGTGCCTTATTCGCCGAGTTTTATCTTAGATCTATCTGCGGAAGTTGACGAGCGCATTCGAAACGTGATCGACTTCGTATTCCTGCCTGGCTTCAACAATCCAACGATTGCCGTCTTGTACCAACACCCTCAGACATGGACCGGGTGCGCACTGACCTCCATTCAAATCTTTCTATACTCATGATTCTATGCAGGCGACTGAAAGAATACAAGGATACCGTTGGCCTGCTCATATTCACTCTCGACCTAGTGACGCGTCACTACCCCATGATTACCGCGGTTGAAGGACTTCCGTACGATTGTTCCATGATTGCACCATGTTCAACGGCTCTCGGCGGCGTGGTGATCTTGGCAAGCAACAGCGTACTCTACGTCGATCAGTCGTCGCGGCGAGTCATTCTCCCCGTAAACGGCTGGCCAGAGCGGATCAGCGATATGCCCATGCCGTCGCTCTCTCAGCAGGAGCAAGAGCGCGAGTTGCTGCTCGAAGGCTCGCGCTTTGCATTTGTAGACGACAAGACGCTGTACGTGATCTTGAAGGACGGGACTGTCTATCCGATCGAGATTATTGTGGACGGGAAGACGGTATCTCGGCTATCCATGGCTCCTGCTGTGGCACGCACCACGATACCCTCGGTTGTCAGAAGAACGCAGGATGACCATCTCTTTATAGGGAGCATAGTCGGTCCTTCTGTGCTGCTAAAGACTGCACGGCTAGAGGAGGAAGTGGCAGAGGAGGATGCGGAGATGTCGTCCGTGCCGGCCACAGTAGTCGCTCCACAGGACACAATGGATCTGGATGATGATGATGGTGAGTACCAGTACCGGTCGCGACGACGTTCTGGGCTGAAACTCTCGGCAACAGACCTCTACGGCACATCCAATGCGATTGAAGAGCCACGCGTTAACGGCAACCTCACGAATGGCAACGCCGCTCCGTTGAAGAAGCGAACAGTAATTCACCTCTCCTTGTGCGACTCAATCCCTGGGTACGGCCCGATATCCGACATGACTTTCTCAGTGGCGAAGAACGGCGTGAGTCGATCATTAAGCCCTTCACTTTGCTTCCTGCTTAACCCGATGGCAGGACCGCTATGTTCCGGAGCTTGTTGCCGCTACAGGGTCCGGTTCATTAGGAGGATTTACGCTCTGGCAGGTATGAGTGCCGATTTTCATATCATTCTGAACCGTTAGACATCTTCGGCGCACTTTTTCCGTAGAGAGATCTTCCGACACGGATCAAGCGCAAAATGCATGCCATTGGTGGCGGCCGTGGCATGTGGTCAATTCCGGTGCGGCAGGCGGTCAAGGTCAACGGGTCGACCTACGAACGGCCGGCGAATCCGTTTCACTCGGAGAATGATTCAGTGATCGTCAGCACGGATGCAAATCCCTCCCCAGGTCTCTCAAGAGTCAGTGGAAGATCTTGTTCGTAGATTGGTAGGCCTAACAGTAACAATAGATTGCAATTCGTAGCGGTCAAGGCGATATTCAGATAACTACTCGAATACCAGGAACTACCATAGGAGCTGCTTCTTTCTTCCAGGGCACTGCCATTCTTCATGTCATGTTCAACGTTACGAACGTTATACGAGTGCTGGAGCCCGGTACGCAGGGTTCTTGGGTTTTCATACCTTTGCTTACAATTACCTTAGATGGTTCGGAACGACAAAGTATCAAGGATTGGGACGGTAACGTTCCTCGACCGAAGATCAGGTATTGTAGTATATGCGACCCTTTCGTGCTGATCATCCGAGAAGACGACTCGATCGGGCTCTTCATCGGTGAGATCGAGCGTGGTAAGATCAGACGGAAAGACATGTCTCCTATGGGTGAAAAGGTTTGTCATATCGGCTTTGACCTTTGCCCAACAACCTCACACCTGCATGGTAGACGTCCAAATATCTGGCTGGAGGCTTCTTCACAGACAACACTGGAATTTTCCAGACGCAAGTCAACACGCAAGCCCCCGGCTCCGAGAACGTGACCTCTACATTGCAGGCAGCCATGAATGCCGGAAACAAGAGCCAATGGCTCATACTATGCCGTCCACAAGGCGTCATAGAGGTAATGTTACCTTGGTCAGTGGGCATTCCCTGCGACTCACCCAGATCGGTGCAGATATGGACACTTCCGAAGCTCTCACTTGCCTTCTCGACCGCTCTGGCCGTCATGTTGGAGCCCGTTTTGACAGACTCGCTTGATCCTCCTGCCCCTTCGCTTCCGCAGGAACCCCCTCGCAAGCCTCAGGAACTGGACATAGAGCAGATCGTAGTGGCCCCGCTAGGCGAGTCATCGCCTCGCCTACATCTCATGGTATGTCACGAGGCAGTCAGCGTCGTCCGAATGAATTTCAGCTTGTTGCGTAACAGGTGTTCCTGCGCTCTGGACAGCTTGCCATATACGAAGCGCTTCCCGCGCCACCGCCGATCGACCCCCTTCCTGCAAGTCGGGCATGCACACTCATGGTCAAATTTGTCAAAGTGCTTTCCCGAGCGTTCGACATACAGCACACAGAGGAGATGGAGAGATCAGTATTGGCCGAAGTTAAGAGGATTACGAGGCAGCTGATTCCTTTTGTATCGTCTCCTGCACCTGGGCAGACGTTCTCTGGAGTATTCTTCACCGGCGATCACCCATGCTGGATCCTGTCGACAGACAAAGGAGGCGTAAGAGTATTTCCCTCAGGGCATGCTGTCGTACACGCTATCACTGCGTCTTCCGTTTGGGAGTCGAGGGGCGACTTCCTTCTGTACTCGGAAGAGGTGAGGACTTTGGTTGATGGCACCTTCTCTTCAGCTAAATTACGTCTAATGGCACATTTGCAGGGGCCCAGCCTCATGGAGTGGATGTCAGACATCCAGCTTGACGGGCACCTGCCGTCCAGGGTTGTCCCACGGCCGAGACCATATACAAATGTCATCTTCGATTCATCTACATCTTTGATTGTCGCTGCCGCCTCTCGACAATCCAAGTTTGCCTCGTATGACGATGATGGGAACATCGTCTGGGAGCCTGATGGTGAGTTGAAGGTGTTAGCCGATGGCTGGATATTAATCTATCTAGCGTTGTCAGCTGGCAATATCTCATTTCCGACTTGCGAATGTTCTACATTGGAGCTCATCACCCCTGACGGTTGGGTTGTGATGGATGGGTAAGTAAGCTAGGTTACTTGATATACACATGTGACATGACAATCTCAGCCATGAGTTCGCCCAAAATGAGTTCGTCAATTGTATCGACTGTGTCACATTGGAAACTGCAAGCACGGAAAGTGGAGTCAAAGACTTCATCGCTGTTGGGACGACCATCAATCGTGGGGAGGATCTAGCTATCACCGGAGCGGTTGGTTTCTCAGCTTCACAGTAAGAGTTCATACTGATATTGTCTTTCAGTCATACATTTTCGAGATCGTAGAAGTCGTACCTGATCCGAAGTCTGCTCAAAAGCGATGGCATAGGCTGAAGCTGAAATGTCGGGATGATGCCAAAGGCCCTGTCACGGCCCTGTGCGGCATGGACAATTACTTGGTCTCATCGATGGGCCAAAAGGTACACTCGTCGGAAGATGCGATCCGCAGTAGCAATCTCACGCTATTTTTCAGATCTTTGTTCGCGCACTTGATTTGGATGAGCGATTAGTTGGCGTCGCTTTCCTCGACGTTGGCGTTTATGTCACTTCGCTACGTGCCGTCAAGAACCTTTTGGTGCTTGGAGATGCCGTCAAGAGCATCTGGTTCGTTGCTTTTCAGGTGTGGCCCAATTCTAATGCCGCGCTGAAGTACTCAATGGCAGCCGAGCAGGAGCACCCCTATAAGCTAGTTGTTCTTGGGAAGGACCCTTATCATGCCTGCGTGACTAACGCTGATCTCTTCTTTGCTGATAATCGCGTCTCATTACTCGTTGGCGATGAAGAAGGTGTTGTCAGGATATTCGAGTATGATCCTCATGGCAAGTGTCGTATTCCGCGATTGCCTGTCTTTCTGAAGTCCGTTCTGGTCAAATAGATCCTGATTCCAGAGGTGGCCAACACCTGTTGCGGCGCAGCGAGTTTCATGGACAAGTGGAATCCCGTACATCAATACTGATAGCTCACAGGCCGAACAAGGACATGGACATACCCCAAGCCAAGCTTCTATGCGGTATGGCTTTCGTTGCATAATTACACCTCGAGACCCAGACAGCGCTCTACAGGCTCCATCGACGGCTCTTTGATATCGTACACATACGTGGATGAGACGACCTCGAAGCGGTTACATCTGCTCCAGGGGCAGCTAACTCGTAACGTGCAACATGTGGCAGGGTTGAACCCGAAAGCTTTCCGGTAAGTCCATATGGTAGTGCCTCACACCGAACTCTGAGTCACGTCTTTCACAGGATAGTAAGGAACGACTATGTCTCGAAGCCTCTCTCAAAAGGTATTCTGGATGGTAGCCTCTTAGCAACCTTCGAAGATCTTCCGATTGTACGTCAAAATGAGGTTACTCGCCAGATTGGCACCGAAAGAACGACTGTTCTGAAGGATTGGCTGCGATTATATGGGGCATGGTGATTGTATGGCGTTTATTCTTACTGCTGTATCTATGATAATCGTATCGTGTTCTCATCGTTGGCAGAGTGTGGTTGTCCCAAGCGCTTGTAATCAGGAGCCACCTTGATGCAACGTTTCCTCTCTAGTTCCGTTCCTCGCGGTTGCCTGCATTTCCGGAGCTATTAATTCTCTTCACAAATGTTTATCACGGTCAGCCGCATGCATGCCACGCCATTACTTGCTGCAAATTTTTGCACTAAGCCCTCGTCCATCTACAATGAGCGCAGGCGCAATGGCGCCCTGTGGAGAAGTAGCGCTGATCATGCCGGATCGTCGTATTGACATCTATGGTGTCACTTCGAATTCTTCCGCTATGACGAGAGCGAGGTCGGTTCCGTCATTCGATCGAGTTCCTTCATCGTTGATGCGTTAGGGATCGAGGCTCGCGATCCGATTCTTAGTAGGACTAATCCTTCACAGTACCACCTTCCACGAGTTCCTGTCCACCTGCAGGCATAGACCAATCGGCTAGCGAGCAAGCGAGTTAGATGAAAACCTCATGTCAAGGCGGACACGCTCCCCAGCCCCCCATATAAACTGGCAAGACAATTGATGAGACTTGACTCCGTGTGCAACATGTTCTCGTCGCTGGGCTTCGACGCTATTAAACCCCATAAGAGCATGCGGAATGACTTTCCCTCCAAAGTGAGTATCGTATTCTGCGCAACTATGTCTGAGGATCTCATTGCCCTCAGTACTTTGAACTTCCCCGAGGTTTCTCTGTCCAAGTCTTTAAGAGCGCTGGACCATCTGTACCGGCTCCGCAGAATGTAGGAGGAAAGGTCGATGCAGCATCGTTTCGACCCCTTCCACCGAGGAAGACTTCCCCTCCTAATTTCGAGAGAAAACCGTCGCAGAGCGGCGCTGTGACATATCGTCCCGTGCTCCCAGTTAACGAGCGTCCGCTTGAACCGAAACGGTCCAAACCCAAACCGTACGGGATATACCCGACGGTCACCAATGACATGTTCATCTATGAGCGTTCGTTCACCTCTGCATCTGACGACTCGAGCAGCTCGCCGTCTTCGTCAAGTTCGGATCTTGAGTTCCACTCAGAGCTCACCGATTTCGCTTATCTGGAGGTCTCTTCGACGCGCGCCAGCAGCAGCACGGAGACCTTAGAGACGACCGCCCTCTCTGTCTATCATCCAGCGAGCGTCACTCGTCCACCGCTCCCTAGGTCGGCGTCGTCTTCGGATTGGGTACGCATCACGCCGGACGGATCTCGTGTGCTACCTCCTGGGCTACCTAGCGCCAGTCGCAGCGAAACAGCGAATTTTGAGCCGCCCAGCGTTACGCCGAGACTGGGTTCCACCGCTGCCATTCCTGCTGATATCCTCCTCGAAAACGAGAGCGATAGTGACACCTGCGTCGGTGACGAGGCTGACATAGGAACAGCACTGACACTACGAAACCCCGAAGCGAGGGAAGACGCGATGAGGCGCACGTATGCAACACCCCTACTTTCGCAGGCGGCAAGAAGATACTCCGATGAGCGTATAAGCACTACTCGGAATATCACCCGCACGAGGACCTCTGCAGATGAGCAGAACGTGGCTACCACGAGCCCTGTTCAGCAGTACAGACATAACGTCCCATCCGGCTCTCGCCCTACACCCGCCTTACCCCTACTACCCAGGGCAGGTGACAACGTTGAACCCTCTCCGCACTTTCCTCCGCAGGTCGCAACTCAAGCCAGGGCCCTTCCTGTCACTCCAGGCATGGCCCGATCTCTCTTTATGCAGAGGACTGCCAGCGGCGCAGGCTATCACGATGCACTCGGCTCTTCAGCCGTAACTGATGGGCGTACATCCAACGTGGCCGTTTCCTCCTCGTTGCCATCTGCAATGCCATCGACCACAAACGGCAACGTGCCCCATGCGTCTGCTTTGGCAAAATCGCCCTCGGAGGGAGCTCTGGTAGTTGCAACTAAGCGATGCGTGCGATGGACGGAAGATTTGATGTGTCCGTGCCCCCTACCACAAAGCGAGCGTCGTACAGGATGGTTCAACCGCCGCGGGTGAGTTGTCAATAGTTCTTCAAGTGCTCAGTGCTTACGATATCACAGAGACCAGCTGTGGACTAACGCTGGGAGGTTTAAGCCCCCCGAAGCTGGCATGGAATACCCCCCAGATCTCATCGTGCGTTCCTCGCCCTTGCCTCATGATGCTAGATACTCACCTGCGCTTCAGGGATACCCTGAGCCACACACCGGGTGGATGAACGAGGAGGGCGTGCGCATCGACATGGAGCATCGATTGATACCCAAGCCACCCATTCGCTCAGCATTGAAGCGTCCTAAGACAAACCTAGAATCCCAGCCGGTGATGCAATAAGCATCCCGCCACGTTGAATATGGCATTTGGAGTCTTTGATATGTAACTTTATTGATGATTACTATTATGACCTCTGCCCAGAGCGGTAGTATATATCCTTGTGTTCCTGGTCGCACCAGATGTGATAGTGACGATATTCTGTACAGCTGTTAGTCCGATATACTTATTACATCCTCTTGTTCAGCCGTTGACCTGCTGTTGTTCGCCGATCCTGTAGCTCTCCTTGTATCCATAGTTCGAGGTATCTTTCTTGATGGCATACCGCGACGTAACGAGAACTCCCAGTCAACGGCTTCCGTTTCTTCATCACTGCCACCCAGGACAATGATCTCGCCTCCAGCAGCATCTACGTCTGGTAAGTCGGCATCTTCTCCATGATCGTAGACTTGAGCGGATAGTGCGGTTTGCGTCGACCTTTTCCTCTTTACACCGCTTGGCTTAGGGTAATCATTAGCATTGGAATGTCTTGCCTTTTCGCGGGACTTCTCCTGTTTCCTCGTCTTACTCGGAAAGCAATATTCCATGGGAGGACCTTTATGTCTCTCCTGGACGTCATTCCTTGACAACCGAGTAAACCGTGCAGCGTTCGGGCCGGGGCAGACATACACGTTGACGCTGTATGGGGTTGCGTGGAAGTCTTCTTGGAGATAGCGCTGGACGAGCAGATGCGTGCAAAGCAGCTCCGTTTCCTGTCGCAACCGCCGCTTGTTAGTTCCGAAGCTTATCACACGGCTACTGAGCTATCACAGACCTCTTTCGCTAACTCAACCTTCCCACCGGCAACCTCCTCGAGGTCAAGCGCAATTCTCTCCTTTTCCTTACCGCGGCCTCTGCCTTTTTGGCTGCTAGTCATGGTAAAGCTAGCGCCGCCTGATCCTCTAGCGAGGTCGGCCAGTTGGGCAATAGTAACGCGCCCTCTGGCGTCTTGCACGGCCTCCGCGACATGCAGGATCTGCCACGCGTGCAGCCTCACGTCCAATCGCTTAACTGACTCCGGAGCGCGCGTGCAGTTGTCACAGTGCCCGCAGCGCTCTAGTGCGTCTGTTTCCTGCGTCGTCCACGATGCAACGGACAACTGTGACGAGGCAGAAAAGTAGCTGGTTGTGCATGGTCAGCGCGAGGCAATAGGCGAAGTGATGGTGCGTACTTGGCGAACTGGATTTTGCGGCACTCCTCCATGTCTTGTGCGAATCGGAGCATCTCATGTACTGTTTCGCGTGAGATGGTAAGTAAAAGATATTTGACTACAGCGCACGTTTGCTCTGCCCGTTCACGTCGTTCAGCACTAGTTGTGAAAGGCGAGTGGCGTCTTGCGGTCTGTAGTACAGCACACAGTCCGCATCGTTGCCATCACGTCCAGCACGTCCAGACTCCTGATAGAAGCCCTCGACCGATTTCTGGACCAAGTCATGCCACGAACCTCAGCAAATTATACAGGCAATCAAGTCTGGCACACATACCGGCAGCTGCACATGAGATGTGCACCGTCAATGGACTGCATAGCCATACATGCGAGCTGACGTACAGAGTGATGCAGCACGAAACGAACATCTCCTTTATCGATCCCTAGCCCAAACGCTATGATAGAAAGTGAATACTGGAGCGGGCACGCGCATGCATCCCGGCTCACCGATTGTTGCGCACACGACCTGGACCTCGCCTTTTCTCCACCGGTGGTGAAGGTTCTGCTTTGCCTTGTCAGGGATCTCCGCATGGTATACTCCTGTCCTGATTTGATTTTCGCTCGCGGCAGCGAGTTCTGACGCAACGCTTTCCGCCTCCTATTCGACGCGTATCAGCTGCATGAAGAGTACACGTTAACGGTGACGGTTTCTCACTTTTCTGCTGAGGCAGTAGATGATCCCAGATTGGCCACGATGGTGATCAAGGATGTAGTCCTTCAAGGTGGCAATAACCTGCGCATTCGCAGACGGCTTCGGCAGTACAGAATAATGCAAGTTCTTCCTGTAGAGTGGAGCCGAGAAGTAGACAGTTCCCTTGGTCCCGGCAGCTACAGGAAGTGAATATGGCATGGGTGACTAGAGAACTGTTTGTTGCAGGATAACTGACCGTTCCCGTCTTCGACAGGTTGTCTCATACCCAGCGTCTTCATCACGTCGAGAAGTATCTTGGGTGGGCACGTCGCTGATAATGCGAGAATTGGCACGCGAGGGAATAGTTTACGAAGGATGTTCAATTTCTTGTAGTCGGGTCTGTCACGTATGCGTTCCAGAATAAAATCAACGTTTTCCATTACTCCATATGTGGCGCACCTGAAATCATGACCGAGCTGCGAAACGCAATGCGCCTCATCTATTACGAAACGCTCTATATCAAAGGTCAGCACATGTCGTCCACGCTTGGGAATAACAAAGAATGTACCGAGTCTGTTCCCGTTGTAAATCTTCTCAAAGAGCACTTGCAATTTATTACTCTTGGCAAGCATCTCCGGCTGAACCACATGGAATGTGATAATGCTGCCAAAGAAGGGAGAACGCAGTTGGAATGACTTACGGTAACATACATGAGTTTGTATTGAGGGAGGCCATTCGCTCTGCCGGAAGCCATGGCTTCAAGTGCACGGCGGATGTTTGCCATTTCCCCCTTAGGTGTGGAGCCGTTGATCATGCAAGCTTCGACTGTCGAATGCAAAGTCAGAGATGTCTCGCATACATAAGGAGATTCTACAAACCTCCTGATTCTTGCAGGTGCAGAATTTGATCAGTCATCAGCGACAGCAGGGGCGATATGACCACGGTGAGGCCCGGCATGAGGAGCGCAGGCAGCTGGTATGTCAAAGACTTCCCACCGCCCGTTGGCATCACGCACACTGCGTCTCTACCATCCATATTTGCATTACAGACGCTGTAAGGCACGTCAATCTCGTCTCTTATGCATGCCGCTCAAGCTTACCCTTCCTGGCAAAGACGGAAATTGTCAATACCGAACACAGCCTTCATCTTCGCCCTGAGCCCACTTGTCCATTCGAACTCCGCCATGTAGTCGATGGTGTTACTCGGCCTTGCTGGGCCTTTCCCCTTGATATCAATAGGAATCCTGGCAGCAGCATGCGCCTTCTCGAGCTTGGCTTGTACTTCTCTCTTCTCTGCAAACAGAGACTCGCGCGACTTCTTGAGCTTCGCAATATCTGCGTCAATATCGCTTATCTCAGCATCGATCTGTGCTAGGCGTCCCTTGAGGTCATCTCTATGCACAAATGATGGCCTGTTTGACGCATTGGATGGACCAGCCACCACAGTGGCACGTCCGTCCTGCAAGGACAGAAACTCTGCAAGGGACATATCCAGCACATCTTGTATTTCAGACTATAGCACAAGTTTGAGACACGAACCAAATTGATCATAATCGACAAACGCACCGCGTCTGAGTCAAGCGCATCTGGCAAGTCTTCGTCTTCAAAATTCATCGTCAATAAGACAGGTGTTTCATCCGGATTTTCCTTCGACGGGTTTGAATAAGCAGTGATAAAATAGCACTCAAGTGAGACTGGAGTTCTGACTATGTTCAGAACAACATGGCGGCAGTCCGAACGCGACCTTAACAGTCACTAGAGGATCTGACACGATCACGTGATTACCTCCCGAAAGTAAACCATCATCTATTCTGCTTGCCTTGCCTAAGTGCCTATACGACCACACCATTGCACCCAACGCGTCCCACTCATTACCTGGCCGCTATTTGTCTTTGGTTCAAAACGCGGAATATAAATTGTATGTTCTAAAAGACACGATCACGTGACTCAATTTATGTCGCGTTCGACGCGCCACGTTCGTAGGATGTTTTGGGGCATATACATTAACTTGACGTTTGCGGAGGTAAGGGGCCGGGTTCGGTGTTCAATTAAGATGACATATGTCGCTTTATATAGCTGAAGTAGCTAAAGGTAGCATTGCATAAAGTGCTCGGTGGCTTCCGAGACTTAAGTCAAGCTTCAAGCTCAAGCTTCATGCATGCATGAACGGGACATTCTCTCATATCACGCGAAATCCTCAGATGGTCTAGCAAGACCTAGTGTGTATTAAGATTTTTCCATGGTTTGCCACCAGCATGAAGAATACATTAGTATTATAACTAGCTCATGCACTAAAGTACTTGCATACCCGATCATGTTTACCATGACTTGTTATGGTGTCGTGCGTTCGGATTAGTAATACTATATAGGCATAGTGCGACGGTTCTCGTGCAATTCAACATCTTGTACCCATCGCATCGTTGATATAATAGGCCATAGATTTGGTAGACGACCGTCCACCTCGTTCCACAACTCGCGTACGTTCGCAGTGAGCCAGGGACCTGCCGGACCTGAGTCACTACTTATCGAACAGTTGCATGTGAGAGAGCTCGTGAGTCAATTAGTGTTGAAGATGCCCCAGCGTCTGTGTACTGATCATACTTTCACTCTGGCAGCACACTCCCTCCGAGTCCTCTATCGCCGACATGGATCACCATCCGAGTCTCTCATCGCCATGTCTGCCCACCGAAATATGCGACTACATACTCGATCACCTATGGGACGACCACGAGACCCTCAAGGTCTGCAGCCGCGTCACGCGAGAATGGCTCCCCACGACTCGGAAACATCTTTTCTCTTTCGTCTTTATCATCAACCTGCGGGTCGTCACATTTGCGGAAATGATTATGCACTCAGGAGACGCGCTGGCGTTCTGCGTCCGCCAGCTGTTCTTGGTTTGGTACCTCGGCCAGCGTGGCATTAATCCCGTCCCAAAACCCACCTTCGTGCCTCGAATGCTGGCATCTCTCGGCCGGCTGGAGAAGCTCACCCTCCGTGTTTACATGTTGGACAATTGTAGCTCTTCCGCAGAGACTATAACGTGGCCGATACTGCCTGTGGTGAAGACTCTTCGCCTGCGCATCGACATCGTCAACGACGTCGTACGTCTGCAGCGATTCATCTGCGCATGTCCCTCGCTCTCCTCCCTGAAGCTCTGGATAACGCAAACCTCAAAGTGCGACAGCTCGCACACCCATCCTACAATGGTCATCTCGAGATCGATAGTAATCGAGACTTTTCAATACCATGTCTGCGAGTCAGACCCCATACTGAGATGGTTGCTGCAGGGCGGTCTGAAGCTGCGCATACGTCGACTGGCAATAATTGTACCCGACCTTACTCCAACTCCGACCGCAGTCAATTTTTTCAGGACAGGCGACGCCCAAGCCCTGTTGCGCGCATGTGGTGAATGTCTGGAGCATCTTATCGTCGAGTGGCCAGAAACGATCTCTCCCGGTTCACCAGATGGGCAACAAGCTTCGGCGTTGGCGCACAATCCGAACCTAGTCTCGATCTACGTGTCGAGCGTATGGTGTGGTTTTTCCGTCAACGATGGCTGGCTGGGCCTGTTCTCAGTCCTTGCCGATATCGAGCCAATGCACACTAAGCTGCAGTCAATCGACATCACGTTAGTTGCGGCATTCAAGCCGGATTCCACAATTTCGCTTTGTGAGCAGCTTGATGCCGCCCTGGCGCGAATTGCGGATACCCACCCGCGGTTGATCTTCACCATATGGATAACCTGCAACCTTCGTATACCCGCGCCATGGCTGGCGGAGTTCGTCAAAGTGCTTTTGCAAGGCTTGGTCAGGGTGCAGGCGGGACCGGGCAGACTCTGTTTGATGTGGCTGAACGGTTACGATGAGATCAGAGAGTTAGGTCACCGTACGAAACCGTCCTGGTATTGGCAGTGGTGATGCGGCAGGGCCCGTTCATCCAACTTTCCTCCTTGGCAACACCTTCTATGTACATCAGTTTTTCGGACTTTCCTTGTTACGTGCTTCGGGCTATCCGGTTCGTAGATTTCATCGACTTGCCTTCCACCTGTGCGTGAGTCGCAGGGCCTTGACCCACAATTTTAAGGAATATTGTCGATTGGGACAGCTTTTTCATGCGAAACAGATTATACCAAAAATTCTGGGAGATTGCAACTTGCGCACCTCCTCGACCTCCTCTGGCATGAGCTCTATCATATGCATTGCTAAGTTTGAAGCAACAGTTGCTTTTCGACTACTCATCTTTGATAAGGCTCGCATCCGGAAAAGTCATATCCGGCTTATGACACTTTTATCTGTTGGAATCTGGGCATGGAGCGCAGATGTGAGAGGCCCCGGTGCGACCTGCGCCACCGGCGTGGGAGAGTAGTAGCGCGCGTGTATATAATAGGGCGCGGCTACAATGGGACGGGCCATCGGTTTGGCCCCGTGGAGCCATCTTCTAGAGAGCAGGCGACTCCCGAACTCCTGGCCGCGCAGCGGGCTGGCCGGGAAAGTCAACATTATCCGCTTGCCATCATCAAAAAAGACAGTAAGATCAAGAAAGTCGGGCCAAAGCCAGAGAGAACAAGTCAAAAAGGAGATATTCGAAGTTTCCTGATGCCGGCCGGGGTGCCAATTGCAAGCATGCACCACGTGTGATTCGATGGATGATGGATCTGGTAGACGACCGTTCGCCTCAGACCTCGTTCAACTCACAGCTCCCGCACGTTCACAGTGAGCCAGAGACCTGCCGCACCTGAGGCTTGTCGCTATATATCGAACAGTCGCATGTGCGGGAGCTCGTTTGTTAGTGTTGAAGATGCCTCCGTGGAGTCTGTGTGCTGATACCTCCGTTCGCTCTGGCAGTATGTTCAAGTCTTCCATCGCTGACATGGACCACTGTCAGAGTCTCCCATCGCCACGTCTGCCCCCCAAAATATGCGACTACATACTCGATTACCTATGGGATGACCACAAGACCCTCAAGGTCTGCAGCCTCGTCACGCGAGAATGGCTCCCCACGACGCGGAGACATCTATTTCATTCCGTCCGTATCAGCAACAACCTGCAGCGCATCGCGTTTCAGGATGTGATTCTGCACTCAGGAGATGCGCTGGCGCTCTGCGTCCGCCGGCTGTTCTTGCTTTGGAGTGACCTCGACAGTCCCTTCCGACCAATACCCACCTTCATGCCTCGAATGCTGGCATCTCTCGGCCGACTGGAGGAGCTCACCCTCCGTTATTCCGTGTGGGATGCCAATTGTTACTCTTCCACAGAGGCGACTACGTGGCCGGTACTACCCATGGTGAAGGCCCTTCACCTGAACATCGGCACCCTAAATGACGTCATAAGCCTGCAGCGATTCATCTGCGTATGCCCCTCGCTCTCGTCCCTGAAGCTCTGGATAACCTCGCAGTCCGATGGCTCGCACACCCATTCTCCAACAGTCATCCCGAGATCGATCCTGATCGACATTTTCCAATCTAGTGTCCGCGAGTCAGACCCCGTACTCGAATGGCTGCTGCAAGGCAGTTTGAAGCTGCGCGCACGTCGATTGGCGATTACTGCATGCGAAAATCTGACCTCAGTGAATTTCCTCAAGACGGGCGATGCCCAAGGCCTATTGCGCGCATCTGGTGAACGTCTGAAGCATCTTCTCATCATTTTGTTGCCCATGCGACAAACCTTGCCCGCTACATCAGATGGTCAAAAAGCGGCGTTGGCGCACAATCCGAACCTGGTCTCCATCTATGTCCTGGACGTATCCTGGTCGTTCCCCAGTGGCTGGCGGAGTCTGCTCTCAATCCTTGCTGACATCCAGCCAATGCACACCAGGTTGCGATCGATCGACATCACGTTTTTTACGACAAGAGAGTCGGATATCACAAGAATGCCTTGTGAGCAGCTTGATGCCGCCCTGGCGCGAATTGTGTATACACACCCGCGGTTGATTTTGACCGTATGGATAAGATGCGATTGTGACGAACCAATGCCATGGGTGGCGGAATTCGTTGAAGCACTTTTGCAAAGCTTGGTCAGGGTGCAGGCGGGGCGGAGCAGACTCTGTTTGATGTGGCTGAACGGTCACGATGAAAACAGAGAGTTCAGGCACCATACGAAACCGTCCTGGTATCGGCGGTAGTGATGTGGCAGGGCTCATTCGTCTGACTTTCCTCCCTTGGCGTATCTTTCACGTACATCACTCTTTCGGAATTTTCCCTCCAGGCTCAAGATTGAGCTGGGAAAATTTCCCACCCAGGTTCAGCCTGGTTAGTGTCCACTCTTGCGACACGTACTCGTTGGGGATGCAGCTCTGGAGTCTCGTCTTCGGCTGGTCGTTACGTTCTGGTAGGTCAACGATCTCCGCAAACCAGAGCCATGATTACCGGCTTTTACGGAATCTTTTCTGGATGAGCTGCCGCGGATGCAGGCCCAGCGCGGGAGACTGGCTTTGATGTGGATGAATGGTCTTGCTGAAGTGCAAGAGTTCGGATGTCCTCTTGGTCTTGATGTTGAGGTGAGGGTTTACCTATCCGATCGCCGTCAGTTGCCTTTATCTCTTGGGTGGGGCCCTTCTGAAGTTGGACTTGTTTGCTTGTTCTTTCGATTAGTGTTTTGATGTAAAATAACGGTCTCAAAATTACCTCAGGTTCTATGCAAAACTTTCCACGGGTGCTGACACGGGTTAAATGATGAATCATGATATCTATACAACGTGAAATTCTGGGTTGATGCATTGTGAACTGCGACAAAGTAGATACGCAAGTTTGAAGCAACAGTACTTTCAAAGCTTCCTGCGGGATAGGGCCACAGGCGCCAATTGCACCGCGTGATAGTGCCGGCTGCTCTCTTGCTCGCTGACCACGATTTACTCGTTGACCACGTCAATCGTTTTTTGGTGTCTGCCTCGCTCAACACAACTCCTGCTCGCTCGCAGTGAGCCAGATACCTGCCGCACCTGAGGCTTGTCACTACTTATCGAACAGTCGCATGTGTGAGAGGTCATCTGTTAGTGTTCAAGATGCCTCAGTGGCTGTGTACTCATACCTCCGTTCGCTCTGGCAGCACGTCAACTCCTCCATCGCCGGTATGGACCACCATCCGAGTCTCCCATCGCCACGTCTGCCCACCGAAATATGCGACCACATACTCGATCACCTATGGAACGACCGCAAGACCCTCAAGGTCTGCAGCCTCGTCACGCGAGAATGGCTCCCCACGACTCGGAAACATCTTTTCTCTTTCGTCCGTATCATCGACCTGCGGCTTGTCACATTTGCGGAAATGATTATGCACTCAGAAGACGCGCTAGCCCTCTGCATCCGCAAGTTGCTGATGGTTTGGGGTCTCAACGAAGAAGTCCCGATTCCCACCTCCATACCTCGAATGCTGGCGTCTCTCGGCCGGCTGGAGAAGCTCACCCTCTATGTTTCCACGTGGGATGATTGCTACTTCTCCACGGAGACTATAACGTGGCCGGTACTGCCCATGGTGAAGGCTCTTGACCTGAGCATCGGCACCGTAAAGGACGTCATAAGCCTGCAGCGATTCATCTGCGCATGCCCCTCGCTCTCGTCCCTGATGCTCTGGATAACCTCGCAGTCTGATGGCTCGCACACCCATTCTCCAACAGTCATTTCGAGATCGATCCTCATCGACATTTTCCACTGTCGTGTCCGCGAGTCAGACCCCGTACTCGGATGGCTGCTGCAAGGCGGTTTGAAGCTGCGCGCACGTCGATTGGCGATTATTGCAAGCGAAGATCTGGCCTCAGTGAATTTCCTCAAGACGGGCGACACCCAAAGCTATTGCGCGCATCTGGTGAACGTCTGAAGCATCTTCTCATCATGTTGGTGCCACAGACCTTGCCCGCTCCACCAGATGGTCAACAAGCAGCGTTGGCACACAATCCGAACTTGGTTACCGTCCACGTGTCGAATGAATGTTATGATTATTTGGATGACTTGCCATCCATTAATAACTGGCCGACCCTGCTCTCAATCCTTGCCGACATCCAGCCAATGCACACCAGGTTGCGATCGATCGACATCACGTTGTTTACGACAAGAGAGTCGGATATCACAAGAATGCCTTGTGAGCAGCTTGATGCCGCCCTGGCGCGAATTGTGTATACCCACCCGCGGTTGATTTTGACCGTATGGATAAGCTGCTATTTTGGTGTACCCGTGCCATGGGTGGCGGAATTCGTTGAAGCACTTTTGCAAGGCTTGGTCAGGGTGCAGGCGGGACGGGGGAGACTCTGTTTGATGTGGCTGAACGGTTACGATGAGATCAGAGAGTTAGGTCACCGTACGAAACCGTACTGGTTTTGGCAGTGGTGATGTGGCAGGGCTCATTCATCTGACTTTCCTCCCTTGGCATACCTTCCACGTACATCACTCTTTCGGACTTTGCTTGTTACGCACTTTGGACTATGGTTTATAGATTCCACTGGACTACCTTCCACCTGCGCGTGAGTCGCAGGGCCTTGTCCCACAGTTCAAAGCTCATTTATGCAAAACAGGTTATACACAATCTCCAGAGATTCCAGATAGCATGCTCTTAGACTGCTCATCCGCCGAGATACCTGCTTCCCTTTCGTAGGCGTGCGCGCACACAGAACGGCAGCGCCGTTCGCCCACTTGCGCATCTCCTCCACCTCCTCTGGCGTAAGCTTGCTATAGGTATTTTGGGACAGAGTGAAGCTGCGCGCATATGCATCCACCTGCCACGTCCAGTACACCATCATCGGCGTTCTCTCTTTCGACGGGCTACATCCATGATCTGGTAGAGGCAGCCGGTGAATGCCTAGAACTCCTCGTCGTCACACGCGATATCGATACTGTGCCATTCCTCGAGATAACCAGCAGTCTCGTGCTGCACTGGTGCACAGCCCCAATTTTGTCTCCCTTCACGTACTCGACGTCTCATGCATCATGTCCCGTGTCGTACGCTTGGAACAGCTTGAAGTCGATCGTCGACGACGTTCAACCCGTGCAATATACCAAGCTTCGGTCGATCGACATCTTACTCAAGCCGACGAACGAATCTGCCGCGACATGTACTCGTTGGGGAGGGGGTCGCGTCCTCGGCTAGTCGTTACGTTCTGGTTGGTCAACGACCTCCGCAAACCAGAGCCATGGTTACTGGCTTTTACGGAATCTTTCTGGATGAGCTGCCGCGGATGCAGGCCCAGCGCGGGAGACTGGCTTTGATGTGGATGAATGGTCTTGCTGAAGTGCAAGAGTTCGGATGTGGTCTGGCGTATCCCTCTGACTCCTGAGTCTTCATGTTGAGGTGAAGGTTTACTATCCGATCGCCGTCATTTGCCTCTATCTCTTTGGTGGGGCCGTTATGCATGCTCAGTTGGACTTGTTTGCTTGTTCTTTCGATTAGTGTTTTGATTTAAAAATAACAGTCTCAAAATTACCTCAGGTCCTATGCAAAGCTTTTGACGGGCATTCACACAGTTTAAATGATGTATCATGATATCTCTACAACTTGAAATTCTGGGTTGCTGCATTGTGAACTGCAACGAAGTAGATACACAAGTCTGAAGCAACCTGAATGACTTCCTGCGGGTCGTGCTACGATAGGCCCGGGCGCCAATTGCAAGTGGCTGTTCTTTTGCTCGCTGACCACGGTTTACTCCCTGACCACGTCAATCATTTGGTGTCTGTCTCATACAACACAGCTCCAGCTCGTTCGCAGTGAGCCAGAGAGCTGCTGCATCTTGGGCTTGCCACAACTTATCGAAAAGTCGCATGTGAGAGAGGTTAGTGTTAGCCTAATGCCTTGTCTGTGCGCTGACACCTCCGTTCGCTCTGGCAGTATGTTCAAGTCTTCCATCGCTGACATGGACCACCGTCTGAGTCTCCCATCGCCATGTCTGCCCGCCGAAATATGCGACTACATACTCGATTACCTATGGGACGACCATAAGACCCTCCAGGTCTGCAGCCTCGTCACGCGAGAATGGCTTCCCGAGACACGGAGACATCTTTTCCATTTCGTCCGTATCATCAGCAACGAGCGGCGCGTCGCCTTTGAGGATGTGATTTCTCACTCGGGAGGCGCGGTGGCGCTCGGGGTCCGCGTGCTGGACTTATGGGAGCGTAACACGATTCCCGTCTCCCTGCCTCAAATGCTGGCATCTCTCGGTCGGCTGGAGAAGCTCACCCTCCGTGTTTACGTGTTGGACGATTGTAGCTCATCCGCGGAGACTATAGCATGGCCGGTACTGCCTATGGTGAAGACCCTTCACGTGAAAATCAGCGTCGTCAACGACATCGCCAGCCTGCAGCGATTCATCTGCGCATGTCCCTCGCTCTCCTCCCTGAATATCCAGATATGAAGAACATTAAATTGCGACGACTCGCACACCCATCATCCAACGGTCAACCCGAGATCGATAGTGATCGAGACTTTCCAATGCACTCTCCGCCAACCAGACCCCGTGCTAAGATGGATACTGCAGGGCGGCCTGAAGCTGCGCATATGTCGACTGGCGATTACTGTACCCGTCCGTACTCCGACCTCAGTCAATTTTCTCAGGACGGGCGACGCCCAAGCCCTGTTGCGTGCATGTAGTGAATGTCTGGAGCATCTTATCTTCGAGTGGCCACAAACGATCTCCTCCGGTTCACCAGATGGGCAACAGGCTTCGGCGCTGGCGCACAATCCGAACCTAGTCTCGATCTACGTGTCGAGCGTATGGCGTGGTTTTTCCGATGACGGGCCGCTCAACGATGGCTGGCTGGGCCTGCTCTCAATCCTTGCCGATATCCAGCCAATGCACGCCAAGCTGCAGTCGATCGACATCTCGTTATTTACGGCATTCAAGCCGGATTTTATAAGTTTGCTTTGTGAGCAACTTGATGCCGCCCTGGCGCGAGTTGTGGATATTCACCCGCGGTTGATCTTGACCGTATGGATAAGATGCAATTGGGATAAACCAATGCCATGGCTGGCGGGATTCGTCGAAGCACTTTTGCAAGGCTTAGTCAGGGCGCAGGCGGGGCGGGGCCGACTCTGTTTGATGTGGCTGAACGGTTATGATGAAAACAGAGAGTTCAGTCACTGTACGAAACCGTCCTGGTATTAGCGGTGGTGATGTGGCAAAGCTCGTTCATCCAACTTTCTTCCTTGGCAACACCTTCCATGTACATCACTCTTTCGAACTTTGCTTGTTACGCACTTTAGACTATAGTTTATAGGTTCCACTGGATTACCTTCCATCTGCGCGTGAGTCGCAGAGCCTTGTCCCACAGTTCAAAGCTCATTCACGTGAAACAGGTTATACACAATCTCGAGAGATTCCAGATAGCATGCTCTCAGACTGCCCGTCTGCCGAGATACCTGCTTCCCTTTCGTAGGCGTGTCCGTGAACAGAACGGCAGCGCCGTTCACGTTACGTGTGCTGTTCGCCCACTTGCACGCCTCCTCGATCTCCACCTCCTCCGGCGTGAGCTTTGCATAGGTTTTCCGGGACAGAGTGAAGTTGCGCGCGTATGCATCGACCTGCCGCGTCCGGTACGCCGTCATCGGCATTCTCTCTTTCGACGGGCTACATACATGATCTGGTAGAGGCAGCCGGGGTACGCCTATAACACCTCGTCATCACCATGCGAGATCGATACTGTCCCATTCCTCGCAGCAGTCTCGTGCTACAACACTGGTGCACAACCCCAATTTTGTCTCCCTTCACGTACTCGACGTCTCATGTCTCGTGTCGTATGCTTGGAACAGCTTGAAGTCGATCCTCGACAACGTTCAACTCGTGCAATATACCAAGCTTCGGTCGATCGACATCTTACTCAAGCCGACGAACGAATCTGCCGCGACATGTACTCGTTGGGGAGGGAGTCGCGTCCTCGGCTAGTCGTTACGTTCTCGTTGGTCAACGGCCTCCGCAAACCAGAGCCATGGTTACTGGCTTTCATGAAATCTTTTCTGGATGAGCTGCCGTAGATGCAGGCCCAGCGTGGGAGACTGGCTTTGATATGGATGAGCGGTATTGCTGAAGTGCAAGAGTTCGGATGTGGGAGTCTGGCGCAGCCCTTTTGGTCTTCATGTTGAGGTGAGAGTTTACCTATTCGATCGCCGTCAGTTGCCTCTATCTCTTTGGCGGGGCCCTTATGCATGCTCAGTTGGACTTGTTTGCTTGTTGTTTCGGTTACTGTTCTGATTTAAAAAATAACGGTCTCAAAGTTACCTCAGGTCCTATGCAAAACTTTCTACGGGCGTTCACACGGGTTAAATGATGTATCATGATATTTATACAACCTGAAATTCTGGGTTGATGCATTGTGAACTGCGATGAAGTAGATACGCAAGTTTGAAGCAACAGCAGTTGCTTCCTGCGGGTCGTGCTACGATAGCCCCGGGCGCCAATTGCAAGCGCATGCTCCCACGACTCTTTACTCACTGACCACGTCAATCATTTGGTGTCTGCCTCATTCAATACAGCTCCCGCTCGTTCGCAGTGAGCCAGAGAGCTGCTGCATCTTGGACTTGCCACCACTTATCGAATAGTCGCATGTGAGAGAGGTTATCCGTTAGAATGCCCTGTCTGTGCGCTGACACGTCCGTTCGCTCTGGCAGCACGCTCAACTCCTCCATCGCGGACATGGACCACCATCCGAGTCTCCCATCTCCACGTCTGCCCACCGAAATATGCGACTACATACTCGATCACCTATGGGACGACCACAAGACCCTCAAGGTCTGCAGCCTCGTCACGCGAGAATGGCTCCCCACGACGCGGAAACATCTTTTCGATTTCGTTGGTATCATTACCAAGCCGCAGCGCGTCGCCTTTGAGGATGTGATTCTTCGTTCGGGAGACGCGGTGGCACTCTGTGTCCGAAAGCTGGACTTGAAATGGGAGCTCGGGGTTAGCCGTTCCCCCCCAATTCCCGTCTCCGTGGCTCGAATGATAGCATCTCTCGGCCGGCTAGAGGAGCTCACCCTCCGAGGTACCATATGGAGCGATTCTCACTCTCCCCCGAAGACTACAACGTGGCCGGTACTGCCCATGGTGAAGGCTCTTCATCTGCGCATCAGTATCGTCGCCGCCGTCGTAAGCCTGCAGCGATTCATCTGTGCATGCCCCTCGCTGTCCTCCCTAGAGCTGCAGATAGGACGAACCTCAGTTTCCCACCGTTCGCACACCCATCCTCCAACGGTCATCCCGAGATCGATAGTGCTCGAGACTTTGCAATGCAGTCTCGATGAGCCAGACCCCATGCTGGGATGGCTGCTGTATGGTGGCCTGAAGCTGCGCATGCGTCGACTAGCGATTACTGTACCCGACTATCCGACCTCAGGCAATTACCTCAGGACGGGCGACGTCCAAGCCCTGTTGCGTGCATCTGGTGAATGTCTGGAGCATCTCATCGTCAGGGTGGAAACCGAGATCTTCTCCTCCTATTCACCAGATAGGCAACAAGCGGCGCTGGCGCACAATCCGAACTTGGTCTCAATCTACGTGTCGAGCATATGGTGTGGGTTTTCTGATGACGTCCCTGATGACGGGCCGTACTCCAATGGCTGGCTGGGCCTGCTCACAATCCTTGTTGACATCCAATCCATGCACACGAAGCTGCAGTCAATCGACATCACGTTCATTACGGCATTCAAGCCGGATTTCACAAGTTTGTCTTGTGAGCAGCTTGATGCCGCCCTGGCGCGAGTTATGGATACCCACCCGCAGTTGATCTTGACCGTATGGATAAGGTGCGATTGTGATAAACCAATGCCATGGCTGGCGGAATTCGCCGAAGCACTTTTGCAAGGCTTGGTCAGGGCGCAGGCGGGGCGGGGCAGACTCTGTTTGATGTGGCTGAACGGTTACGATGAGATTAACGAGTTAGGTCGCGGTATGCTACCGTCCTGGTGTTCGCTGTGATGATGTGGAAGGGCTCTCCATTCATCTTTCCTCCTCGGCGAAGCTTTTCATGTACATCACCTTTTCAGGCTTTGCTTGTTATGCGCTTCGGGCTATATTTCGTAGATTCCACCTTCCGCCTGCGCGCGAGTCGCAGGGCATTGTCCCACAGTTCAGAGCGATGTAATGAGGGTTCACGTTGACGGCTCATTCAAGCGAAACAGATTATGCTCAACATTCCCAGAGATTGAAGATAGCATGCACTCAGGCTCCTCGTCCGCTGAGATATGTTTGTTGAGCGGAACAGCAACAGGCTCACAGTGGGAAGGGGGCGTTTAGTACTTCAGAGCTATTGAAGCAACAGTTGTTTCTTGCGGGTCGCGCTAGCATTTCTACCGTTCCCAAGAAGCGCTCGTACGCGGCGGCAGCCGCCACCTCTCATCCAGCTCCTCCCGGGATGACTCCCAACCCGCCCACTCCCTCGAAGGCTCCTAAGACCAAGAGTTCGCCAGAGCCTTTGAGGTATGTGGTTCACTTTGCTGGCTCCGCGCCGGCACATCTGCTTCAGACGCCCCCCGCCCAACTTGTCAGCGATGTGAATACAGCACTGGCTGCAATTCCGACTGCTGGAGGGCTGACTGCACTCGCAGCCTACCCGAGCTCCTCTGGCAACATCGTCCTGGCTTTTCCCACTACCACCTCATACCGCCGCGTTGACGAACACCTCCCGACCCTCCGTGCTGCCCTCAAGATCGATCCGGACCACCATGTCTCCAGGGACGTCAAATGGTCCAGGATCCTTCTCGGCAATGTCAGCACGCGGACAGCCCCTGGCGGCGATGTCCATTCGACGTCGACTCTGTCGACCGAGCTCATAAAGAACCCTGCGCTTGCGCGCCTACGCATCACCCAACCCCCGCGCTGGGCACGTCGACCTGAGCAAATCGACGGTGCTCGATCGTCCGTCATCCTCGGTTTCGAAGACCCGGACGGCTCTATCCTCACCGCCCTCCTCAAGACCCCCCTCTTCGCCTTCGGTACTCCCGTCACCACGTCGCGCTGGCGTGATAAGCCGCGCCTCCGGCAGTGTACGAGGTGCTGGGGATATGGCCATCTTGTTGCAGGATGCACGAAGCCACCCCGGTGCCGTGTTTGCGCCGGCCGCCATCTGGAATCACTGCACCGTTCGCGATGCACGTCGTGCGCGCAGGAGAATCGCACCGCCTCAGCCCCCTGCGATCATTCGCGCTGCGTTAACTGTCGTGGGCTCCACCACGCCGATGCCGCCACTTGCCCTAAGCGGGCCGCTTTCCGGGACCCAAGCACAACCCTTGGCCACGTCCCCTCTGACTCCACCCAGGTCCGCTCAGCTGGCGACACGGATGTCGCCATGTAGCTGTAGTCGTGTCCCTCTTCACCTTTTTCTCCTCAGATCTCCGCCCTTTGTGAGAACAACCTCCCCAGTCGATACTCCAGCAAGCTTTTTGGGAAGACGAAATTCTTACCACACCATGCACACGCCTTCTCCGGCCTCTTCGGCCTGTCGATAACCTTGCCAAGCGGGTACCTGTCGACACCCTTTCAAGTCGTGCAGCTGGCCTCGTGCAGAACTGAAACACCGCGGGATTAGGGACCCGGGGGTGCAGCCTATACTGGAACCACGTTCGAAGGGAGGGGTATTTGATTAGTTGGTAGTGTTCATGTTTCAAATGCGCCAGGGTCTGCTAATTACTTACTGTTCTTCATCCATCACCGCCCACCTCGCTCTCCGCCCCTGCCATTGGATACGGTAGTCCAGCGCTATTCTTTCTTTGTACCTACCACCATCGTCAGGTCCGCCTCCGGCGGACCGCTGTTGCCCTGCAAATAGTATCAAAAAAAAAAAAAAAAAGCTAGCATTTCTACTACAATCCATCTTCAATACGAACCCCAGGGCGCCAATTGCAAGCATGCGCTGCGCGTGACGATGAAATAGATAGATTTGATAGACGACCATCCGACTCGTTCCACAGCTCCCGCACGTTCGCAGTGAGCCAGAGACCCGCCGCAGCCGGGCCTGAGGCTTGTCACTACTCATCGAAGAGTCGCATGTGAGAGAGCTCGTCCGTTAGTGTTGAAGATGCCTCAGTGTCTGTGTACTGATACCTATGTTCAGCTCTGTTCGCTCTGCCAGTATGCTCAAATCTTCCATCGCCAACACGGACCACCGTCTGAGTCTCCCATCGCCACGTCTGCCCACCGAAATATGCGACTACATACTCGATTACCTATGGGACGACCATAAGACCCTCAAGGTCTGCAGCCGCGTCACGCGAGAATGGCTCCCCAGGACACGGAAACATCTTTTTCATTCCGTCCGGATGTTCAGCAATCTGCGGCGCGTCACCTTTGAGGATGTGATTCTGCACTCGGGAGATGCGGTGGCGCTCTGCATCCGCAAGTTGGTGATGATTTGGGACCTCAACGAAGAGGTCCTTTTATTCCCGATTCCCGCCTCCATGCCTCGAATGCTGGCGTCTCTCGGCCGGCTGGAGGAGCTCACCCTCTGTGTTTCCACGTGGGACGATTGTTACTTCTCCACGGAGACTATAACGTGGCCGGTACTGCCCGCGGTGAAGGCTCTTTACCTGCAAATGCTCATCGTTAACGACGTCGTAAGCCTGCAGCAATTCATCTGCGCATGCCCCTCGCTCTCCTCCCTGAAGCTCGAGATAAGACGAGCCTCAAAGTGCGACAGCTCGCGCACCCATCCTCCAACGGTCATCCCGAGATCGATAGTGATCGAGACTTTCCAATGCGACATCCGCGAGTCAGGCCCCATACTCAGATGGCTGCTGCAGGGCGGCCTGAAGCTGCGCATACGTCGACTGGCGATTAATGTACCCGGCAGTATTTGGGTCCCGGTCAATTTTCTTAGGACAGGCGGCGCTGAAGGCCTGTTGCACGCATGTGGTGAATGTCTGGAGTATCTCATTGTCGGGTTGTCATCCCAGATCTCCCCTGGTTCGCTAGATGGCCAACAAGGTTCGGTGCTGGCGCACAATCCGAACCTGGTCTCCGTCTATGTCCTGGACGTGTTCTGGTCGTTCCCCAGTGGCTGGCCGAGTCTGCTCTCAATCCTGGCTGACATCCAGCCAATGCACACCAGGCTGCAATCGATCGACATCACGTTGCTTACAACAGGAGAGTCGGATATCACAAGGATGCTTTGTGAGCAGCTTGATGCCGCCCTGGCGCGAATTGTGGAAACCCACCCGCAGTTGATCTTCACCGTATGGATAACCAGCAATCTTGACGTACCCGCGCCATGGCTGGCAGAGGTCGTCAAAGTGCTTTTGCATGGCTTGGTCAGGGTGCAGGTGGGACGGGGCAGACTCTGTTTGATGTGGCTGAACGGTTACGGTGAGATCAGAGAGTTCGGTCGCGGTAGGATGCCGTCCTGGTGTTCGCTGTGATGATGTGGCAGGGCTCGTTCATTCATCTCTCCTCCTTGGCAACACCTTCCATGTACACCACCCTTTCGGACTTTGCTTGTTACGCGCTTCGGGTATGGTTCGTAGATTCCACCTTCCGCCTGCGCGAGTCCCAGGGCGTTGTCCCACAATTCAGAGTATGCAATGAGGGTTTATGTTGTCAATTGGGACGGCTCATTCAAGCAAAACAGATTATACCAAACATTTCCAGACATTCAAGGTAGCATGCTCTCAGGCAGTGCTGATCCGCCGAGATGCCTACTTCCCGAGGGGAGGCGTGTCCGCGAACAGAACTGCAGGAAGCCGGGGCGGGTACCGAGCGTCGTTCATGAAATGTGCGCTGTTCACCACCTCGCGCACCTCCTCCGAGGCTCCTCGACCTCCTCTGTCGCGAGCTTTATATGTGCTGCGCCCAAATCTCTTTCAGGCGCTGGAATGGGTCAAGATCAGCACCTGCTTTGCTCCTGTTTGCCCGCGAGGAGAGCACTCACTGGTATCTCGATCTTGGTCGTGCCGGGGATAGGTATGACGTCCGGCCGTTGTGCAAGAAGCCATGCGAGCGCGATTTGTCCTGCTGTCGCATTGTGTCGCGCTCCAATTTGTTTCAGCCTGTTGGCGAGCTTCAAGATGCTCGGCAAGTTCTCTTTCGAGTTATCTGTCAAGACGTGTTGGCTCAGTCCGATTGAATCCCATAGCCAATGTCAAGTCGAGTCACATACCGCGGCACCGTGCGTCTGAAGTCATCCTCGTCAAAGTCGTCAAGCGATTTCTGCAGTTTAGTTCTTTAGTCAACATCAAGCGGCCAGAAGAAGGCGAGAAACGGAAGGTGCACTGACATATTGTCCGGTCAGCAAGCCGCGCCTGAGGGGCGAGTACGCGATGATCGTGATGCCGAGTTCTCTGGCAGTCTTCAGCAGCCGATCTTCTCGTCCTCGATGTCGAGCGTGAAGGGCGGGACTCGACCTGGAGCGCAGTGATAGGGTGCACAGCGAGTGCGCGACGGAGGGTCTCTGTGGAGCACTCGGACAGGCCGAGATATTTCACTTGCCTGCTCTGATGGCGCACGGGCGAGTTCAACTGCTGAGACTCAGTGATCATGATGTGAGAATACTCACTTGATAAGCTCGGCCATCGCTCCGACTGTCACCTCGATGGGCACTGTCGGGTCTGCCAGGCTGTTTGTCGGGCATCAATCGAATGCACTCAAGTGGGGTCCGTTTAATCACGTATTTGTAGTTGTATATTGACTGTTCTGAATTGTTTTTGCATTGTAATTGGGACTCTGATACTTAATCAGCTCGTGGGCTTTCATGTCCACTGCCAAGCTAGAAGATTTGTACGTAGTCAAGATTGACGTATACTGTTTGCCGTGCGTCAATCATCCTTCCTTCACACGCCTGAGGGTCCGCAAAGACTCTCTTAAAAGCCTGCTGATCTCGTATACCGCGTCGACGCTTGTAGCCTCGGAGTCGGTATCTCCAACTCTACCACACTGGTGGGGCTAAGCCAGCGCGCATACAAGATGTAAAGAGTAACAGTATCGGGAACCCGAAATTCGTCTGCTATCAGCACATATGGCACTACGAACAGGAAGATAAGGCCAATCGTGATCAGAAATCAGTACATAATGGGTGCGCTTCTACGCATATGTTCCAATTTCACTTGAGATTGAACCATGGTGCCGTTGCGAAAACGACACAGCGAGCTTCCCTCCTAGGCCTCATTAACATTCCCCGCTTGCGCTTTCCACCCACCTTCTGCTCATGCCGATGCACATTCCCCGGGTCCGTGGGGCACTGCAGGTGCTCTTAGTGTTTCCTGCGGGTTCCCCTCGGCGGCAAGCCTGCGTGCACGTCCTTCTAATGCGAGGTGAACGTCCCTGAGGTCGGTAAGCCAGCACAGCCGCACAGTCTCTAATCATCGAATAGCAAGAGAAAAGGAGAGGGGGCTGCCTCGACGCCCACATTCGATAGAAACCGGTCGTCCAGAAATCTCGGCCCTTAGTGAAGTACGACGGGCCGTCATGACGATGCTCCTGCTCGCGACGTCTAGGAAGCCGATGAATGACATATTGTACGTCGCGGCCCACCTAGTGCGGCTCATGCGGCTCTCGCTTGATGCGCCTACAACAGATGACTGTGTGCGAATTCATTCATAACGTAGAGTAATTTTGAACGCGAATGCGACTCCTAATGAACAGCTATTATGCACGTATGTGGCTACGAAACGTACAACGAGTCCGCCACAAAGCGTTCAACGCTCGGTAGGTGCGGCGCCTGGGGCGGGGCGATCTCCGCATGGGACGAATGATGCCGTGAACCTCTGCCTCTCTGGCCGCTGCGCGCGGATGGCACAATCGTCGTAACTGTGACCACAGTGTGCTCACGGTCCTCGTATGGTGGCGGCGGCGACGATGGCGTGCCGTGCTCAGGGGCCACCTCATGTCGAATCGGGGGCTCAGGAAGTGTGGCCCCGGGTTTGAACCAACAGTCGATGTCCTCGTCCTCCGGGAAAGGGCTAGAAAGGCCTGGAGGACGCATGTTGAAGCACCGCTCCCCGTCGGCAAATTTCAGCCACGCCATGTCCTCTTCGTCTTCGTAGACTTGGGAAGTAACGATCGCAGCGTCGGAGGTATACGTGATCTGGTAGTAGTCGGGCGAGTCGACGGCACGGCTGGGGCGTGCGCTCGACCTGGTGCGCGATGGGATGGTAGGTGAGGGACGGGGAGGGCGAGCAGCGGCGGAGGAAGCAGAGTGGAAGGTGTTTATCCACGGCTGTGCACGGGCGTGCTGGTCGATTGCGAGGTCAATGAGATATGCGGGCTCGTCAGGAATGTCGTTGGAGATGAGGCCTTGCAGTGAGGGAGGTACTGATCGCGAGCGGGCCGCGTCTCTGCCTCTGCAGAGCAGACTGCGGTTTCCTAGGAAGACCGGCTCTGCCTGGATGCTAGGAGTTGGTGGTGCGCCATAGTTGATGTTCGGGGCGGAGAAGCGGCGGATTTCCCTCGAACTAGATGCGACAGGAGACTCCATGATGAAGATGCGAAATATCTATGTTAAGTGGTTGTTGTAATGGATGAATGCGATGATAGACTTGCATGACGGTGGCTCCCGTCCCTTTTATACAGCAGAACACGGAAGTGCTGGAGTCTAGCGGAGAACACGGAGTCGTATCCGCGCTCCCTTGGCCTGTGGAGACCCATGAAGTACGCGGATGTGGATGGGGTACACGTCGGATGCGGATGAGGGCGGAAGTCGATCATACCCGCGCTCCTAACGCGGTCACGTGGTCGCGTACGCATCCACTCGATCCAGAGTCATCTTGACAAAACATTTAAAGCCTTGGCGGGTTATAATGCTACGTGCATCGCGGTCGAGGCGACAGGTACATTGGATGATCGCTAGCCCGCTGTATCCTGGCGCTTGTATTGCAGCCGAGACAGTGCGGTCGAACAAGTAACAGGTGTCTGCCCTGAAACTTATGTGCTTAGCAGCGTGAAAGGAGGCCGTCATCAAAATATCAGACGGAATGTCTGTAGGAGCATGAGCATAGGGAGAAGCTGTTTGACCCAAAGCAAAGCCGTCTTCGAGCATTAGTGGCATACGTTGTCCATCCATGGGAGTGGAAGAGGCTGCAGGAGATATGCATGAAAGCTCACTATTTGCACATTTTAATCGCCGATTTCAGCATCGGCTTGCGCTAAAGACCTTTTGAGGTCATGCCGATGGGAGGAAGTGATTGGTTTTGCACATTGCACGGCCACACGACACCAGATTCATGTCTTGCACCTTTACGGAGCTTTTAAAATCCATCTGAAGCTGGAAGCCTCGATGTCTGGAATATATGCCCCATCATGAAGCACAGAAGTAAGATTGAGCAAGACCATCATGAAAATGGAATTGTGATACGAGAATTGGGCCGTTCAAGCCGCTATTGCAGCTTCTAAAGAAATTGGCTGCTCATAACCGGACTTGTAACTGTCTGCACCGTCTATATACCATGGGAATGCAATGAGCACTAGTTTTATAAGCAGATATGCACAGCCAGAGAGCCGGACGGCTCGCGGGTGGGACCGAACGACGACGATGCTTCATGTATCAATTCGAGTGTACTTACAGCCCAGTGGTCTAGATTTGTATCGGATCAATGTTCACTTTTTCACTGATTCGGGACAGTCCTGCTCACCCTCTCATCTATAGCAGGACTGCTTACCCATGTCAAAGAATGAACGACTCCATGTGCAGTAATGCACGATTGCGAGCTTGGGGGACGTCCGGAGTGCTAAGCGCTAAGCGCTCAGCTGTGGTTGGAACTTGGGATCCAGATCTCAGCCTGTAAGCGCCCGTCCGGTGTCGGATACAGGTGTCGGATACAGTGTCTTATTGCAGGGCAATTTATTTTATTTCTGTGAAAACCTCCGTGCGTTCGGTTTGGCATTTAAGAACGACATTGCTGAGGAGAAGCACCTTTTGACCTACAAGTAATTGAATAACCTAATGATACATTTTGCCACAAAGACGATAAAAACACAGCAGAGGGACATATCACAGCACAGCCAACGCTGACATCAAAGAGTCCACATGCACGCCTCGACAGACTCAGACTGCAATCACTCCTCCATCTCATCGCCGCTCTCCTCACTCTCACTTTCGCTCTCGCCCTCTGCGACCTCCAGCGACTCGAGATCGATGTCGTGGTCCGCTCCGATATACGAGTCGCAGATGACGAACAGTTTGAGTGCATGCGAGCCCTGCGGTAACGAGAACTCGAGCCGCACAGACAGGTTGCGGTGCACCGTGACACGCTTGATCGCAAGCAGCTGCCGCGTCTTCGGTTCGCCAATGACAAGCCACCAGTTCGCGAGCTTTTTGAGCGGGTAGAACGGCGCGACAACGATCTCGCCGTCTCCGCCTTCCGCCTCCTCGTCCGCGTCCCGGCTGAGCGAGACTTGAATCGTGATCGGCGCACCAGATGTGTAGTCGCCCTTCGCTAGCTCGTAGTTGACGTCGAGGGTTGGATACGAGTTGACGAACGTGGCAACGTCCCGCCTACATGGACTGTCAGTCAACAGAAACATTCGCATAAAGTAGAATGACATACATCTGCCTGGCATCCATCTGCAGCAGTGCATTGCGCGCGTCGTCTTCCATCTCCATGATGTCGTAGACGGACTCGATGCCAGCCTCTTTGCACCGCTTAATTACCTGCATAGACCATCAGAACCGAATCATTCCTAATGTAACAAGAACACTTACATCGGGCTCGAAGTGCGGAATCTGCTTCAAGGGCGAGTCCGTCTCCCAGCATGCCTGCACGCACATCTGGGAGAGATCCATCGCGCCGAGGGCATTCAACCACGCATTCGAGGACATCACATCCACGCACGCCGACAGCAGATTGAGTACCTTCTCCAGGACGAGCACCTGATCAGCCGCCAAGTCGGGCGGGAGCTGCAAGCGAGAGAAGTGCGCTTGCAACAGCAAGAAGGTCTTGAAATGTGGTGCCTCGAAGTCGGCTCGGTCGAGCTTGACGGGCACGCGGTCGTAGATGCGACGTAACAGTACGTCTTCGTGTCTCCGGATGGGTATTGATTCGAACTCGGCGGAGGAAGAGACGACTTCGAGGAGGCCCTTCATCTTCGTGCGTTCCTTGAGGGAAAGCGTGTATACCTCCACCGTCACGTCTATAAAAAGAAATCAGGCTGCAGTTGAAACAAGCAAAGACGAGATGCTCACATGAAATATTGTAGTATGCAGCAATCATACCCAGGTTCAATGGAGAAACGTCCATCTCGTCCTCTGAAGAAGCAAATAAGCTAGTGTGACAGTCGAAACTGCAAAATATGCTCACCAATAGAGATACACTTTGAGTTAACGAGGTCGCTCAACGTGTTCTCGACCAGCTCGGACAGATGGTCCGACAGGTGCTGGTGGCTGACGTTGTGCAGATTGTAATAATTCGGGTTCTGTGTCATCCGCCGGTAAAAGTACGTCCACGTCAAGATATCCTGAGACGAATTGTAAGTAGTGTACGAGATCAATACAATGATCGAAGACGTACCATAGCATCCTGCTTGTTTTCGATTGTCTTCACAGCAATCTCCGCCAGGAAGTAGTCATGTAGCATGTGCGTAGGCAGATGGGACTCAATCGGGAGGCCCTCGGCAAGGAACTTCTTGTAAAAGTCCTTCCGCGTCTGCTGGCACATCAACACGCATCGACTCTTGTCATCCTCCGTTGGCCGGCAAGCACGGCCCATCATCTGAAGAACGTCCATGACGGGATAGTCCACGTAACGATGCTCTTTGCCCTCGTAAGATTGGACACCCATGATGATCACCATGTAGCTAGCGACTGGAAGACTCCACGCCGTATCCTAGAACGCAAATGTGAGCACATGAATCATGAATCGCTTGGAACAACTCTGCCTACTTTAGACGCGATGAGCACTTGAATAGCACCGGACTGGAACAGGCGTTCCACGATGCGCTTGTCTTGTCTGTTCAGCGCCTCGTGGTAGTAACCAATGCCATGCTTAAGTGTCTCGACCAAACCTTGGTCAGTGATGTGGTCCAGATGGATTTGCAGGTCAGCCTCCTCAATGTTCAAGAAGCGATTGCTGTTGTCATCGGCACCACAATGTATCAGGATGTCGTCGGCCGTAAGACGGCACTGCCGGCGGGACGGAACAAAAATGATGACCGGCTTTGTTGGTGAATACTCGACGATCGCGAGGTACGCCGGTTTCGACATTGCGATCATTAATGAGGGGAAGTGCGGGATGTTGAAGCTTTGCAGATGGATGTCCATGTCAAGAGGACGCGCACTATATTTGTTGTGAGCAACGGGCAGCATCAACGTTAAAAAGGCTCAGAGCACTTACCTCGGTGGGAAGTTGAAGATGGCATGCGACGGAGCACCCATCCATTCTCCCAAGTCACGCGCATTGGCAAGTGAGACTCCACATGCGACAATTCGTGTCTTGAGCTCCGTTTGGGCAGAAACGTACCGTGTGCGAGAGACTACGACTTCGTACGTCGGTCCAACTTCGCCGCCAACGAGCTGGATCTCGTCAGCAATGAGAAGGCCGATAGTCTGGACGTTCTTGCGCTGTCGCCATCTCCTCGATAGGACATCCCACTAGAAGCACCGGATCAATATCCCATAGTATTGATGACAAATATGCAGACTAACCTGTGTCGGTGTGCAGATAATGAGGTCACCCTTCTCCAACAGGCGAAGGTCTGCGCTAGTCTCTCCGGTGAGGCTGACAATCTCCTTTCCACCCTGCAGATCGCTGAACTTGTTACGCCACTCGGCGACACGCAAATCGACCATCTCCTGGAAAGGCTCGATGCAAACGGCTCTTTGTTGCTCACGCTTGCTCCATAATCTGAGCAGAGCGAACTCGGCACAGATGGTTTTGCCGCTGCCAGTGGGAGCACCGACGAACACGTTCTCATCCGTGGTGTACAACGCTTGGAACACTTGCGTCTGGATCTTGTTGAATGTGCGTATCGTTGACGAGTAAATGCTCTCGAATTCCTTGTTGTGAAGAGCCGAGAGAGGAAGAGGCTGCAAGTCCAGGAGAGGCGTGGGCTGAGGGAACTTCTCCGGAAGGATGAGATGTTTGAAGGAGATGGGAAGACGCGTCTCTGCGTGCAACCAGCGATCGGAGATAACGGAGATGTAGTAGTTCGGTGGGACGGGCTCGAACATAGGGACGGTAATCGTGACGTTGTGTTCGTCTTCAGCGTATCTCTGACGCAGAAGGAACGTGTCATGGAAGAGAATAATTTCACCGTCAACGTCCTCGACCATGATCCAGAAGGATTCGGCGGTGCCATGAATCTTTTCGTCCCATCTGAAGTCAGGAATGATGGTCAAATCGATACGAAGGAGAGTCCTGGTGATCGGTTGGACCTGGGCTTGCAATCTAAGATGACATGTCAACATCCGTGTCATATAAAGGTGGAAATGGAAACATACTGAAGTTTAGGGAAGCTATGCACCAAACGATGGACCAATCTTCCGGCATTCTGAATGCCGATCAGCTCGCCGATTTCAGGAGGACTCTAAACGCGACATTAGCGACATGAGCATTGATGAGGACAAAGATCAAACAAACCAGATCGAAGTAACGGTACCAAGGCTGTGAAAAAAATGTAAGCTTCAAGTAACGTAGAGACCATGATGAACTACTCACGAATTGCTTCCCCTCTGCCTTTCTGATAATCTCAGCAGGGACACCCTTGAACTGTCGCAAAGGAGTCATCGAACTCCACCTAGGAACTCTGTCAGTAACCCTGAATATCGTTGAGAGGCCTACACGTACATTCTTCGGTCCACCATCTTGCACAGATCAAGACAAGCCTTGGCTGGGATTGCCCATCCACGCTTCAAGCAGATCTCAAACATCGCCCGGAGAATACTAGAATCACCCATTAATAACTAGTACGCACAACGAAGGAAAACATGCTCACCGTCCAGCCGATTGCTGCACATATACCATGTCCGCGACAAGAGCAAAGCCTAGAACACCCACGTTAGCAAAACTGTATCTCCTTACCAGTACGGCTCAACGAACCTTCAAGCTTGAGCTGCGAGATGTATGCTTGTAAAAGCACGTTGATCTTCGCAGCCGGCTCTTCGACACTCTCCTTTACTGGAATAGGGACTCGCTCCAGCAACTTTCCCAGCTCCAGCTTCTCCTGTTAGACGCGCACCAAATGAGTTACCTGTATTCTGGGATATCGTACAGATGCCACTTACGTCTTGTCGAACCTGTAAAAGCATGCAAATTGAGTATCATATATGATTATAACAACACCAAATTCACATACCGGCAACAATTTGAACTCATTGGACAGAGCAAATACCCTGAAAAGCTCCAGCGTTGTCATCGTTGGCCTGAGGTGCTGGTTGTACGTCGCCATCGAGTTGTGTGTCACGTAGTAATAAGAGGCAATACGACCCAGCTCGGTGCTGTGGAATCGTCCAGATGCCCGCTCGTACTTGATGAGGTGGCACTTCTCAAGAATGACGGCGGCCGTATGCGCAATGTCCGCACGCTTCTGCACCAGCGCCGGGTCGTCCTCGAGGTAGTCGACGCCAACACTGTAGAGCGCTGGATCCTTCAGCATACGCACGTACAGGTATGTGTAGCCGAGCCATTGGACAGCCTCGTCGCGGTTCCGAATGGTACCCAGGACAATCTCAGCATTCAGGTTGTCTGCAAGTTTTGACACGAACTGCGACTCGATCGGCAGCTGCTGGTTCATCAAGCTCAGGTAGTACTGCAGCTCGGAGTGGTTAGTGATGATGACACCTTCTCCGTACGTGTCGTATTGCGGCCGTCCGGCACGGCCAAGCATCTGCAGTACGTCCTGCGACGATAGCTCGACCCATCGGCCCTTCTCAGGGTTGTAGATCTGCGTGCCCTTAATGATGACGGTGTGCGCAGGAAGGTTCACACCCCACGCGAGAGTCGCAGTGCAGACCAGAACTTGGAGGTGTCCGTCCGCGAATAGCTCTTCGACGAGTCCACGGTCCTCGCGCGACATGCCTGCATGGTGGATACCAAAGCCGAACTGAAGGAGGTCCTTGAGGTTCGTGTCCCTAACATTGTTCGACTCCTCAAGCAGGATCTCTCGAGTCGCACCTTCAGGCTTGACGAACTGGGTGATTGTCTCCTTCTCGATCGCCATATCCCGGATGAACCTCGCAGTCTTCGCTGTCTCCTTACGCGAATGCACGAAGACGAGCGTCTGGTTCTTGCCCGCCTGATCAAGCACCTTCTCGTAGCACACCTCGTTCATCACTTGGTATCGCTTGATAGCCTTCTTCTCCGTGACGCCGACGAACTGCTGCTGCAAGGCGCACGGCCGGTACGACGCGTCGAAGTAGAAGAGGCCCTTGGACGGGTCAACGCGGAGGAACGTCGCTACATCCTGGTAATTTGGCAGCGTAGCAGAGAGACCAACAAGACGAACATACTCGTTAGTCTGTTCCATCCGTCTGATCGTCCGCGCAATGATGCTCTCCAATACCGGACCACGCTCGTCGTGCAGCAAGTGGATCTCGTCAACAATGATGAGCCGCACGAGGTTGGTATAGCTGGTGTCGGTGCTCTTCCGCGTGATAACGTCGTACTTCTCCGGCGTGGTGACGATGATCTGCGTCTCAGAGATCTGCTGCTTCGTCATTTGCGCGTCTCCAGTCAACTCGCCGACCTTGATGCCATATGCACCCAGCCGCGAGCTGAAGTTGCCAACCATCTCCTGCACGAGCGCCTTCATCGGTGCGACATAGATAATCTTGAAGGAGTCAAGGTCGATGGCACCAGTCTCCTCGTCGCGGTACTTGCCCAGCTCATGCAAGACCGTAAGCATAGCCACGTTCGTCTGAAGGTGTGCGTCAACACCAACACTCTCCATGTCAAATTGACTAGTGTCATACCTTTCCAGCGCCCGTAGGAGCACACAGCAGTATTGGCTCGTCCGTGCCGAAGGCGACCGGATACAGCTTGCTCTGAACGCGGTTGAGATTCTTCATGCCAGAGAAGCCATCCCTCGCCCAAAGTGGCAGGTCCGTGATGGGCACCAACTCACCCGGCTCAGTGGGCTTCTGCTTGGGGGCAGGTACATGAATCTCCTCGTAGCCCTTCTTTGCCCGCTTGAACGAACCTTCCGGAAGCTTGCACTTCTTATTCGACATCAAGTGGCCTCCTTGGCTGAACATCATGCTCTCGAGATCTACCGTAGCTTTTGGCTGGACGATGGTCCCGGGAGCAAGAGTGGCGGTCTTCGGTATCTCGGCTTTGAGCTTCTCGTCGACTTCCATAGCCACCGCCTCCGCCTTCGCCCTCGCTTTCCTATCCCCAGCAAGCTCCCTCAATATCCACCCAAGACCCTTCTCACGCATCGCGACCTCGACATTGACGCGCTCGTCCGCATCGCTGCGCATGAGCTTCGTGCACCAAACGATAACATCCCGGTTCTTGAGGAACTTCGTGATGATGTGGAAGCTCTGGTACTCGAAAAGCTCCATGAGTTGGTTTTCGCAGTCACGGAGACTCGACTCAGAACCAAGGATGGACAATACTTGCGCGGCCTTGTCCGCGGAGGTGACGGGGTCGGGATACACCTCGGATATTTGACGTTGAACCCAGAAACCGTCAATTGAATGAGGCGAGACAATGTCCCTGTCGATATGAGCCTTGCCTTGCTGTGCGGCAGAGCCCTCACCAATGACAAGTTCCTCCTCGCCCTCCAGCGTCTCGGGTGCGCCCGCCTCAGGTGCTGCCTCTCCCGCACCCTCCTCACCCTCCTCTTCTGACTCTTCCCGAATCTCAAAGCCTTCCTCTTCCTCCTCCTCTTCCTCCTCTTCCTCATCAAACACGACCGCAACGCCCGTCTCTTCGTCAATCTCCGCTTCCTTCCTTTCCAAGTCAGGTTCAATCATGGTCTCATCCTCCGCACCAAAGTCCGTGATCTTCTTCGACAGATTGAGCAGCTGCGCAAACTGCTCATTCGAGACGGGGCCAACCACCTCCTCCACCTCCTTCTTCTTGTCGAAGTCCTTCGTATTCTCGTTTTTCAGCGTCTCCAGCACCATGTCGGCAGCGCTGCGCACTACGTCCTGCGCCTGGTCGCCAAGTGCCTGATGCACGCTGGACAGTATGAGTTCGTACACCTCGCGCGTCTCCGCCGTTCGCGGTCGGTATGTCAGGCCCTCTACGTCTTGTGTGGCCTCGATAATGTCAGTGTAGCCGAATCCAGTCGTCTCGGTCGTTCGACGCGTAGGCACCTGCTTCCCGGCTCCCTCTTGCTTGTCTGCAGCTCTCTTCTTCTTCTTTTGTAGATCCTTAGGGGCTTCCCGCTGCACGCGCGAACCCATCTCATGCGGGTTGATACGTCCAGCAAGCGATGTGGGGGCGCCATCAGGCTCCTTGTCTCGACGCGGCAGCGCAGACCTGTCGGCGGTCAAGACCAGTGAGGAGATGGCGGCATAGTTGTAGCCAGAAAGATCGCGTTTTGCAGACATGGTGGTGGTGGTGGATGAGGGTGGAGATGGTCGCCGCAGACAACGACGAGCAGATTACAAACAGCGCTGTCATGAACTTTTGCGGTCACGGGGTCCTTGATGCGCCCTGGTGGGACTGCTGCCACTGCTCGCTTCAGCACGTTGCGCACGTGAACGTGACCTGTATTTATCGGAACTTGAATTGCGCGCCAGTAGTCGGTGGCTGAACAAGGAGGGGTTGTTCATACTTCATACATCAAAGTTATTTGTCGATTTTTATGCTCGGGGCTTCCCGCCGTTGACCTTCTCAAAGGGGTCTTAAGCTTTGCGTACGCCGCCTTCCAATTCATTTAGATTGAAGCATACACCGTGGCATCCTGTCGTTTATCTTGAAGATAGATTCAGACCTCATATGAAATGTGTCAGAATAACCAGTGCGCTTGCATGGCCTGCTTTCGCGAGAAATGGCCAACCGATGCGCGCAGGTGCGAACATAGCAAACAAAAACGTGTCAAACCCATCCCCCCTCCAACCGCACCGTCCATTGGAATTAACCTGGTAACCACCCAATTCCGTGGATGGCTGGAACCTCACTTACTAACGGGATCATCAGCAGCCTAGATGCCCGCTACCGCTGATTAATCATTTGCAGTATCGGCACCAAATACTTATCAGTACCTGGTAATCCAAAGCGTACTCAGCCGCCAATGCTATCCTGTTAGGCAGAATACATGCCATTCCTCCGTCGCAGCCTCATGCTCAAAGGCCAGCTGCAGACTGACGCATGGGTAAATGCAATAGATAACCTTCTGCGGTTCTGCAGCTTCGATATGCATTTTCTGATTCCCCCACTTGGATTTCAGAAGTGTGCTGACGACAATGGTCGCTTCAATCATGACGAGCTGCAATTGCTGCCAGCCACCGTATGCCGTCAGCGTCGGGGCATACCAGTGATACCATTGCAGGATCGGCGCAATCTCAGATCGTGATCTTATCACCTCTTGTGCTTGGCGCATCGTGCCCGCTCCTCTGCACTCGGAGGGCCCCCGACCGATGCCTGAGGCCGAATGAGAAGCCGGATTCTTCACGTATGCTGCGGCGACCGGCACGTCCGTCTCCTTCAGAGCCATTAAATTACACCCGTCCCGAACTCCATGCTGCACCGGTCCCTGCCCTCCTCTCTACTCAACTCTTGTCTCCTTTCTCTTACCTCTCTTCATCTTAAACTGTTTTAGTGTGCATACTGATGTCGATCGAAGGTGCGTCCGGTCGATCCTAACGTTAGACCTGGTGAGGCTCATGCCGTCGGACACGCCGGCTTTTGTCGGCTTTCGCACTTGTAGCGCGCAGCGACCAATACTCGTTAACCTCGCCGTACGGGTACACGCCCGACGCTTGGGTGGGCATCCTCTTCATCGTCATCTTCAGCCTAAGCACAGGTACGCGTCCCTGCTCGCCCTCGTACACCGACCCCACTCACCTCGCGCTTTGCGCTTCTTTTTCGCGGGCAGCATGCCACTTTGTGCAGGCGATCTACTATCGTCTATGGTTCATGCTCCCTACCGCCGTTCTCGCCGGCGCAATCGAAATCATCGGCTGGGGTGGCCGCTTATGGTCCTCGTATAATGTCCTGCGGAATGACCCCTTTCTAATGCAGTGCGTGCGCCTCTTGTCCAATTCACCTTCCGCATTGACAGAAAGATATCAGGATCGTGTGCACAATCATCGCGCCGACGCCGCTTGTGGCCGCGAGCTTCATCATTCTCGGGCAGATTATTCACAGGCTGGGCCAACAATACAGTCGGCTTAGTGCCAAGTGGTGTACGTCTCCTTACGCTGCGCTTCCTGCTGTTTTTCTCATTTGCTGCTGTGATGTGGCGTACATCAGATTCCATTATCTTTATTTGCTGCGTACGTACCTTTCCTACAAAACATTTTAACATCGTTAACGCTACGCACAGGATATCATCGCCCTCGTAATCCAAGGAGTTGGAGGTGGCGCCGCATCTGCCGCTGTAAATAACTACCAGAGCCCTACTCCGGTACGTGTGCGCTTCTGTTACTCACTCCTGCCCCCACTCACGCCATGTCACCCAGGGCGGTCATGTCATGCTCGCTGGTATTGTATTTCAACTTGGTACGCTCGCTCAGCTCCTCTCTCTCTTCTAAATCTGTCTCACCTGCTACCACCATCACCCTTGGTACAGCCTCCATCTCGTTCTACATGCTCCTCGCGGTCGAGTTCATCATGCGCTACCTGCACGACCGGCCGATTGGTGGGCGCATCTGTGTGCATACGCCGTACACGTTCGACAGCAAGCTCAAGCAGATGGTAGGTGCGCTTGCGTTTAGCAGCATCTGCATATACATTCGGTGCGTACGCATCATGGTTCGTGCGAGTATGTGCCGCTGACCGGGAAGATAGGTCGTGGTACCGGACGTTCGAGCTCGCAGATGGATGGGATGGCCACATCATCACCACACAGCGCTATTTCGGTGCGTCTCCTCTTTTGTTCTCTTGTATTCTCACTGACAGCGTACTGCAGTCATTCTCGACGGGATGATGATCGCATTCGCGATGATTGCCGTAAACCTGTTTCACCCAGGGCGGTTGCTCGGGCCATGGCACACATGGAGATCATGGAACGCCTCGGCAGAGGACGATCGGCGCGAGCAAAAGGCGCAAGAGGAGCCTCAGAGCGGGCGAGAAAGTGCAGGGGAGGGCGAGATGTGGGAGATGAAGAAGCAAGGGGTGTGAGTGCCGTTCGTATGCTAGACTGCACTGGCAAGGCTAGGACATGCCCCAGACTTAGATTGCCGTTGTTGGACTCGATAGAACGCGGACGACGCGATGGCTGTAGGTAAATATAGATCGGGTTGTAAATATCTCTTACTTACATTTTGTGCTTTATCTGGATTCCTTCTTTTCCATAGCACAACCTCACAAGCATGTCCCTCTTTAGATGATACCTTATACGATGACACAACGCATAGCATCGATCAATAGAATCGGGAGTTGTTTCTGCTCGGAGGGTGCATTTTCGAGCCATAGGAATACTCTTGCAGGTATGCAGCTGCGGGAGGTGATGGAGCTTATCGTGTTTGAATTGTCAGCGAATCCCGGGAGGGAAAGGTGGCACACTGCCCCCAGAAATTTGTCTTTGATCTGCGGCGCAGTCTGCAAATCGCAGACGAACTTGACTGCGCAAGAGATCGCAGATCCAGATAGGTGCCTGAGCGGCGTCTGGCTCCGTGCCGAGGTGCCGGCGCCGAGAGGCTCGGGACGACTTCGGGATGTCATCGGGTCAGCGAGATCGCGTCAGGGTGGCTGCACGTATGTAGGCCTCGTCAATCGTGTGTATCTCTATCTCGCTTGGCCCCGCCGGGATCTTGGTAACAATACCTGTCAATCAATGTAATCGAACATCGCACATATGCTGTCTGGTATGATACTGCATTCGAGCTGGCCACCACGACTGAATCGAGGAGGAGATTGAACATCCGCATCGTGCATCTATGTATAACCTGTCACTCACCAGCATATATGTATGTCGCAGACTCCAGTACTACTTGAAAGGAGGTATCACCGCCATCCTGCTCGTATCAAATGCACCGCTCTTCACTTCCTCCAGCCGTCGCTTCAAAGTCCTAAACAGTTCCGTCTTGTCCGCAAGCTGCACGAAGTCCGTCACAGCCACAAGTCAGCTTGAAACATATATCTTGCTCGTGCTACTGAAGGAGACGAACCTGATACGTGGTGACCCGCGCAGATGTGCTGGGTAGGACGAAGAAGAGCGTCTCGTGCACAGAAACACCATCTGAACGAATAGCGTTCAATACGCCAGTTATTGCGGTCATGTTTCGACGTAGACACACCAGGATGCACGACCTTGTACGGCTGTATGTCGAACTGAAACTTTGCCTTCTTGGATCTTCTCCTCCTCTTCGGAGTAGCTGGGATCCCGTCGGATCCCAAAGACTCATCATCTGACTGTATCGGATAGACAGCCCGCGGGCGCACGACGCTCTCCACCGCCTCCCATGCTTGCTTGCCCACGAAGCACATGATGCGCGGCCGGTACCGCGCAATCTTGGCGAAGAGCTCTGGAACGGCCGCCTTGAACTCTTCCTTGGATAGTTCTGCTGCCTGCAGCAATTGGGAATTATGACCGAACCACGTCGCAGTAAATCAAAGTCAGAGGTGTTCTGTGTGCGTAACAAAGCGCAGCCTGACCTCAGCGCTCGGTCGAGCGACGATGTTGGTCTGTAGAGAGCCAAGGAGCAGCCGTCAGCTGGAAGTGCTGACGATTAGATGCGTTGAGACCAACAAGCAGAAGCATGCGCAGTTTAGTGACAACTAAGAAGGAAGATACTTGCCAGACCTAGGTTGAACCTCTCCGGGAGTGTATGATTTTCTGAAGGGTGCAATCGCTCTGGGGCGTCAGTGAGACCTGTCCAAAACACAAACAGCTCTTAGATAAAACAGGACAAGAGCAGATCAGCCGTCGTGTCGCTTCACCTGAATCATGCAGACACCGCCAGAAATGGTTCGTTACGTGTGCAAAATGGTGGCCCGACTTGGACGACTGGATTCCAGGGCTAACGTTCCGGCCATCAATCCGGCTTTCACTACGGCCTGCATCGTTCAGCAACTTACTTGATTCCGCAAAACAATACTATGTCGAGACACACAGGACATCGTCAGTAGGTCTTCCATCGGTCGCGGATGAGCATCGAAGCTCGAGCGCTCACTGTCCAATTCCTCCTTCAAGTAATCCTGAAGCGGTTCGAGGTGGGCGTACGTCTCCGGAGGAGCGTATCCTCGCTTTATCCGCGTCCGCGATTTGATGCGCTCGAGCTTGACGGGTTTTCTTTCCTCAAACTTCACATCAAGCTTCCGAGCGCTAGTACTGCCGGATACTCCGAGCGTCGTCTCCTTCGCCGTCGCTGCTACCCTCGAGCGAGTCCGGGTGACACGCTTGGACTCCAACTTTCCTGCACGAGGTTTCGAGTTCTCACTTTGAGACTCATCTGGAGTCGAGGATGCATCCGATGACAGCTTGGGGGAGGCTGGCGCTGAGGCCTTTGCCAATCGCACTGATCTCGTCGGACTGGCAGGGGAGTAAGCATATAAAGAGAGAGCAGTACGGAATTTCTGCACATGGGCAGCCTCATCAGTCTCTTCTTTCTTCATCACGGTGCAATCCTTGTATCCTGACAGATGCGCGATCTGCGACTGCGAGATGCTGGCGGTAGTAGTAGGTGGCAAACAGGCGCCCAAGAGAGAGGTCAAACAACGACCCACGGCAGTCACCGCATAACCGTGTCACACAGTCACTAGCTCACCGCCTGACCAATATCAGCCAATAAATATGGCGGACATGTCATTCCAAGATTCGAATACCGAGTATCTAATACAATACAGGAGGGGTAGTACGTGTCCTTGAGAGCCCGCCGAATCGCCGCACCACGCTCTCACATTCAAGGAGAACAGGCCGGGCCCGGATTTTCGTAACATGCGATACAGGACAAGGCAGAAAACACCAGAGCGATCACAAGCGCACGATGAGCTGTTTGACGCCAGACATCCACAGCCCGATATCATCCGTTAACGTGCCGCTGGTGAGCAGGTCCATATGGATGTTCAGGGCCGCTTCACGATCGTGGGCTTCCATAGCTACGTCCAGATGCCATCGGTCAACTTCTTATCAGCAGATGTAGGGAGAATGGACGCACCTCTAGACAGCACAATGAGCTTCTCTTGGACGTGCTTCGATAGCGTCTCACAGTTGAGCGCGTCGAACAGCGGGTTGATTCTGCGCTCCAAATCGTCCGTCAGACGTTTTTGTGATGGCTGAATGAACATGTTCTCAGTCATCCTTCCCTATCAAAGAGCTATCATGAACTGACCGGAGAAATCTGCTTCACCCTCTCCAGCTGACCAGATATGACATTGTATACAGGGAGCAAGTCATCGGGTATATGACTTCGGTCACCCAGAGCTAGGAAAAGTAGACGTCAGATGGCACGGTGACGCTCAACAGAGATCGAACTCACGATACTTCGGAGGCGGGGGGCCTGCTCGCGAAGGCGGAGCAGACGGCCCTCCAATGCCATTTCCAGGTGTTCCGCCGCGCGGTAGACCCTGCGGTGGACCTTGCGGTGGTGGCGGTCCTGCAGGCTGATTCATGCGGGGCAATGGAGGGGCAAAGGTCCCCGGCTGGAGTTGCTGTTGCTGGGGTGGCATGCGCTGCATAAACTGTCCTTGCATGGGAGGAGGGCCTTGTGGCGGTGGCGTTGCATGCACATACGGACCTGATGGACCAGGAGGAGGGGCACCTGGAGGAAGATGTCCGTGTGGCGGAGGCGTCTGTCCTGGTATCGGGGCTAAAGGCGCATACGGATCTGGCGTTACAGCGGGAAGGGGAGGCGCCCTTGGCACACCGACGTTCGGAGGGGGGGAAGTCATCATCATACGTCCCGGCCCCGGCGCTATCGGCTGGCCAGGTGCACCAGGTGGACCTGACGGTGGTCGCATCGGGTATGGTCCCGGCCCAGCCTGCGGCGGAGGAGCCATACGATGTCCCTGGGGTGGCGGCGGCGGACGCGCCTGCACACTGCCAGGGCCTGGTGGTGGGGGGAGCGTCGCAGGAGGCTGTCCGTGTCCGAAGGTGGGCGTACCGGGAATACCCGGCGATGCAGGTGCATTCGGGAAAGGAGACATGATCGCGGCGGGTCTGCTGGCATTGCTGCCCGACCGTCGCTGGCCGGTGACATGGTGCGGCACGTCATTCCAGCCACCGTTCTCGCGTTTCGCAGAAGGTGCGGAGGGGATAGCGCTTGTCGCACGCGGTGGCGGAGGTAGGACATGGGGTTGCTGTGAGGCCAGCGGGATGGCTTGCTGTGGCTGCGACGGAGGACGCGCGTAGACATTCTGGTTGTATGGCATGGGCGCCGTTGACTGGAAGGACTGGGATGGGGGCATTTGTGACATTGCAGGTGCTGTAGGAGCATAGGTCTGCGAGGTTGGACCCGCCCGACTGTACGGTTCGTATATGGACGATGATGAAGCAGGAACCTGAGGTACAACCGAAGGCTGGCTAAGTGCAGAGTATGAGGTATATCCATACATTGAGCTGCTTGGAGCAACACTGGCTGCCCTCGTGGTAGTGGAGGTCGGCAGGGATGACGTCCGAGCAGCATGTCCCTCACCAGCAGCAATCAGTAGACGCTCCCTGCCCTCCGCGAAGTCCAATGCAGAACCAGGCCAGCCGTGGTAGTCTGGAGGAGTGAGCTTCAGATACGCAACTGCCTCCTTAACAAGGCCCTGCGACGCGAGCAAATCGGCGTATTCGTAGTAACGATCGTATAAACCGGAGAGCTTGTAGCTTCTTGCATCTGCTTCCTCGTTCGAGCTCTTCTGCGTGAGGTCGGTGTCTTCATAGCGGATGGCACTGCGGAACACGGTGACCTTCTCGACGAAAGTCTGAAGGGCGAGGGCGTGAGCAGTGTAGCGAGAGCCATCAAGCTTCTCATTCTCAACAAGTCCATGTTCCTCCTCTGCCATCTCTTCGATCCATATATTGACCAACCTCTCCAATCGCCCAGCTGCGAGGTAGGTGAGAGTCGCATTTCTCCTGTACTCAATTGCCCTCCGCTCTGCGCCGGGAAACTCGGAAGCCCTTGCAACGTCTGCTTGGAACTCAAGGCGTTGGCCAAGTTGCTCCGCCAAACTAGAGAACTCCTCCTGGCTAGCGAACGTGCAGAGAACGACGAAGATTTCCTGCCACTCCTGCAGATCTGCATTCTGCACGACATCTGCGAGATCGTTGGTGACGATGGATTGGAACAGGCGCAAATACGGAAGCGTCGCGGTCTGGTTTTCGAAGTACGCCTTTTGCGTGCGTTGCAAGAGCTCCTGACCACCCTTGACAGCCAGCAGGATGGCATCGGCGAAGCGAGAAGACGACAGACAGAGGGAGACTGCTGACTCAAAGTCACCGAGCACCAACGCCTTCGTCACCAGCCGGTCTGTCTCTGATTCGTCAGGCGGGTAGATCTTGAACGTGTTGTTCCTCAGCACCTCCGACGTAACTGACGATGGTCCGGAACCGATCGTAGCAGCTACGGACGAATCAAGCGCGTAGTTCGTGTGGGGGATCCGCATCTGATCGTCTGCTGAGCGCGCCGTCCCAATACTGCCGAAGAAGTCTGCCGCAGCATCGGTCTGCGGGGTACCGATCAGTTCGTCTCCGAACAGGCTCGGCGCCGTTGTCGTGGACTCGCCGTCGGCGAGGGCCGTGTTAGTGTTATCAGACGCAGCACCGGTACTGACCTCAGAGGGCGTCGCCTCAGCTACAGCTCCAGTAGACTCCAAGGACACGTCTTCGCCGCTATCGGAACGAGCCTCGCTCTCAGGTTCTGCGAACGAGACGACGGGAGCCTTGAGTTCCGTCTCAGTTGTTTCGCCTTTCGCTTCAGCTGCAGAACTTTGCGACGCGGCTTTAAGAGCAGCCACTGCCTCTGCAACCTTCGCTGCCACCTCTTCTTTCGAGAATCCCAGAAGGGTGATGAGTTCGTCCCTGGAGTTTGCCTTGAACAAGCTCAACAATGCTTTCCAGGTTGCAGAAGTCTCCTGAGGCTCTCGCAGAACTTCTGCAGTCTTCTCCTCAGCGAAACTGCTCATCGTCTCACCCTCTATCGCAGCCTGCAACTTGGTCGCACGCTCCACAATGGACTTCTCAGTGACCACTTTGCGGATATGGACGACGCTGCTTTGCGTCCTCCCATGCGCTGACGGCAAGTTGGACACAGACACAAGCTTACCACCGTAACCGAAAGAACTCGAGACTGGGCGGCGCAACCACTTTGGAGGATGTTTGAGGGAAAGTGTTGCTCGCGACGCACGAGCGAACCCGCTCGCACCGAAGATGTCAGAAGCATCAGGCTGCGGAGTGGCTGGGACGTTTTGGCTCGCCTCGTTCGTGGACTGGATTGAATGGATGCCGATCGTGCCGTCGAAGAACGCGGTCGCAAACAAGTCAGGATTCCGAGGGCACCATTGAACCTGGAATGCCCAGTTATCTGCAGGAGGCAGCTATAATGATAGATCAGTGGCTGTTTGCTTGGAAGCGACAGAATATATACCTCGCCGATGATCTCCGACGTCTGTGGATTCCAGCATAGTGCGCGATTGTCCTTACCGCAGGAAAGCAGCAGGTCAGCATCTTGCTTGCACCACGATAGCGAGAGGACGCCCTTCTCATGCCCTGTAAGGATCTGAAAGCATCTAAGTACTTCAAACAGATAACATTATGCAACATTTTCAGACCTTCTCGGGCGCACGAGCGTTTCGGAGATCCCATACCATGATAATAGGAGACGTGTCGTCCTCAGAAGACGTGACCAATCTTGTTGCCTGCAAAGTCCATGAGCATGGCGACCACTATCAGACAGCAGAACACCGACATTGTCTGGATGCCAAGCGACATCGCTCATACCGCGTCTTCCACCCATCGCCATACCCGCTGCACCAAATCCTTGCATGCCTCCTGCTAGCGTACCGGCACCACCACCGTACGCCAATGCCGCAACCTCTCGTTTTCCACGAAGATCCCACACGACCGTGTATCCCGTGCTGCTCGATGCCGCGAGAGCATATTGGACGTGATGGTTCCATGCAAGAGCGGTGATCTCATCAAGTTTCGTGCTACGGGTTCCGGGAGAGTATGGTTTGCTCGGATCCTTGAGGTCCCATATATATATCTGCAACGTGCTGAGCGCGCTGCGCGTCCCGCGATGTCATGACACGCACCTCCCCGTTGACTGCACCGGAAGCGAACAGGTTCATTTGAATAGGGTTGAAATCCAGACCGCGGATCGCGCCCGTGTGCGTCTTATTTCTTAGTATTAATGAATCCGCAGGACTGATAATGCAGACGGTCAGCGGGCAATGCGACGCGTTATACGACTTGCAGGTACTTACTCTGCATTAGCAAGAATCTTGGCAGGATCCCAGATGTCAAGTTCGCCGTTTTCCATGCCTGCGACGATGACACCACGCGCACGAGGTCCATCAGTGTATCCCCATGCGAGGCGGTTGAATCTGCGCGTATGGTCACGACGTTCGACAACGATGAAGTGCATCTCAGCAGCCTGCTACACACCTTGACGTGGTCGTGACGGATGCCTTGGGCCCTGCTTGACCTTCCTCGCCCAAGTCGAACTGGTTCTTGTCCAAAAAGTCCGGAGCCCATATTTCGAGCTGTCCATTGTTACTGAAGGACTCGTCAAGCGCGCCCGCGACCGTCCCCGTTGCCAGCAGGGGGAGTGACGGCGACGGAGACCACGCGAACGTCGACGTCCTATGGATCTCCTTGAGCTTCATGATGTGTGGAAGGAGAGTTGCAAAGGCGACGTGTTCGGTGATGCGTCACGTTGGGAGGATATTTCCACTTTAGCTGCGGATGATAAGCCTTATCTAACTTTTCGTAAATTCAGCAGAATAGCAGCAGTAGCAAGGCATTTGCCGAGCGGGAGTCGAAAGTTGCATCGGAGCGCGCATCTTCCATACGCAGACGTCAGTACAACGATCAAAGGTCCTGGAATAGTACGAATACCAACTGAAACTGCAGACTACTATAAGTTCTTGCGAGCCGTCTTGGTCTCAAATGATGACTATGGCCTGGACATTAATGAACACTACAGTAAGGTATGCGCACTGGAAGGTGCAACTAGCTTCTGAAATCTTCAATATTCATCATGTCTCTTCAGGCAATCGTGGCGGTTCTTGTGTCTCTTCCTTCCGAAGAGATTTCGGGGAATTGTATACGCCGCAATGTTCAGAATGAACAAACGAATCATTTACGGCGATTGGATTGAGAACGTACGCGTTGCACGTATACCATTTGGCGTGTATCTCAAACGAGGCTACCTGCAAGAAGCTCTGGCCACTAAATACGTGGCCACGCACACCACGATTCCCGTTCCTATCATATTAGACATTGCACCTGCAGAAGAAGGCAAGGTCTGGATGCTGATGACTGAGCTTCCTGGCAAGCAGCTTGGCCAACGTATAGGCAATCTCAGGAACCTCTCGCCTCACCAGCTGCAGGTCGTCGAAGATACACTTCGAGATTGGTTCGACCAGCTGCGGTCCCTTGATCCCCCAGACCCAGATGCCGTGTGTGCGTTCGGTGGCTACCCTATCAAAAGCAACCGCATCAGCCATATGAGGACGGTGGGGCCATTTCTCTCTCAGAGGGAATTTCATATGAAGTTAGTGGAGGGCTACGAAGAGACATTGGGAGATGTGCCGTCCGCGAGCCATTCAAAGCCTCACAGGATCTGTTTCACCCACGGCGACATCAGTCCTTATAACATACTCGTAGACGATGACAAGAAGCCTTGCGCTCTTATCGACTTCGAATGTGCGGGATGGATGCCGGAGTATTGGGAGTACACGTATGCGCTGTACATCCGATACCCGCGCTACAAGGAGTGGTGTGATCTCTTCACGCGCATTTTCCCTCAATATCCCACGGAGTTAGAGGTCGAATACCGACTGTGGGAGTTCGCTTTTCCGTGGTAATCAGGGATGACGGTGCGGTATGTGTATGTGTCCAAAGCGATTGATGTCTCTTGACTCAGAATGATCCACCTCCACATAGATCCTTGGACGCTGAAAGTGTTTTGCTACGCGTGAGTGTGCGATTATGTGTTAAGTGATACCCATCAGGATGTGTTGAGCTCTTCGCGTCGGTTTGCATACTTCAATTTCCTGGGTGTCTCTGTGTGCATTCAAACGAAGATTCGTATACGAGGGATGATACTGTAAGCTCATGACATTGTCACATTGGAACTTTTGTCAGTAGACTTGTTACGCTCACGTACTAAGTGTCCGCATTTCGCTTCGCTACTCAGAATGAGACACGACTCCATCCTCGCAATTCCGAACTGATCTTAACGAAACACCCTTGGCTGACTTCGATGCCGATGCTCATTGACTGAAAAAGGATCGGAGCAGCTGATGCTTTTGATGTCTTCCTGCACGTTCCTCTTGGCCGCGGCAGCAGGAGGCTTCGGGACAACATATCTAGCTGCCTGATACTTGCTTAATGCATGCGCATAAGCGGCTAAGTGGCATGGCAAGTGACGTACCTGTGTTGGAAATTTCGCAGGACGTTCCTTGAGAGGGCAGTCGTTGCTTTGTTTCGTCCCAGTAAGTGAACTCTTTGTACTGCTGCATAACGCTAACCTTGATTTCACACTGGTCTAATTACGGCCTTTACAGAGCAACAGATATTCATACGGGCGGTACCAAAGATATAACGCATTCGTATGAGAGGTCCGTACACAGGATGATACATTCGAGGGAAACGTCGATTAACCCGGTAGAATTCTCCGCACAAGCTGCTGTACAAAGTCTCACACGACGGTTAGACAACATACGCAGGTGGCAGAGACTTCTCCTGGAGCGATCGCTTGGACGTGTTCTCTGCGCTGTAGATAGATGATGGGATCGTCGCAGCCGATACGTGCTCAGAGAGTGGCAGTTCGACTGCGACGATAGGGAGGACGTCCGCGTAGATCGTCCTGGTCGTTACTTCCTGTGCTTTGGGGCCGCGCTCACGCATCAGGATGCAGTTGATAATGATGCCCTAAAAATGCTATCGTTGTTAGCTATTCCATTCGCAATCTAGAAGGGATTTCCCACCTGCAGCTGGACAATCAAGGGAAGGAAGTAGTTCGCGGCCGTGAGACCGATGCAATACAGGATCACGTACACCAAAGAAATTATTCCATATGGCAGTGCGGTCTCCACGACGGCTGCCTGGAATGTGGAAAGGGTGGAGCCATCCATTGGCGGGAGCGTACTCGCGACCGCACGACGGAGGAACAGGATGCGCGCTAGAATGAGGATGCCGAGAAGCGAACGCAAGGCCCCTGAGACAGCAACTCCTGGAATGTCTATGCCAGATCCCGCGCCTACCCAGAAGCTGGAGTATGGCGCATTATTTATAGCGCATTGTGCGGCCACAAAAGCTGTAGGTTCAAGTCAGATGCCGCCACCGCTTTACAGCATGGTATTCACCTATCTCTACGAGCCAAGCCACAGTCAAAGGAGCCGTAATATACCACTTCTTCCAATAGGTATGTGCACGGAAGAGCTGTGAAAAGGATCATCTATGAAGGGATTTCTTGCGATATAAATCGAGGGCGTACTAGAAACCCATCAGCTAGAATAAGGTTGACGAAGATCGTCGACACAGCCGCCAGGCTAGCAGGGGCGTTACGGTAGGTCACAGTATGTGTGATGCCGCTGATGTCTCCAGAGACGACGCTGACACCGTCGAACCAGCTGGATTGGTCCAACGTGATGTTGCATGCAATATTCACCACACCCATGATCCACATCACCGCGACAAGAGGCAGCCATCCAAATTGACCGGGAGGTTTGCCCTTCCAGACCTTGGATGCGGCTGCAAAAGCCGTAGTCGTATGTAGACCTGCAACAAGCCGGCGAAGTGAGCATTTGTGAATCATCAGTTGACACAGTATGAGCAGACACACCCAGCATGGCAGTTCCGACGTAGATTCCAACATTGACAGATCGTTGAAACCAGTACTGTTCATTGCTACCCCAGTCACTAGCAGGCTGATACGGGGTAGCTGTGGAGGTCGCAATGGAAATATATGTCATCGACGGTGACATATAGGACAATGACGCTGACGTGGTAGGCATAGCTGCGAAAGCGAGGAGATCCTACTGATTGTCGGCGAGGGCTTGAGCTCCTGCAGGGAGATGGGACGTTCTTATGGCCTCTTCGTGCCTCAATAGTTACGGGGACATAGACCACTGTGGGTTACATGAGGATCATGATCATGCACCGTGCGCCATGACTTACGGAGCTTGAACAATTTCCTCGAGACCGTACCAGATGGGGGTTCAAAAGCTAGACACCGGTGCATCTAATGAATGTGCTCGCGTAAAAGACACGGCGATCGCTCTCCGATGAATTTCGCTTCTGTGTTCAGTGGTGGGTGAGGCGAGGAGCTTTGAATTGACGAAATTAACAGCCTCACCAGTCTTAGACTTCGATCATCCCATGCGGCTTAAATGCGCCATCGGAAAATACGAATCGAAGCATACTGCCCAGCGCTATCAGTAAATCGCCCTTCAACTTCATCGTTTCCGGCCATTTTGCACTGTGCCGTGAAGCTTGAAGATCGAATATGACAGAAGGCTTGCCTAGATATCATTCGGACCCTTCTGATACGTAATTAGTGTGCGTAAGACCGCCAATACTACCTTTCCTCCCATAGTCGCGTTTCGGTGATCCAACACGATTAAGAATATGCACAAACACTAGTAACTATCCTGTGTTTACTCGGGCCCTGTATCTCAATTTGTGCACTAGATTTCTTGAGAGCGCAATTACTTCTCCGTTTGATTCCAGAAAGTGGACTTACTGCTGCACACTGTGGAATTTCGAATTTCTCCCCGGTCTCAATCCCGATCCTCATTGAGCCAAAAAAAATTGGATTGTTGGGAAGCGCTCGCCACTTTGGCAATCACGCGGCTCTCGGACCATCACGTCCACAGAGATACCCGTATCGCTTCGCAAACCACGGCACGAGTGTTGTTATCTCTTCTTCAGGTTATGACGACCGGAACCACGTACCATGTCAGCGATGTACAGCCACACCAACCTCTGCGTCTGGAATATGTCTATTCGCTGAACGACTCACAAAACAATGTTCCGTTATAGATTGTATCGCATGGCCACCGCACGAGCGACGTCATTTTAGGACGTGAATTTGACGTACCAGGCACATAGCTTCCATGCAGAACAACGACAATGTTTTTCACAGAAATAAGTCCGGCTGCATATGATCAGTGAAAGGGGGTATGGAGGGAGATGATGCTCCGCAACCCATTAGAAGATGTACAGTAAAATGGCTTGTCCTTTTGAACGTCCGGGCACTACATAAGTTGCTCATGTACGAATCCCAATCGTTCCACCTGCATGACAATGTATAGCTTGAGATCCGGCATCATAGTTCAAGCAACCAGACACCTACTCAAACCCACTCGGAGTGGCTGACCACATCTCCAGCATGTTATCCGGAACAAATGACTCTAAGCCTGGTTCTTGATCATCGCCAGGCAGGAACGACACCAGATCTTGCATAGGCTGTAGCTGAGGTTGAAATTGCTGAGCTGTCACTGTGGTATATGAGTCGGTCATTGGCATGAACGTCGAGGCATAATAGGAGTTCGGATCCGGGGCCATGTACATTGGTGTTACCGGAACGAAATCGCTATTCGTCCCTCCTGTGGCACTCTTCGAAGATTTGACAGCATTTGCTAAATATGCCTCGCCCATTTAATTTAAGGTTCTTCGTATCCGCTCGATGCCACTAAGGCGGGAACACCGTGCTGCGAAAACCTGAGAACATCCCGGTCCTCGATGCGATTCGTGTCCAAGGAGTTACCGGTACTATTACCAGCCCAGCCACTCTGGCGCACGTTTCGATCAAAGTTCACCGGGCCCGCAGTGCGCGGATGGCGATGTGGGACTGAGGAACACCTGCCGGGATCTACTTCCGGTCATCGGTGGAGTGTCATACGGCGAAACTCGGAGAAGCCTTGAAGATATTGCTATGCACGACTGCGTCTGACACTAGATCGCAGCAAGCTAGAGTCACCGCAAAGAAGGATTCCTATTGTGAAAAAGGCGCGAACAATTATGGGTTCCCTTAGACTTCCCCCTCTATTCATTTCCTGAGTTAGTTTCGCAGAAATTCATGCACAGCAAGGGTACAAAATGGGCCCCTTTCTCCAAAACTCTTCGCTTGACAAGGAAGGCTGGATTATTCGACTCAGTTCTAACGCCCTTCCTGCAACGAGAGTTGTACTTTCTTTGTTGTGAGTGCACGCAGGGAGAATTAGGTTGGATACTAAGCAACAACCTGAATAATTTATGTAATGTAAATTCACACGACATATTAGCATTAATCCGCTACACGGATGCAAGATTCTGATTCAAGGTTGTTCACAACCCTTTCACACTTTTGACGGACTCAACGACTTCTTCGACTCACACGTAGAGTCCAGTACTTACGTTCAGTGTCATGTTCGAGTCGGTTGTCCCGTCCAAAATGCTATAACATTACAATCCGCATTGTCTTAGCGAACAAACCACGACAATAAATTACGGCCGGTCGATCGGACTGCCGTGCGCAACGCACAACACAGCTCGGGTATATGTCTCCGCGTGCCATTCGCTAGCGGCTCCAGCCAGCTTGAATGAGCAGATTGTTTGTTGCTCGCTCCGCCGGAGGAGGAACGGTGTTGTCTCGATCACTATAAAGCAAATAAGCAAAGACAGATCAAGGCGGAAACGTTTGACGGCATACAGATAGAAGCTCTTGATCAGGGACTCGACTTCTTCTGCTGACATCTTGATGTCTAAGAAAGGATCGCACAATCAGCGGACATGGGATGGCAGAATCATGCTCAATACTCACATTTCTTCGGATCTGCGGGAACACGTCCTCAGTCAGCACCAAACAACCAAGATCCACAACAAGTGAATACTCACTCTTGCTAAATTCCTTGCCGAGATTCTTCTGTATGAACTTCTGCAACGACGGCACGACCAACTTGACTGCCTCATCCGCAACAGTCTCTCTCCCCTGATCGTCATCATGCAGCACCCTCGCCAAATGATGACGCTCCGCAACCTCGTCAAACAAGTCAAAGAACCGAGTGAACTTCTCCTTCGTCGCACTCTTGCTCTTGTCGCGGTCATCTCCGAGCGTCTGTAGGAGCGGCGAAAAGTTCGAGTCGAAATAGGCGGCCTTCGCCGTGCGGAAGTTTGACCGCAGAATGTCCTGCGCTGGTTTGGAGAGCAGCCCGGAGATTTCCGGGTGCTTCGGCTTGAGCAGAAGGCGAGTGAGAAGGTACGAGACATTGTTGAGCAGAAAGATGGATCCGAACGCGGGCCGCTTGTTCGACTTGGACAGCGCCTGAAGCGTGTTGACGATCATATTGACAATGTCGACTGCGACCCAGTCAGTCTATGGCTGTCTGGCGTTAATGGCGTGGACTTACAAGTAAAATGCTCCAGGATGGTCTGCTCGTTAATCTCTGTTGTCCTCGGAGCTTTCTTTCCGACCTGTGCGCCTTCGCCCATCTTCCAGTTGCCATCGCCGAGCGAGAGCAACATTGGGCCCACAGCGCCGCGCACCTCAGGCAGCCGCTCCAGATATTCTACGGTCTACGCCAACAATCAAAACTGGTGCATATCAACGCAACTCGAACCACGCTCACCGATATCGTGATATCAATCACACCTGTGCTCAACTCGCCCTGGCTGCTGCTCGCCGCCATCTTAATGTCCGCAAGGAATTCGGGAAAGCTACGCTGGCAGAGGCCCCTGATCGTCTGCACCCCATCCTTTAGCTCGTTCTCCTTGCGCCCCGCGGGCCGCCACACAACTTCGTCCCAGCGACTTTGAGCGCCATTAAGCGCAGTGTACAGTGCGAGCGCATGCAGCGTGTATCTATGCAGCGAGCGCTTGATCAGTGTGCTCAGGGACGAAAGAGTGTTGGAGAAAAGGGAAATGAGCGGGTTGAGCAGAGTGGTGTATGTCGAGGCGATCATTGCGGGAGCGATGAGAGGTGCGAGCTCGGTTAGGAGGTGATACTCATCCTGCATCCGCTATGAGCACACCAACTTACAAGTGATGGACTCGCAAACGCACCTCGGCAACGTCCATGATATTCTGCACCAACTTCTCAAAATCGTGCCCCGCCACCAGCCCGTCGACGCTACTCGCGCGTTCCGACACGCGTTTTCCGTACACCTCGAGACATTTCTTCGACCATGCACCGCGCATGTCGCCGTAGCCCTTCTGTGCCTCCTTGAGTGCCGCCTGGATCGCAGGCGCAGCGGGGTGCGACGGGTGCGTCGACGGGAGGGGTAGTCTGCGGAGGAAGTCGACGAGCGGATGTAGCGAGGCAAGGACGGCGGGCGGGAAGGGGATAGGCTCAAACTCGGGGCCGTTGACGGGCGTCCCGGAGGAGCCCTCTGCGACAAGCTTGGTGTAGAGATGGATGAGCTTCCTCGCGCCGGTCTCGATGAGGCGTGCCTGAAAAAGTCAAGAGGATTCATATAAGCATGGGTTACTGCTGGGTTAACACGTACGGTTTCGCGAGCACCGCCATCGGTGGCGCCGAACGCAATGGTCACGTTCATGCGCTGCATAACCTCTATATAATCCTGCAATTGCCCTTGTTGTGGGCTGAAGCGAACCTTCGTGATGTTTCAATATAGAGATATTACTGAACCCACGTACCCGCGCAGAATCAGAGCTTCCTCAGCAGCAATACCTTCCTGGTAGCTGGCAATCTCGTCGATCTTCATGAGCGCACTCTCGATGTCTGTTCTCAGCTTCAACGCTTGCTTGGTTCACGTTCTCTGCAGACTTACTCTTCGCTCGTCTGGTGAGCTGTTGGGTGGAAGTGTACAGTGGCAGAATGGACTTCTCGAGTTTCACAAGGCGAGTGTCGAAGCTGGAGAGTATCGCTGCAAGGTTGCATAACTCGCGACATGGCGAGAGCTTTAGCATACTTACAAGTCATCCTCTGTGATACCTGATGCGTCTTATTGAGGTTCTGCTCCAGCTGCGAGAAGGATCTCAGCTTGCGAGAGTCAATACTACCACGAGTACTGTACCAGTTCAATCTCTGCTGTTTCGTCATCCATGGCGCCGACGAGCTACAAAATACACAGATAGTGTAGGAAGACAGTGAGTTGGCTTGAGCGCACGAATCGACCAGAGCCGACTTGGAGACGGTGAGGAACGCAAGCCGGGGTTGGTGCCACAGCATGCAGCCACAGCAGAAAGCGGAAAACACCGTCGCGGAAAACAGATCGGACTTCAGATTCCCTGGTAATACCGTACCTCCGCAAGGTACCTCCAATCATTCCTATGCCAGCTTCCTTACTCTCGCTTTTTCTAAGATAGAGGTCCCGATTTCCATGTGTTCCTTCCTTAAAAACTTGCGGCTATACGAAATCGAGGGTTCCATGCTTTAATCGAATGCCACGGTGCGAATTTGAACGCACATAGTGGGGACTGTTGGACCAGTTGGGTAGGTATGACAGTATGTGATAAGTTTGCTCCTGCTGCTTGCCGATGCGGATTGAATTGGGGTACTAGTACCCGGTTCGGTTCCCCCTCGCCCCACCACTTTTCATTATATTTTGCTTTTTTCCCCTCATTTGCCATGGCAGATACTATTACTACCATGGCCATGTCGTGCTCCCCACCGGCAACGCCTTAATTGTACTCCGGTGGTCACCGCGGACATTGCATCGTCGCACGACTTACGCAGGGGGAGGGGGGGTGTGCTATAGTTGGCGTGGCGATCTCTTCTTAGCAGGCCTCGGCCCGGTGTCTTGAGCTCGAGGAACCTTCTCGCTAAATCCGCGCTCTCAGAGGCAAGTGCCAAGGAGGCAATCTACGAAACGGTCGAACCTATTATACGGGCAGAAGCCGCTGATGCACTGTTCGAGGCTGGCTTGAGTACTGTTCATTTATTCATTAAGTTTTTCGGGATATTGGGTTTGAGTCTGGGTGCTTCTGTCGTCCTGCAGATTCTGCGGCATGGTCTGTCTACGAATGCTCTCGTTCTTTTGCCGGTGAGATGTACAGATAGCATATCATTTTACCCAGAAGACTACTCTTATACAAGCTTTGAACATTTCTCTTTTTTTGAGATGAAACGTAATCATAACTAGCGAGAACGAACGTTAAAAATCGATCAAGCTTCATCCATCCCCTTCAACCCCACAGCATCGCAGCAGCATCATTACCGAAGTAACGATCGCCCTTGATGTGATGCTCGGACATGACCTTGGCAATCTCAGCCTTGTCAGCCTCCGTCAGGACAATATCCGCTGCGGCGAGGTTCTCAAGAGTGCGCTTCTTGTTACTATCCCGATTCGTGGTCAGTTACACTGATAGCAAGCATCAATGGCCAAAGTACGCACGACGAGCCGGGAAGAGGGATCACATGCTCTCCGAGAGATGAGACCCAAGCGATCGCGATCTGGGCTGGTGTAATGTTCTTCTTTGCTGCGATAGCCTTTAGAGCTTCCACGAACGCCAGGTTCTGTTCGATGTGCTGCACCACGTGGAACATTCTGATCAGCCCGCGTGTCTAGAAGAGACTGTGGTATGGTCACCTCTTCGCGGAAACGGGTCATCTGTCGGCGAAAATCGCCATCTGCGATTGCGAATGCATTCGTCAAATCTTTTTTTGTGAATGCGAGGCACACTCACCAGTTAGATCGTCAGTTTTCTTGATAGAACCAGTCAAGAAGCCTCTTCCCAATGGGCTGCACAGGACTCGTCAGCAATGATTCAATCTCGAGGGATACCAAAAGGACATACGAGTATGCAGCGACTGCGATGCCCAGCTCCTTGGCTGCAGCAATGACTAGACAGCTACCATTAGCTATGCCTTCCAGAACGACCGAACTACCCACCCTTTTTGGTCTCTTCCTCGTAAGACCAAAGGCTGACTTCAATCTCGACGATCGAGATGGGATGAACCTAGCAGAGCTGCTTTTAGTCCATTGTCAGTCAACCGATGGTGGCGAGCACTCACGGCGTGCGCGCGCCTCAGAGTCTCCGCTTTGCATTCAGACAAGCCAATGTGGCTGAATTTTCCCTCCTTAACGAGTTCCGCCAGCGTCTTGACGGCCTCCTCGATGGGAATCTTCGGGTCGACTCGAGCAGACTCAAACAAATCCAACTTCTTCGTGCCGCGAAGGACAGAGTTGATCTTGTCAACGCTGCGTCTGAGGTTCTCTGGCCTATACGAACGTCTCAGGTCGTACGGAGCGTACGAGGAATCCTGAAGAGTACACACGATGAATCGATATTCAGCTCGCCGACTACTGCACCGCCCTAGATGCCAAATGCCGTCCAATCAGCTCCGAGTATGCCCACATGAACGTATGAAGTGTACCTTCACCGACAGGAAGGTCTTGTCAGCATATTCAGGATACTTGTCGAAGAACCTGGCGATTAGCTCCAAGTTGGCCGTAGAGAGATTCGGCCCATAGAATTCACCTGTCAACACGAATAATGATGATTCAGCACTGCATGTGTGATTAGCAATGGAAGCGTACCGCTATTGATTAGCATCTTGGTACCGGAAGGTAAAGCATCGACGCCGGCCTTGATAGCCTCGAAGGCTTCTTCATCTGGGAGAGAATGCTGCGGATCTCTCCAGCTGTGTAATATAGCATGAGTAGCCACAAGCTGTACGGAGGAAACGTTGCCGACGTCATCATCATCAAGCCATGCTACAACGGTGGGCGTATGATAAGCGACCCTGGAGAAAGTCATTCCCCGCTATGAGACATACCGCTACCTTGCCAACGACAACGTCGCTGGCAGTCCCTCCGAGATGAGTGGTAGTGTGGATCATGTTCAATGTCTTGTTGTTGCCGTTTCTCCCTAAAACCGTGCAGTTCCGAGTGGCAATGAACTTATCTGTTCCACAGTCGCCTTATATACACACCGTCGTCCGTTACCTAGCCTAGATAGACCAAGATGCCGTTCGACGCGTCATGGTGTCGGCGGAAGGTCTGACGCTAGCTTACGTACGTTTAAACGTTGAACGTTGACGGCCTGAGATGTAGTCCTGAATAAGAACCCACGTCATAGTCCGAGCGCAGACTAGTCAGCTGCTATTCGGCGACGGGTGGGTCAGCTGCGATCCTGCGCTCGCTCTACGGCCCGAGAACCTATAACTGCAATTCAAGAGTGCTAGTGAACGTTTGAACACTAACAACCCTCAGCCGAGATGGAAAATTTTCCCACTCCCAGTCAATCGTTGGACAACGAGTGAGACGATTGTCGGGAAATGTGGTGAAAAATACTACGAGGAGAAAACTTGGGCGCTTCACGGGCGCTCCGAAGGGTGTGACGCAAGCGCGCTCTCGGTCACGCAGTTGTCACACTGAGGATAGCGCCTGCGGTGGCGGAGCCGAGCAATGTCCATAGTTTGATGCTTGTAATTTCGGCTCTCTGCAGGCTTCCTTTCACGCGACATCTTCCTCGCAATCCATTTCCAAGGATTTGTACAGCCAGAACATTTTGCGCAACGACGGTGCCGCAAACGCGAAGATTAGGCATGGAGTCCTCGGAATCTTCCTCGCAGGAATCGCTTACAGAGCAAGTCGGGAGCCTGTCCGTCTCCAAAGTCACCGACGTCGACTCGCACCTCGTGGATGAGCTGTTCGCTATCACGAAGAGGAGCCCAAAGCTTGTGCGATCGACCGAGTACCACGCGCCCGCGGATCCAAATATTATAGTTCGGAGCTGGAAGATGAACGAATTCAAGTACTATGATGTCCCTTCGCCATTCCCAACTCTTGCGCGTGGCCTCTTCACTATGGAGGTCAACGTCAAAGGCCGTCTCAAGCATCGCATTGTGGCCAGAGGCTACGACAAGTTCTTCAACATTGGCGAAGTGCCGTGGACAACAGTATGTCATATTTCCTACATATCATTCCGTGGCAAGCTTTGAAATGTGGCGAGGGCGAGATCTCTGTATATCAGTACCTACGGTTCTTGGGTTTTCGCAGTGCCGCGCAAGATTGTCATATCTCTGCGGATGCACCCATACCTCCAACTGTGGCGCACATACTTCGACCATGGAATGAGAACCTTCAGGCTGGAATGTACCTGTATTCATCTAAAAATCGTTCCCGGCGCACAATTTCCCGGCGCACATTGCTCAGTCGGTCATGGAGACATCACATCACATGGTGTCATAATGGCTGTCTTCAATAGTTCCCGTGTGGTGTGCGAATCTACTACACGGTCCCTTTCATGCTAGTACGACTTGAGACACTCTGCTCTCGCCCTCATTGCGCAGCGAAGCTTTCCACGGAATACTGACATCCTTTTCCAGTGTTTCCTTGCTTACCAGACCGCTATCACAGTGGGCATCTCTCGAGGCACACACCTGCGCTCCGTACACCCTGACGCTCAAATCAAACGGGTGCATCATATTCATCGCCGCGCTCACGCCGTCGAAGCTCCTCGTCACCTCCAAGCACGCACTTGGTCCCGGTGGCCGTGACGGCGAGAGCCACGCGCAAGTTGGCGAACGGTGGCTGCGGAAGCACCTCGCAGATAAAGGCAAGACTGACCAGCAGCTCGCAGCTGTACTATGGGAGAAAAACTGGACCGCCGTCGCCGAGGTATGCGCTCCCTGCTCCTACCCACGTACGTGTACTGACGCGCACGCAGCTGTGTGACGACTCGTTCGAAGAGCACGTCTTGCCGTACTCAAAAGAGAAAACGGGCCTGCACCTGCATGGCCTGAACGAGTGTACGCGCGCGTTCAAGACGATGACGCAGGACATCGTTGATGCGTTCGCGCACGAGTGGGGCTTCATTCCGACGCCATCCACGGTACTCAAGACGATCCCGCAGGTGAAGGCGTTCACAGAGGAGATCGGGCGTGCGGGCAAGTGGAACGACGATGCATTGGAGGGATTCGTCGTGCGCACGCACGTCGTCGACCCGCCCACGGCAGGTAAAAGCGGCAAGACCGTGCCGGTGTCCCTGTCGCCATACAAAGCAGGCTCGTCGTTCTTCTTCAAGGTCAAGTTTGACGAGCCGTACATGATGTATCGCGACTGGCGGGAGGTGACGAAGATTTTGCTGTCAAAAGGGCCCACGATGTCGAACGCCCCGAAGAGCAAGCTGAGACGAAAGGAGACGCGGTTGTATGTGAAGTGGGTGATCGATGAGATCAAACGAGACAGGGAGCAGTTTAAAGATTATACGAAGGGGAGGGGTATCATCGCGACGAGGGATCGGTTCTTGAAGTGGCTGGAAACGGAGGAAGGACATAACCTTGCGGAGAAGGAGAGCGAGAGAGAGGAGGCGGACAACGGGATCGTGACGAGCGCGGATGGGACGCAGTTTGGCAAGACGATCATTTTGCCGGTGGCAGTCCCGGGAGTTGGTTTGTCTATTTCAATCACTTCCCAAGTAAAGCATCACGGCTCACCCTGGGCGTAGGCAAGACGACCATTGCGGTGGCACTGAGTCATCTGTTTGGATTCGGACATACGCAGAGCGACGACATCGCTTCAAAGAAGGCTGCCCCTATTTTTGTCAAAAACGTCGTGAACCTGCTCAAGACACACGATGTTGTCATCGCCGACAAGTATGTCTCTTAGTCTTGCATCCCAACCTATGCTCACCGGGATCTCTGCATAGAAACAACCACTTGAGACAGCATCGTAAACAGCTGCGCGATGCGGTGAAGAATTTCAAGCCGCCCGTCCGGCTCATGGCGCTCAACTGGTCCTTCGACGTCCCGCTCTCCACGATCCACCGCGTCTGCGGCGACCGCATCCTTCAGCGCGGCGAGAAGCACCAGACCCTGCGCGCAGATGTGCACAACAAGAGCTACGAGGAGGTCATTTGGCAGTTCCTGAAACAGGCCGAGGAGCTCACGGACGACGAGGTGGACGTCTCGGTAGAGATGGACTGGGAGGAGAGCCTCGGAGACGCGCTCGCACGCGCGGTCGACGCGTGCGTGCGCATTCTTGGCGTGCAGCGGCCTGATGCAGAGGCGATGGGGCGCGCACTGGCCATTGCGCGCGCGTACGAGCCGACTAGCAGACGTGAAGTGAAGGCGAAAGAGGCTACCGTGCGGTACTACGGAATCCTCGTCGAGGTAGATCTGTCCGAGGTGCTCGGCTCGCGTCTTGCAGAGCCCGGGGTGCCCGCATCAGGGAAGTGGTTCTGGGACGCGCTCGTGCAGAAGAAGCGCGTCGCTTCGCTGCCGCACATCACTCTCGTCCACAAGAAGTCGCTCCCTGAGGAGACACCGCTTTGGGAGTGCTGCAAGGAGCTGTACCTCTCCGCGGCGCCGCCGTTGTTCACGTTCCGCCTTGGGCACTTGGTGTGGAATGATCGGATTATGGCGGTGACGGTCGAGGATCTGGCAGTGCACGGGGATGAGGCGGACCCGGAGGGGAAGGGGGCCGAGTTTTTGTCAAAGCTGCCTGAAGAGGCGAAGGAAACGCTGCATGTAACGGTGGGGACGAGGGACCAGGATGTCCCACCGGTGGAGGCGAAGGATCTGGTGTCGAATTGGAAGAAAACGGGCGACGCAGAGGGGATTCAGTCGGTGGAGTTGAAAGATATATGGTTGAAGGGGAGAGTAAAAGGCTTGACCAACTGAAGATTTTATAAGAAACCGGAATGGACACCGCTACTGTCCAGCTGCTTCATCCACCACCCACCACGACGCACTCTACATTGTATATTAGTACACCAGCTGTATCAATTAGAAGTTCAAGTATGCAACAATACCTCCGCTTAATACCTCGTCTTGTCTCAGCCACGAGCCCACTGCTGAGGATGATAAAGCACGCTTCATGATGCTATTGTAGGTGCCAGATATGCAGCTAACTTCTTGTGTGGGTGTACTAATCATACACAGCTTTTACCGCATCATAAATTTCAAGCTCTAGCACCCAGCCTCCTGACCTCATACCGGACCTTGTCTTCATCTCTGAGCAAGACGATTACCTTGCCGGAGCCTTCCTCCCAATGGTCCAGCCTCCTGAGCTTACCGCACTTCCGTGCGAGCAGAGACGCCACCTCGTCATTTTTGCGTACGCGACTGCGATCTGACAGCGTCATCGCCGTGCCCGGTGCCAGTGCTGTTGGCGCGATTTCGTAGAAGAAGCGCACACCGTGGAAGGTCGTGAGGTTGGACATCTGCGAGAGGATGTTTGCCCATTCGGCCTGTATGAAGAATAATACGAGTGAATGAGACCGCATTCTGACGAAAAAAAGAGGACAATTGGCACTCACGAATTGCGTGCTAATTGCAGGAGCGGCTCTGCCCGTGTGAGAACTCGTGCTGGCGTGAGAGTTCGCTGCTCCGTTCCCAATCCTCTTCCCAATATCGAGCCATATAAGTTGCGGAGCGCATTCCGCCACCTTCCTAACATCGTCCATGTCGTTCCAGCTGGCCAGCTCAAGCCTTTTCACGGTCGTGCCATGCTGTTTCAAGCTCGACAGGAACACCCCATCCCATTTCGACCCGCTCAACGACACGCCCTTGATCGTCTCCAACGGTCTCCCTCCCTCCGACACCGCGCACGGGCATTTTAGGACGGCGCTCATGACCTCCTTACTGGCCTTCAACTCGCGCAGACGAGGAAGGCAGTTCGGAAGGAGGGACAGCGATTGGCGGTTTCCGGCAGTCCCTCCTGCCTGTCCGCTGCCCAAAGCGACATCCAGGTGCAGAACCTCCAGATCGAGATGTGCGAAGAGGAAGGTCGACATAGTGTCGAGGGCAGCTTGCGAAGAGCACCGAAGGTTGGTGAGCACTAGGCTCTTCAGACGTGGCCACCGCCCACACAGAAGGAAGTCATCTGTAACAGGATTAGAGAATCCCGGGGCACGGCGGGTCGTATATGTCACGTTCAGGGACTGAGAATGCACCGGTGAAATTGGGCATTGTCTGTCGAGAGCAGCTATGGCATACCTCAATTGCTGCACAGTTTGCGAGCATGCCGGATATGCGGGACATGTTGGGATTCTTCGTCGCCCCGTAGGTGTACTTGGTCGACTGAAGATTGACAATCTTCAGCGAGGGCAGCTGAGGATCGCGCTATTCAGAGAGTGCCCTGCCTGGAGTCAAACCAAGACATCTCACGACGGGTTGACGATTCCTGCGGCTCGACCCTCCACTGTGCTCAACCTCAACCTCACCCGCAGCGGTTGGTGTGAAGATCAGGTTGTCGCTAATCTCGACCTGCCTAAGCGTCTGACATTTCATGAGAGTGGGCCAGACGTCGCCTATGGAGATGGGAGAGTGATTGCAAGACCAAACGAAGGTCTGCAAAGAAGACATCCTCGCCATGGCGGAAGCCAGTAGACGGCCCTGCTTGTCGTGCATGCCCAACTCATCGTCAGTAGACTCGATATCGGTATCGGAGGCGAGGATATCTGAGGGCACAGACTCGGGCTCGGTGGAACGCTCGTCGAGCACCTCCAGGCGGCGGATATTCCGGGCAAGCGCGCGGTGGACGATGAGGTGATTCCACACACGCAGTGAGCTGACCTTGCACCGCACGACGCGATAGTCATAATGCCTCGGGAAGATGATGTTGTACAGCCGGCGGCACGACAACGCGCACGCGAGCAGGTCGCGCTTCTCGTCGACGTGTGCGATGATCGCGTCGAGTATCTCGGTAGGCTGGCGCGTCAGTGTGCGGCGGGACGGCGCAAGCCCGACGAAAGGCTCCACGATCGTCAACAGGTGTAGGGAGAGCTTGTGCTCATCGGGAGAGAGTTTGAACTGGCACCCGCCGATCCGGGAGGGCAGAGACGCGAGCAGCATTCGCAGCGAACTCAGCGCAGTGAACGGATCCGTGCGATCATACGAGAGGACATTGGTGTTCACCGCCCGCAGGACTTTCCGTGTACGAGCCTTTGCCGTGGGTGGATGCCCCTTGGCCTTGGACGACATGGTGCGAGTTGACATGTCGCAAGTGCACAAGCTGGTCGTCAATGATCACCGTGTCGAACCGTCGCGCTGGACAGTGCGGGAGCGAAGGCGAGTATGACTCCTGCAGACAACTGCTGGACGTGCGAACGCACGCGGGTGCAGAATGTCGTTATCTAGACTCTAGACTATGCCCCATGGGGAAGAATGGAAAGAACGCACCTCCGCGATAACATGGAACTTCCTTCACGTATCTGTACAGCGTTTATAATTATGCCTCCATTATTATTGACGTAGCCTAGAGCGATTCTGATGCGGCTCTCACCACGAACGATGAGCAGCTGCCATTGATTTTGAACTCACCGTGGTGCGCACACGCCTGCAGATCTTAATGGACGAAAGTACTCGCGGAACTTCTCAGAGCGTACTCACCCAAAATGACACGTCTACCGAGGCAGCCGATGATCACGGTGTCAGATTTACTGCAATGTAGTGGGGACTTCAAAATCGATGTCGTCACTACGAATACCACTTCAGCGGCCATAGTACCTTGTGCACTTTGCATAGGTTGATTATTCGACAGAGCCATGAGCTTTCTCCATACAAAAGCCAGTTACTAGTCGGTTACAACCTGAAACAGACTCAGCAATATGAATTTGATGGTGTGGCGCAGACCCCGGAAACCTCAACTAGTAACAATCTTAACCAATCCCACATCTCAGCCGATCTCTCACAAAAATGTTTCGAACATAAAAAAGGCTTGCATACTGGCATGGAGTCTGAAGGTCCATAGTGCCACTGCGGACCTCCCGCCCATCGTCGTCACGAATGATTGCAGGAGTAAAGATGTGAGAAAGCATACCACGTATAGATCCCCAAGGCACCCATTTGGAATGCTCTCCAAACGCAGCGGAGTCCGACGCGAAAGCCAGCTTGGAAGCTTGAATAGCTCTCGGAATCCGTTTATACTATCGCATCCGCATCCAATTCAGTACAGCGTCATTTATGGGACACAGCTACCGAAGGGTCGTAGTGGGACGCTCTCATGAATGTCTATTCAACGCACCTTTCGAGGCGTCCCTATTGCTGCGCTCGCCGATGGCGCCAATAAATCTTTTGTCAAACAGCTGAGTATTATTTCCAAGACTTTCAGGGCTTAATGATCCACGAATGTACAAGTTTGGAGTATCAATGTCTTGCGTCTGCCGATGAAACCAGAGATCTTGGTTGACTCTTGCACTGAACTCTTAAGTCGCATAAAGGTAAATACTTTGTTTGCCGCTCTCTCTATGCTCAGGACAAGGCACTTTGGAGCAGACTCAAATCGACTGAGCAACCGTACGTCTGATCAGTCTATCGTACACATCATAAGCGAATCCTATCGTCAACAGGCGTGGCAGGCGTGACTATCCATTAGCGTACATCTATACTGGTCATAACAGAGCAGTCCCAAAAGCTCATGCAACAAGCGTCCCAACGAGAGAAAAATATAGAAGAGGACTGAAGGTCGCCGATCATGTCGCTTCCTTCTTCTCAACGGTGACGTCCTCCTCCTTGGCGATAGAGCCTGCTTCTGCGTCTTGTGCGCCCTCTTCCATGACTCTATTCTGCACATCGTCCACGTACACCATCTAAAGGAGGCATCAGCAATGGACCGGCCTTAACATCAATACACCGACTCACCTGCTCGTCATCATAATTTGTTTCCTTCACGGTTCGCAGAACGAGGAAGGCGAGCGGGAACGAGGCTAGCATCATGATCCAGCTAGCGAGCTGCAAGCAGAATGGAACGAATGGGATCAGCGACGATTTCAAAGCAAGGGGACAGTTGTTCGATCGCGCTCACCAACTCGTTCAGGAACGGCGTCGAGACAGCATCCATGCCGTAACTTCCGGCACCGCCCTGTAAGGAGTGATTAACATACTGATGCATGTACAGCCACATGAGACCACTGACAGCACTCTGAATGGCCTTGTAGATTCCCGCGAAACGGGCAAGCTTGAAGGGATCGTTCGTGAGCGCGCTCATGATCCAATACGCGAGTGCCTGATAGCACGCATCACCAAAGTAATCTGCCCATCCGAAATCAACCTCTCCGAACAGCCACAAGTAGCAATATAAACAATAGCGCTCACAGAAGAAGAACAGCGGCCCCTTCGAGCGGTAGTCCGCGTCCTTGTAGTTGATCAGCTTCTGCTCCTGCTCCAGCTCCTTCGCCTTGGCACGGTCAAACGTAACCTGCCATGCGAGCCCACACGACCAGATGGCGATGACTATCACGGTCACGACGCCGAGGCCCAGGTACCCACGCGTGCGGCGCTTCATCCACTTGGCGTCGAGCACGCAGAAGCCGTAGATGAGCGCGCCGACGATCGCCCCCGCACCCTCGAGGACCGCGTTGAGCGCGCGCGTCGAGGAGTCGAAGCGTGCGGTGTTGATTGCGCCCTGGTACGCGTAGAAATAGTTGGAGGCGAAGAACATCGGGAGCAGGGCTGCAGAAGAGTCAGACGGGGTGGACGAGGGAGTGGGCGGGAGGCGTACCGAGTACCCGCCAGTCTTTTCGCATTGCCCACATGCTGAGCAGCTCCTCGTGCAGTTTCGACGCAGCCTCGAGCTTGACGATCGTCCCATCCCCGCGGATAACGTGATTCGGGGGGAGTACCAGGAACGCGGAGGCGATGCCGACAAAAATTACGACGAGGAATGCAATATACGTCGATGTCGAGACGGCTGTGAGCCCGCCGTGACGTTCATTGATTGTAAATGCAATAAGGGCACCGATCAAGGCGCCGAATTGGAAAATAGCCCAGAAGACGGAGAATGCTTTGCCCTTATCTTTTTCGAGCGGATAGCTCATCATGATGGAGCCCTGCGCTGACCAGAGCAACGCGGCGGAAATGCCGAGCAGGGCACCGGCAAAAATAAGGAACCAGCTCGTTCCCTGAGTTTGATAGCTGGAGAGAGCACGTCAGCGTGAGCTTGCAGTGGTAGTCTGAGCAAGTTATGTACCACCAAAGCGACCCGACATAGAGGGCATATCCAAGTGTGCCGATGAAGAGCGTGAGTCTCGGTCCGAGTACTACGGCAATAAATCTCAGTACAAGATGACTTGGAGTGTATGTTAGACGCACTATTTGAGATGCTTCCACTGACTAGACCGGTCACAGCGAAGAGGCCATAGAGGACGCCGTTCGCAGTGTCGGACAGTGTAATATTTTGTGTACCACCTGCTCCCAGATTGCTGATCGCGCTGTACATGCCCACTGTTGCGAAGCTATCATGGTTCGCCCGTGAATGTTTTTAAATAGAGTACACTTGCGTAAATCAAACAAACGCACCATGTTATACCGACGAGCACCACCTGTGTCATCGGCTTCCTGTATCCCGTGTCCAGCCAGTCAACTTTGCAGCAAGCGCACACGAACACCGAACGTACGTGTAGAACTTTGGCCATTTCCACGGAACCATCTTGGCGACGTCGTCTCTGGCAGTGGACAGTGCACAGACGCGGTACTCAGTTGGTAGCACAGAGGTGTACTCGGCGAGGCAGCTGGCGCAGGCGCGAGGCTCCCATGGTGCATCCTCGGCTCATACTTATACTTCTCAGACGTAGAGGCAACGAGTGATAAGGAATGAAGATCTCTAAGGCCCGATAGTCTGCTGGCGCATGAATGGCGCCCTTCACGAGATAGGCAGGCGCATGATTCAAGATCGGTTTCACATCTAGTTTGGTAGCTGCCGCTGTGGGCCCCCTCTCCGCATGAGCTTGTAACCTGTATCAGCCTGACAATTCGCATCAATTGCCGCTGATGGATGCCAAGGTGAGCTACTGTGACTTTAACGTACGGCACGCCGTGCTTCGGAAGGGCCACATGAACGCACCATATGGCTAGTTTGGCCACTGTCCGCTCGCGCGGGCCAGAATATCCACTCCGAGCTGGGAACCCGCGAACGTCGGAACTGTCGTCACAAAGTTCGAGTACTTGTGAATTGGCGGAGTCGGTCCCTTCTCAGTCCACATGTTCGCGAAGTTTGGTTGCTTATTGATTGTTCTTCATAGCAAGCGGTCACAAAAAGCTTGAGGCGACAGAGTTAACCCGGAAAAACCTGGTTAACCTACGAATTCTCAACCTCGGCGTCAGATTAACTCGTCAACGTGGCCATGAACAGGGGATGGTGAGATCTATCTTGGTCGTGAGAGCACTGATACGCTCTGCCGCCGAGCGCTAAGCGCTAGCTATTGCATCGAGTCGGGACTCCCTGTGGTTCGACGATCCTCAATAAATGATATGTATGCCTTCTCTTCAACTACTATCTGCAGTACCTCCGTATCAAACCCGCGCTGTGAACTGGGCAGATCGCAATCCGTGCCTGTTGCAAACGCCTTGTGCATTAAAATAGCACTGTGGCGGCCCATCAAATGATTGTGTTCACGGGACCCGTTCCACCGGACACAACATAGAAGGTTCAGCGAAATTGCTCATGCAGTCACTCTTGTGCAATGCGGCAGACATCGGTGCGTGCGCCCTCAGGCTGGACTGAGATGACCGCGCAGCGTGCCTCTAGCAAGACTCGTGTATGAAGACATCTCACCGAGCCATCGCCAGATACCCGCCCTCAGGGCTCGGGAAAGCTCGGGAATCGAGGCTGGAAGTTGCAAGCGTCGCGACTTTGACAGTTTGCCGCCGGTGAAGCGAGGCATGTCCGCTACATAATCCGTGCTAGAAGCGTTCATTTCCCTGGTCTAGGCAATGCGAACGCTATAGCTGAGTCGTGCAAGAGTCGTGTTGGGATTCCTCCGAGCCAGGGCGCGGCTTCACCTACATACGGCCTCATGAGCTTTGTACTCAGTGCTTCGATGTCCCCGCACTATGGGATCTTCCTTGTGAACTTACCGAACATTAAGCGCTAACAGCAGGCACTACTCTCGTTCAAAGCTAGTGTTGCGGGCAACCCGCCCTCTAAATACCTCTTTACTATCCTGTCACCAGCTTAACAAGCGTTTCTTCAGGGGTCTTCTCGTTCCTGTTATGATTTCTTTCTCGACATCCTTACGATTCTTGCAGCCATTGTCTTTCCACCTAACAGAAGATGGCTCTGTCACGGAACATCTAGCACGCCCGACAGGACATTCCACCCGGATTGACAGTATCATTGGCTGCACGTATGTAAAGGCCTCAGAAGCCCACTGTGGAATGGAACGAAATCCGTATGCTGAAGTTCAGGTCCCAAGACGTTCCACGAGGACCGTCTCATATCTACACCGGCATGCTGTCTATTCACAAGCGCTCATAATCTTCGCCGGGGCGGCACCTTATCTCGCTTGAAGCGTCCAGCTCGTATGGCATGGTTGATCACCAGGTGGGCCTCGGACAGCTCGCTGGCTATCTGTGATACGCCCTGGCCTCAACATCTGCACAGCAATATAAATGACTATCTAAATTGTGGAATGGTGATGATCCCTATGTCTCATCTGTCGACGTCGACTGCGCTCTAGTTCCGTCACGAACAGATACCGCTTTTGTGGATGTCATCTTCGACAGCAACTGGCACTGACGAACCGCGTTACGACGATTGAGTGCGATACTGCTGCTCAAGTCCCCGCGGCAAGCCGGCAAAATCTTATCCTCATAGCCTTGCAATTACGGTTTACATGTCTCAAGGCTTCGACCACGGGTCGATAGTGCAAATGCGATCTCTGCGATCACCCACCGAGAAAATCTCCTTGCACACGGGTTTCGGCTCACCAGGCATCAAGTATCATCCCATTGTCCGACTCGCTCGAGGCTACTTTGCAAGACTCTTCGCACTACGTTTTGACAAGCTGCCGGCATGATTGAAACCTGGCTGAGAGCATTTTAATGGCGCAGGTCTGAGCGACTGCCTTTATCCTCATTTCGGATTCCCTTCCTGCAGCAATTGTGTTCTTCGGCAATACATTCTACTTGCCGATACATTAACAGGCGCTAGGACTTCCATGATAGTGTTAGGCGCGCAATGAATCGACGCAGCTTCCATACTAGTGCGCTCAGCTGAGTGTTCGCTGCATCCACGGAATATTGAGACTCACTTTCATTCGTTAGCCTGAGTGTTGTTCCTGAGCCAGTTACTTTGAAGCGGAAAGTAGCGGACTAAAGCGGGGCGGGCTGGGAGGAGCAGGGGAAGGAAGAGGATTCCTCTCTTCCTGAGCTCACGAGAAGTGAACAACACGACAGCGCTATTGGTGAGGCAAGGCATTTTCACACCTCCGTGGATGATAAATTATTACGGCTGCAATTGCGGCGAGCAACGGTTGATAAGCAGTTGTAAAGCTTTAAACGATGAGAACGTTATGTGGTGCCCCATCTACGCCAGCCATATCATGGCTTGATAAATCTACAGGATATCATGGCAAGAACTGCATGATATAGTAAGGCATGACAATGGTAGCTGTATGATCTCGTCACTAATCTGGCCTCATATCCGGCACGCCTGTTAAGTTTGATTCTAAAAGTATTGGGTTCCTTGAGGCTTTTAGATTATGCGACTGTATCAAGCTGCCATCCATCTGCATGACGCATGTACATCTCGAGCTAGTAGTAGATACTAGAGGTCAGGGCCGTCTTCATACAAAACTGAATTCTTCTGTGATCTGGGCCTACAGGTGAGCCTCAATTTCGCGGTTTAAAGAACTTCAACAAACAAGCGGAACATTTTAGTCGCCAATTTTCATGCAACAGACACGTACAGCGAGCGTTTGCAGTCAAATAGCGTTCTGCATGTGGACCTATGTGGACGCGCCCGGGTTGCCACAATCGCGTGTCTTCATCACGTGCCCGTGTATATCTCCTCTGGCATTTCGACTCGCAGCCTCCGCCTACGCTTGCGGTCATGTCTCAGACTGGTTCTCCAGAGAGCCCCAGAAAACACTTGTTACCGGAACAAGATGCACCTAAATCTCTCCCGAACGAGCCATCAGCGTACCAATCGAGTTTTGCGTTGAAGAACGGCAAGAAAGAGTCTGTGCCAATATGGGTACCTCTCACGTTGGTGCGTCGTGCACGGTTCGATACGCGCTCCCCACTGAAGGAATAGAGCCTAGATAGCATTCTCAACGGCTGCTCTTGTAGTCCCGATTGTCTTGTTTCGGAGGCAGAGAGCCGCTCTCCTCGAGCAATCATTAGCCAAACCTCCTCCGCCACCTCGTCGAACAAACGTCGGCGTGACACCACCAGCGAGGACAACGTTGTTAGGATCTGCGCCTCCTCCGAGAAGGAGTACTACGCCGTCTGCTGCTCTGCCCTCCTCCGTACCCTCAAGCGCTGACACTGCGAAGCTCGAGACAGAGGCTGCAGGCGACTACTTCAACGGTGTCCTCTATAGCGCGAAGGCGTTCGTGATTGCTACAACGCTGGTTGGTGTAGGAGCTGTTGCGACAGTATGGGGTGTCAAGACAGCTCTCGGTGTTCGCGATGTGAGCCTTCCTTCGATACGAAAGCCGTCCTTCTAAATGGCTTTTAGACGCAAGAATTTGCACAACGCATGAGATTGCTCATCATGGACAGCATGCCAAACTTATCTGCACGGATTCACCAGGCATTGCATGATGAAGAAGAACGTGCCTTCCCCTCCGAAGCTATCACACATACAATCACTAATGAGAACATGGACGCCAACTCAAAAGCAAGCATTGAATGGTCATGGCCTGATGCAGAAACGCGATTGAAGGCCGCTTTTGAGAAAGATGGGTTGGTGGGGTGGGGCGAAGCTGTGCTACATGAATTGGAGACCGAAGCAAAGATCAATAGAAGCAAGCGTGGGCATGCCTAACTCCTCGTATCACTCGTTCATGCTTGCACACTATACGGCCTTAGGAAGAGTTGATCGCACTATATGACGCAGAGGGGAAAAAAGCGATCTACATACTGCGTGCCATATTCATGGGGGCTGCATAAAACGACGATGCAAAAATATCATAACGGAACGCAATCGCAGAGAAAATGCATCCCAGCTAATACATAACGCCCTCCACATGGGATGCGAGACCACCGCCTCAACTCTCCATCCGAGAAAACGTTCACGCAGACGCCTTCTTGATGGCCTTGCGCACGGTGTCTCTCCGCGACTTCTTCGCCAGCATAACGCTGAATCGCTCGAAATCATTGAGCGATCGTCGCTTCTCAATCGCAGCCCGCTTCTGTGCCCATGACGACTTGTTCCACCTCTCGACGGTGCCCTCCTTCTCGAGCTGCTTGCGAATGACGCCGGAGCCGGCAGCGTGGGGAAGCTTGGTGAGGACGAACGGCGTGAGGGTGACGTAACGGTAGGGGAAGGCTTGACGGGGAACGCCAGTTGTTGGGCCGTCAATGATTGCCTGCATTCTCGATAAATATCGTTGCTTTAGAATGCACGCATGATCTAAGGCATACCCGGTTGTGGTCAATAATCTCCGCAATCACAGCGATTTGCCCAGCCTGGGGACCAGAATTGAGAAGCACCACTAAGCACATAGGTTAAGGATGCGTGCAGGCAAATTTACAGCCACTGTAGTACGTACCGCGGCCAACCTCGACGAAGCGCTTGAAGTTCGAGGGTTGTGCTGCCTGCAGAATACGTTTTCAGCAATGTCCCAAAGCTGCTGCCACAAAGAAGCCCTCGAAACCATGAAATCCTGCGGAACACCGCCAATCTTGAACCTTGCCTCCACACAAACCACCAACTGCACCCTCCCCTCGTCCTCCGCCACCGAATGTCATCCACTCCCGACAGCCGCCATCCATCCCAAAAATCGCTCGTTCCTCCCAGATTTTTGCAGGATCTTGTACACAAGAGGCCTCCAAGCAGCATTCAGAATTAAAAAAACCTACCGGCATGTTGTATGCTTGAGATTGTCGATTGCCTCGGTCTTGTGGGGGCCACGGATAGATTCTCAATCAAGTTTCGGAAGTTTGCGAGAAGACGCACACGTGACTGTGACCGCGACGCGTCCCAGGCGCTTCCCGGATCTCGAGTGGTTGCGACTCGACCGAGAATTGCTCACTGCTCAGTACTTGCTTTCTCTCTTCCTCTGACTGATTTCACGGAAATATTCGATACATGTCTTCCCAAAAATCGGCATCTCTGAGACCGATACCTACTATCACAAGGATCGCAGTGCAAATGTTGTGCATGAATATGTTGCCAATTGAACTGTGGTTAATGTTCTCGTCTTGTTCTCCGGAGATGACCCAGAACTGGCTAGTGGTTGATGGCGGCAACGTTCACGGCGCGTCTTTGTTGTGCTGCTTGTCCGATATGCGTTTCAGGCCATTGCATCAGAATCTGTGGTGCTGCGTATTCGCGTATTCTTCGCGACTATGATTTTGGCGCGAATACATCGTCCACTTGCTTTCTGCCGTAAACAGCCTCAAACTCCCGGCTCCAGCGACTTAAACGAGGTAGGAGCGTAGAATCATGTGTAGCCCACGGCGGTTAATGTGCCCGCGACCATTGGCGTACAGCTAATGCTCTAATGTGGCCCTCCAGTTTTCAGTGGGAGGATCTACATTTACCCAGTATCAGCAAGGTCTGCCTGCCCTTCTGTCCGCCGCCCATATCACTAATAAGGATGATGACGATGACAGTGACTGTGGCCCTCATCCTCCACACTTGCACCGTATTGGGTCTCCAACTTAGAATATAGACCGGTGGCACTGGTTCCTGCATTCCGACGACATTGGCATCTATATAGGAGTTGCCGTCCTTGGCAGGTCTGTATGCACACTCTCGGATGTCGTTCGCTAAATAGTTCCCACTCGATACAGCTCCCCACATGGATTCAGCCTCGTCAGCATTGTTCAAGATGTGGCAGAGCGAAACTGCTGTTCGCCATGGATGGCTACCCGTTACCACAATTTTGCGGTCGATGGGCTTGCTAAATGTCGCGTTTTACATTTTCGCGTTTTACATTTATCCTCCTGGTTCATTGGCTTTGTGGAGAATCCTATCTATGTTTATCTCGTAAGCTTCTCCTATGAGCCTGGTGGCTGCCGCATCGACAGTCATCATAAACCTCATTTTCTGGCTCGTCTGAAAATCGTAGCGTCTGACCTGGAAAATTAAGCTCTGGTGCTTACACGGCACTCTGACAATGACTACCCTGTACCATCTTCTGGATTGACCTGTTCTTTAGCATAGACGTTCCAGGGTTGCTATCGCGGGGTCCTTGCACCCGCTTGCCACCATCCTCAACTTAGCGCACATCGTATTCTTCCGCCAGAATTTTCCCGAAATCCTTTGACAGAAGAGCGATCTGGTTTATTCCCATTCGAAAACGACCATGGTGGAGTCTGCGGTGCGGGGTCATTTCATTGGTGTACACCATCTTCAATTGCACAGATACTATCGCACGAGCTTCTTCCTCTTCTAGATGATTCAGCTGCGGGGGAATATCTCATCTGAAATTTTTAAATTTCTGCGTGGCTAATCTTAGGGCATCGTAATCAATCGCATCCTTATGCGTAACACTGGCAGCCATGCTCAGGAAGCTAATCCGACGACTGCCTCTGCAGGCCCTCGTGCTGCCTCGCCTAAGCCCTTATTTTGCGAGAGCGCGACACCTGTTCCATCTATCTACAGCACAGAGAGCAAGAAGTTAGAGTCCGTCAGGAAGAACTTGGCTCCAACCATCACCTGCGCATCTTATTCAATTGCCATGTGAGATGATTAGACAAATGTTTATAGAAATGGCTCTACTTATGAGTTCCGATGTATTCTCCACGCGTACAAATTGTCATATGATTTTCCCATACGTTATGTAGCGGCATATTGTGACCGAACAGTGATGTGTTACGTGACCAGACGCGTCGAATGCGTCACGATACCCCATGAACCATACCACGATGAGTGGCCCGCCTCCAACTGCGCCCTCCGTGCTCCTGCCTGAGCTGCTGGGATTTGTCCCTCAATTTCTGCTCGATGACATTATTAACATTGCCAACGAGGCCACTCGACAAGCTGTCGACGCGATGGAGGCCTTCCTCGAGCGTCGAGCCGCTCGTACTGGACCTACCGACGCGACGAACGAATCGAAAAGCACAGAAGAGCTTGAAGAGGGTTCTAAGAGCGCAGAAGAAACTGAGAATGGATCAGCAAGTACAGAGGAACTTGAAAAGGGATTGAACTCGTTCCAGACATTGCTCGAGTCTCATGTAGACATTGCCTTTGACTTCTTCGAGGCCTGGTCCTTGCGGAATATCTTCGCCATCCAGGCTTACTTGCCCATTGTTGCACCACATCAGAAGGGGCTCAACCTCGACGAACCTCCGGAGAAGGAAGACGAACTATTCGCTGAGATCAAGCAGTTGAGGGTGCAGCTACAGGCAGTAAGCCCCCTTAGACGCAGCGATTGTGGTCTACATGCTGATAATACATATGCAGCAACGAAAACTCCGACGTCTCTATACCCACGCAGTGAGGATGTCTGCAGCGCAGCTCGCGCACTCGCAAAGACGACTAGAACGTCTTTCTTTTCTCCGCTCTCCTCAAATGCAGACTCTTCTGTCGCTTCCGGACGAATTCCATTCCATGTACAACTCAGTCTCCTCTTTGCCCCCAATCGATGCTTCCCTCACAAAATCGGAGCAGTCCGCACTTTCCGCGCCCGGCAAGCGTCCGTGGGAGACGAGCAGGACAGGGTACCTGAACTGGGCAGTCGAGCAGCTGATGATGCGTGTTCAGGAGAAGGAGAAGGGCGAGGGAAGCTTCCCAGAGCAGAGCTCATCGGTCGGTGCGGCCGCCGAGTCTGCAAACAGGGTAGGTAGCGTGGACGATATCAAAGCAGCGCTAGAGCAGGTGGAAGGAAAAGACACCGCGATGAAGCTTGGGGTGCAAGATGAGGGAGAGCGGATGGAGACGGATTGAGATTAGTGATTTAGGTTAGTGGCCATTTTATTGCGACATGTCATTGTATGTAACAGTATGAAGGTTTGCTTGGATTGCACCTCTTTCACAATGATTGTACGGATTTGTGATTGGAATTCGCTTGGCAAGCATCAGAGTCGTTCGATATCACATTTTACACAGAAAATCCATGAAGATGTCCGAGCGTAGTTGCATCTCAAGCAGCGTAAACTCGTAGAGGTAAGCTATTACAGAGGAATGTCATTAATACGGACTTCTCCGTCAAAAGAGTTCTCACTCAGTGTGCAGATTGACGGATCCGCACTGGACGAGTTATCTGGCTGCAAGGCCTCAATTGCGGGTGAACGAGCAGCAGTGCCGACGGCGAGTGGCCACCAAAACAGCCAAGACGTTCGCACGCGCGGTATGGTCCTGCACGAAGTTGGACGAAGGCGTCTTCCCCGAAGTTTCAACGATCTCTAGACTCAAGGGCATCAATGATGATAAAGTGGGTTGATCCTACCGAGAGCCAGTGTGTCCCAATATATACGCCCGTGTTAAACGAACTCAGGAAGATCATTGCTTCGAACATCGCTAGAGGAAATATAATGAAGGGAGCCTGAGACAGGGCTGATTGCACGATGCGAGGAAGCGCTATCGTCCGTTATAAAGTATATGCCGTATTATGACTAGGCGAAAACGCCGCAAGCTCAATGCACAGGCTAGAGCCATGTTAACCGCCACGGTCAAATCATCCTCCGGAGCGCACACTCTCGCTATCTGGCTAGTCAAATAGTGTCTTATTTCGCATGTCGACTGAAATTAGTCAGTAATCAAATGGCGGACGAACTGGACAAGGTTGCGGAATCAATGGGCGATTCATCACGATGGATGTGAGTTACTATCACAGATGCAGTTTCTTCGTTGGATCCTAAAAACGACTCATGATACAGAGTAGGGAGAAACGCGCGGGGGTTTCGGTGCTTATGCTTGGATAAGCATGGACGGATCTTTGCCCTTCCAGTATCCGGGTCCATAGTCGAAGAACAGCTCTTGACCACTAGATATCCTTGTTTCTAGTTGTGGCGACATCAGCTGTGCGCGCTAACATACGAAACTGTCTTACTAGCATAAAATAAGATTCTATGGTCTCCATTCACATATTCAACTGTGAAACACGGCCGATGAGGATATGCATTGATGTTTCTCGAAAATGTTAGAAGATATACTCTTCACGTCGACATTGGCTCGTTCAGATGGTAGATGATTGACGCATCTGGTCTCATTGCCCACATGCGCTGAGTCCAGTACTTGTGCTTGATTCAGATTGAAGGTGTAGTTCAAGCCAATGTGGTCTGCGAGCATCCTGAAAGATATCTGAGGTCAGATACTGCTGATATGCAACACAGTCTACCTACTGCTCTACAGCCTGTTCCGGGAAAAGTTCTGCAACATATTCTGCAACATATCTTGATTATCATGCTTAAATTATAGATGTGATAATTCATTGACCTCCAATGGGTGCATCTTTGACAACTTCTTTGCCAGCAAAGGTACCCAGACCATGAAGACCAGTTTTGATGATGATTTCCTGACATTGTTATATTAGTCCAGTAGAAGTGACCCACAGCACAAATGAGAAAAATCACAGGAAACTTGCTTAGCTGTAGATGCATATTCTCACAGCGATGTCTGAGGGAATGGTCTGCAACCTTTTTAAAAAATGTCACTTTGAAGGTGCATCTGCTGACATACAGTTCTTGGTTTTTGGTGCAAAGATCAAGTTCCTGTGTGTAAAATTAATATGAAGCCTTACAGTTACAAAGAGCTGACAAAAACCTCTTTCTTTGTTTACATGCTTCAGGGTCACATTCCCTTCCATCTAAAACACATGTGCATCTTGTATCACAATCACCCATGCATTTACAACCTGGATAGCGCAGCTTGCCTGTGGAATGTAAAAACATTTCAACAAAAGGTCCACAATGTGATAGATAGTAGAAGTACAAACAATTGAGGTTGCAGCGACAATTTCTCCTGCAATGCAATGCATTTATAAAGCATGGGCATCCTGATTTCTTACTACATGGCCCAGAATGATAGCAGAAATCAATCCTGCCAAAGTGTCAGAGACCATTTGAGCAGCAACCATGGCATCAGGCTCAAGCTCACGGGCTAAATCGTTCTCCGTCATCATTGTTTATAGTATCTTCTATAGGATATGTCAATATATGAAATTCTGGACATTAGATGTCTTACGGAATGATTGTAATATACCCCCTTGTGACGCTCGAGTTTCTGGCGATATAAACTTGTCAGGGAACAGTTCACGTCTTTGAAGGTAGATCTATGATTAATGAGACCATGAAGCATGCTTCTAGAGTAAGTGAAGCAGACCTGATAGCAAGGCAATCGACAGAATCGACTCAATTTGCACGGCTTTTCATCTGCAAAGATATGCAAGACGCCATTGATGACGTGGATATCGTATGCACTCGGCCATTCGATAATATCCTACGAAGTTATCAAATGCAGCCCTCGGGACCGACGCGTCTGTCCAAGCGCACCATTTCATCTTCGTGGAACGACAGAAAGCATTGATCACCGCACGGCCGTCTGGTTTGTGTCCTCATTGCGTCGGAAGTTATGTGAGGATTTCCCTCGAATAATCTGGCGGTAGGCTCCTCTGTGAGCAGCATATGATGCCTCTGCCGCTTATCTTTGTAGGCGGTAACACTTACTGTGCGGCAGGCATAGAATATCAAGACAGTTCATATTGGGACAGAAGCAATTGACATATTCATTTACTTGCTCGAAGAGACGGGTGTCGATAGCAGCCCGGGCAGTCCTGTCGTTTCCGCATGGTCCCGCATGGCTTTCCCAGCTCCAGAGGTCCCTGTTGCCTTGTGATGAGCGATCGTTACAAATTCCATAGACCTACGTACCGCCTATACATCCTCTGAAACAATCCGGGACGATTGTCAACCGACTCCAAAGGCGGAAGGAGCTTCTGCCGATCGATACTTTCGTACGACATCGATATATTGTTCAAGCGTTTCACAGTCTCGACTGCGATGAGCAACACTGCGAAGTGTCATAGTTGTGAGGAATGTGCATCAAGGAATATAAATTGAACGTGTGCGACTGACTGTCAGGATTCTGCCATCGATACTGCCAGCCAAGCACTCTTTTCTCTTCGACTAGTGCACGTTCATCGAAGCCTGATTCTCCAGCGTACTGTACGAAACGGAGGACGCTCTCGCGCTCGTCTGTTTTGATATTGCGCATCGTAGGGGCGCAGCACTCGTACTTGGGGTAAGGAAACAGCATGCCCACGTTACGCGTTTCATTGACGACCGTCACATGTCCGTCATATTCCAGATCATGAAGCGTGAACAGCTCCGGCGATGATTCTTCATCAACAATCATATCGTGGACGTATTCAGAGAGATAAGCGGCATCTTCAATCCTGACGTTGGCAATTCCGACACCTTCGATCATGGCACTAAGACTTTGCACCATCGACAAGCACGCCCGAGGCTCCCAGTCATAAAATTCGTTCCATACGGCTATGTATTCAGACCGTATTCTGTTTCTTTCGTCACGATTGGCCCTTGCGCGCTCTATGTTGCGTTGTGAACGTTCCAAGGTCTCCTCCGTGACTTCTGGGTCTTCATTGTCCACAATGGCCGGGCCCTCCATGTTGATTCCTGAATGCGAGATCGGGTCAAGATCACTAGTTGCTCCTTCCATGTTTCGTTCGAGAGTAACTTAGATTTGTGACTCGCCGGCGAGATACGACTCAAGTTGGCGAAGGTGGCAACTGGAGCCGATTTGAACTGTCGGTCCCGACTCCCCGTTGAGTTGGATCACTAGAAATGTAGCTATATGCGTCAACAAACGGACTAGTCGGTCACAAGAGTCAAGAGCGGAAGCGACATGCAGGACAAACGGAGACGTCGCCGGCAACAAAGAATAAGGCGACATTTCGAAGACGATGAGCGTGAGGAAAACGCGTGGGTGGCTGACCGTGGGTTAGGCGCGCTATGCCATGAAACGCGATCGAGATCTTGCGGTACGCTCGCGGAAGCAAAATACAACGGTTCGTAATTCGGCCACACTGAATAGCTGCAGGCCGAGATACTCCTCCAGAACTACGTAATAAGTATATTGTATAGACTCGGACACCAATCAATGCGTGATTCAAGTACAGGGCAATATTGTAGCGAAAACGAGCGAAAACGACCAAAGTCCTGCGGAACCAGCATAAACGAGTATTGCTATGTACACATTCTACTGCAGGACGTGAGAGTATCGTCGGTCGGTGAACACCATTGCACCGGGATATTTGTGTACAGTGTTGATACGGTCGGAAACATGAAGAATCGCCACACCACAACCAGGATATGGGCCATCATCATTTGCAGATGGCGAATTCAATCGTTGGATTCTTCGCTGGAGTCCAGCAAGCTTATCCAAAGAGTTCAGTGACTGCGAAGCACAATGTGAATGACTGTACACATACTTATACTGTTTCAACAACGAGCATTCCCCGCCATTCTGCAGGTCGATGCTATAAGAATAGAAGTAGCCTTCCGAGGATATCACCATCACTTGAGGTAATGAACTGCACACAAACATGTCACGTAAGCGGAGCTTGGCTGCAGCGAGCGCACGTACCCGCTGATAGCAACGATACATCGTGCCCCGCTTGTTGGTAGCTTCAGGAATGCAAAGTCTCGCGATGGCTCCCACATTTCTGTCAGTGTATTGGGCAAGTAGCCTCCCACCGATGATGTGATGTTCTTCGTGAGATGTATTGACCTTCGCCGCAGCGCCTGACTATACACGCAATCATCGATTTTGAACACGGTGGACAGACTGATTGATTTAGACCGACACTTACGATACGCTTCCATGCCGCTTCTTATCGACGTAGGCATCGTACCCTCCATCAAGGTTATGCGTTCCTTCCCGGCTGTCCACCGACTCCGATGGACTCGACGGCGTCTTCAGACCAGCAGGCGATGCCTTTTGCTGGCCAAGCATGAATATGTGCACCGTATCGTGTGCGGAGCTGACCGCCAAGAGTGTTGAAACAAGGTTGAAGTTCATCGAGTATATGCGCGCCTCACGCGTGCCGCGGCGGAACTGGTACAGCTTCTCTGCTCCGGGAATGCTCCAGACGCGGATAACGGTGCCCTTCTCGGACGAGGTCGCAAGCAGCGTCCCCGCCGAGTTGATCGAGAGGAAGGAAATCGGCGACTTGTGCGCTTGGATGACGTTTGCGACGGTTAGCGAGCGTGTCGAGAAGATGAGCACGTCGCCTGTCTGCTGTGCTGACGAGGACGGTGTGGCGGGTTGGACAGATGGCTGAGCGAGCGGCGAGGTGGGAGAGGGGACCGGAGAGGGATATGCGAGGTAGGAATTGTCGGTAGAGGGGGAGAGGGCGACGATGGCTGCGCAGACGAGCCGAGTTTATGCGCTGTGACTAAACAGGGGCCGAGAGTACTGACCTTCAGGGTTTGGTGTTGTCTCTATAACGTGCATGAGCCGCATGTTCGAAATGTCGTATATGTAGATCTCTACTTCGAGGACGATGACCAGCGTCTTGCGGTTCATCTTCACGGCAAGGATAGAGGATGGGAAGAGGAGTTCGCAGATCATGGATTGCCGCTGCGAGCAGATAGCGGAAGACGCAAAAATCATCACAGGAGTGCAAGGTTTGGACGGGATGGGCATACCTTCGTGTTCACAATCTGCAACTTGCGTGGGCTAGATTGTGGCTGATCGGCGGCACCGACGAGCGCGATGAGCGACGTGCAGAAAAGCATTTCGACAATCCCCTTTGCACCATCATCTATAAGCCGAGTAAGCGAACGAGCGTGCAGGCGCATTGACGGCCACTGACGTACTCTTGGTGTACACCCTGCCGAACGGATCACAGTTGGTGATGCTGTAGCCTTTCCGTGTCCCGACAGATATGCACCTGCGTCGTTGAGCGGCGATCACCTTACGGCACAATGTACGCTCACGTAAAGTCTTGATTGAAGTTGGCAAATAGCATGTTGGTGTTGACACGTTCTGCCATGTTTGTCAATCGTGGAATTCGTTGCAATTGCTACGTTCGTCCTGGGGATACGGTACAGATGAGCGTGGTCCCTCTGAATTGAAGATGCCGTGTTGCCAGCCCTGTCGTTCTCGGTGTGCGGTGTGTATACAGAAGTCGAGAGCACTTGTTGTGAGAGGTATATAAGCAGGCAGTCTCACTGGCGCAACATCAGCGTGACATGCAAGCGCGTTGTGACTTACTGTGACCAACTGCAGTCACACATACGACCGAGCACTGACTGAGAGCAGCTGGAACTGTTCTGACCTCCTGCGGCGGGATCCATGCGGAATATACAGCTTAGCTCTGGCAGTGCTGGGCGCAATCGTCCGCGACAAAGACTCAACTCAGTACAGCTCCGGATCTCCATTAGACACGAGATTGGGCTGGAATCACGAGCTAGTCCTCGTGCACGGCGCACGGTTTGACTGGTTCACCTGAATGTTCACGCTCAACTCTCTCCCATCCACGACTCAACGCTTCTAAACACTCATATACCCCGCATCTCACTGCGATAGAATACGCGCAGATGTCTAGCTTGCAGTTTTCGTGGTCAGACAGTCTCCACGCCGCTCTATCGTCCTGCTTCATCTGCTTCCACTCCTCCGACTCTGAAAGCGGCCACGACAGCGCGCAGAATGCGCACAGTACTCGCAATAGCGCACTGATACACACTATGCCCCCTCCGCGCGCACGTCCAGACGAGCTCGAGGGCCTCCTCGCCGACTCGGACTCAGCGGACGCCGAGACGCTCTCGCTGCACTCCAATCCTGGCGAGCGGCGGCGGAGGAAGCGCCGCCGCGCACGCAAGGGCATCAGGCTATTTGGGTTCGACCTCTTCGGCCGCCCGCCTATACAACTGCCCGAAACTGACGACGAGGAAGACAATCTGCTCAGGTCCAGGCGGCGGAGCCGTACAGTCTCCTCATCGACACTCGACTCAGATGCGTCGCCGCTCGATCCGTCTGTTCTCGATGAGGCGTCCGTGGCTCGTCTGGCCGCCGCTACCGCTGCAGCGGAGGAAGAGCAGCGCCGGGCGAGGGAGGAACGGCGGAAGTTGAAGAAGGAAAGAAAGGAATTGAAGCGGCTGGCGCAGGCCATGGCTCTGGACATGCACGGTGCTGGAGAAGAATCGTTCCAGGGGTTCCAGGTGTGTAGTGTCTCCATCTCTAAAGTGTCCCCCTCTTTAGCGTGACATTCGCTCTGTAGGGAAGTGGGCCTGGCCGTGTACCGTACGAAGCATCAGATCCTACCTCCGGTTCTGGCTCTGCATCTCTCGCTGGTTCTCACTTCATTGAAGAATTCGGTCCGTTTGCTCAAGCGGAGCCAGAGGAACCCGAAGATGACGCCGATTTTGGCGCAGAGGATTACACGCGTGCGGCACCCAACGCTGCAACTGCGGGAGGCAGCGCATCGGATTCACGCTCACGTACCTCTGCATCCAACTCAAATTCCAATACTGGGTCCTCCCGACATCACCATTACCACTTCTCGCAAGGTTCTGCCCCTATCCTTCCCGCGCTCAGCTCCGAGCCCTCCGACCGGAAGAAGAAACGCAAGTCGACCCGGTCGAAGTCTCTCTCCTCCAAGCTCTCCGAAGCACACTCACACTCGTCCGCATCCGCCACCCAATCACCATCTATACCTTCACCACCTCCGGAACAGCCCACCTTCGATCTCCCCGCCATCGCTGCATCTCACGAGACAGATGGTCAATTCGAGGGCTTCCCCGGCGGGACGTTGGACCTGGCCCGTGAACAAGCAAACGCACAGGAGGGTGCGAAAGCTGCATCGGGACCGTTCCCGAGTGTGGGCCTGCGCGGTATTCAAAGGACCAAGAGCGATATGGGCGTGTTCCTTGCGAGAAGGGGAGAAGAGTAAATGCACCCTTCATAGATGGAAATGTTTCAGGTTCCATATGTATTGTATGTTTGTCCCATCAAGTAGCTATATAATGTCTCGCCATTCATTTATCACCGCATACATATGTACATTTTCATGTATCTAAATGGCTGTCACCTTTTCATCTATTCACCGTGTTTCACATGCACTGAACAGCGAAGACTACCGGTGAGGCTTCCAACGAACGATAAAGGATGTTGTGCGAGATAGTTACGTAGCTTGTGCTTTCTTGGGGAAGGGAAGTGGGGGTCCGACATTATAGTACACGCAGCTATATGGGAATGTCGCACAAACGTGTCCAATGGATATCTGATCATTCCTCTCCGTGCGTCTCGCCAGTTTCTCGTTTCTCGCTATTGGCAGTGGCCTGATGCTTCAAAAGCCACCCGTTGTCAGTCAACCACCACCGTTCAAACACAGAAGCACACACCTGCCGCAGCTTCGCGAGGTGAATCTTCAACGTCTCCGCATAGTTCTCAAAGCCAAGCGTGACCATCGCATAGAGGATGTCCTCGCCCCCAATCGTCTTGCGCTTCTCCATCTGGCACTTCTCCGCAGCCTCGGACGTGATGAAGCTGATAAACTCGGAGACGCACTCCTGCACGCACTCCTTCGCCTCTTTCGAGATCTTCGCCGTGCCCGGCACGGCAGCCTTCATGATGCGCGAAACGTTCGCGATCTGCGTGCGGAGTCAGTGGGCGAAAGCATTGGGGGTGTGGGATGCGACGTACGGGGAGGAAGCGGTCCTGCTCGCGGTACTCGCCGACCTCCTGCTCAGTAATCGGCGCAGGCTCTGGTGCGTCTGCTGAGGACGGCGCAATGACTCCCGTGCCGTCATCTTGGGGAGCAATGTTCAGAGGCGCGAATGATTCCGACATGATGATATGCCAGTGCTGGTCGCCGCCTCTTCCGCGAGCGCAAATTGTCCAGTCAGTGACAACGCAGGGAATTGAGGTGCGCTGTGTCGTTCAACGCGAGACTGCTGGTCTCGAGAGTTGCTTGTAGCAGGTTCATCGCGTGCGAAGGCGGCGGTGCGAACAATCTCGCAGGAAGACGCGGCGGGCACGTGATCAGGAGTAGTTCGTATACGATCGACGCGAACTCTGCGGTCGACGCGTTCATTGGTGGCCACAGCGGGCCAGCATCCCGTGGCGGACGCTGAGAGAAACATATCCATAAAGGGGCTCGCGTACATTAGAGTGCTATGTGGGGTTCAATACCCTCATTCAAGGGGATTGTCCTTTTCGCCGTCACTTTCACGCCCGCTCGCAAGCTTGCGTTCCAGTGGGCAACATCGACCCCCCAATCACTCATCGAAGAGGCCGCATCCATCGTTCGTTCGGTGCTGGACGTTCCTGTCCCGGCTACAGGTGGTCAGTCGGACATGCGCCCAGTTGTGCGCTGGTCGAAATTCTTCATCCCTGGCTCTCTCACCCGTCCTTCGCCCGATCAACCCACTTAAACCGGTGAGCAGCTTTGTGCCCACCTCAAGGTCAATCCTGTTCTCGCTGGTGCCCACTTCTCGGTTATTCCACGGTATCTCTGCCCGGCCGATCAACTCGCGCAGAAGGAACGGGCCCCACTTATGTTTGCCGTCGAGGATCCGAACGGCACTATTGCATCCCAGCTCCTCGCCAAGGGCTCCCGGTTTGTCTTCCTGGACTGCCAACGTCTCTCCGTTAAAGAGTACGTCGACCGCCCGATCTTTGCTCAATGCACACACTGCTGGCGCATGGGACATCGCAAGTCCACCTGCCCGACCAAGAACAGGAAACCGGCCTGCCGCCTTTGCGGCAGCGTCAACCATCGCGACGACTCACACCAAGATGTCTGCCAGGCGTGCAACACCCTCTAGGCGAGCACGGGCCTGGTTACAACCTGCGGCCATTTCAAATGCATCAACTGTGGTGGACGCCACGCCAGCGACAGCGCATCCTGCCCGACCACGAAAAATTATCGCCATCCTGAGCAACGGGGGCGTTCCAACGCCATGAGCCTATAGATTTCTTCGATATCTTTCCATTCTTTTCTATAGTGTCAGCAACCGCCCCAGTCGAACTCAGCAACACGCCTACGCACAGGACTTGACCATCCTGACCCTCACTCACCTAGCCAAACCCTTCTTCAACTGGCCTGTCGATGGCCATTCAAGCGGGTTCCCGTCGACACCCTTTGAAGTCGTGCGGTGGCCTGGTGGGGCACTGAAACACCGCGGGATTAGGGACCCGGGGAGGAGGCCCATACTGACTGGAATGTTTCGAGCGGGTGGGGCTCGTGGCGAGATGGTATGCGTTTCATAGTTTCTATGCGCCAGGGTCTTCTCGCCCCTTACCGCTTTCCCCCGCATTTCGCTATATCATTCTTTCGCTCCACGTGCGCATAGTCCTTCGCGTGTCCGGGACCATCTCATTTTCACGTGTCCTCATCTTTGTATATACCACTAGTCGTAGAGCTGCTATCGCGGCTCAATGCTACCCTGCATGTTGTACTCAAAAAAAACAAAAAAAAAAAAAGTGGGGTTCAATAATCTAGTCACCGCATGCTTTTCAGTCCAGATACCTTCGACGGCTTTCCTTGCTCCTTCAGACCAATGTCACAACTTGTATATCGATACAGCAGTTCATACATTTGCAAGCTATTCAAACACACAGATGCACAAAAACCCCGCCATTCACAAAGGTGGTCCTTCAGATTTACCGATTCAAGCAGTTGCGATCGCACCGACCTCGTACAGATAGGTTCCCAAGAGTTTGCTCTGTAACGATGATATCAGTTACATGACGCATGTTGTAGAAAGCAGACATACGCCTTTGAGGAAATTCGATCGGTCGAGCTTCTCATTTGTCGAGCTGCCAAAGGCATGAGGTTCATGCTGAACACGACGCACTCGGACCACTTACTGAGCGCCGTCGTCGCCACGACCCATGGGCAACAAAAGGACGTTGACACCAAGACTGTCAGCGAAGGTGAGCGTCACAGGGATTGAGCCACCTTCACGGGTAAGGTCAGGGTCCCTGTTGTAGACGGCCTGCGACGGCGGTCAGTACATGTACAAAGTCCACGAAACGAGTTCGCGAACCCTGGTTGCAATCTTTGCCGCTTCGAAATTCCAGTGCTTGTGGTCAGCGACCCATGGCTTACCACCGTGCAGGTTCTCAATCTTGAGCGTCGCCTTCGTATTGAGCTTTGCAAACTCGTCCTTGAGGTACTTCTCCACGAGCGTTGCGATGTCCTCGGGCGTCTGGGGTGGGACCAGACTTTATTCACGGTAAGAGCATGCTCAGGAGAGAATCTCTCGGAGCCCTTACCGGATACTGAACTTGCCCGAGACGCTTGCGGGAATGACAGTCTTTCCACCCGCACCGGAGAACGCGCCCTCAATGCCGTGCAGGGAGAGAGAAGGCATGCGCATGCGGCCCATAATCACCGTAGCCTTGTCCGAGGAGATGGCGATAGGCGCGCCCGCAGCCTGCTCCACGTCCTGAACAGAGTAATCCAGCTTATTATAGATCGCTCTGAGCGCTTTCAGTCGAACAGTATCATCGCACCGAGACACATTGAGACGCACATTTCTTCGTCGGTGGCATTTGGTACCAAATCCTCAACACCTGGGACGAGGATGGTGCCGTCGGGAGCGACCAGCTTGCTCATGAGAGCAACGAGGGCCGTCATCGGCTCATATACCGTCCGCCCAAAGATACCAGAGTGGAGGTCGCGTGTCGGGCCGGACACGGTCACCTTGAAGTAGGCAATTCCGCGAAGACCGTACGTAATGCATGGCGTACGATTGTTAAGCCAGTAGTTGTCCGACTGGCAGGAGGAGTGAATGAGGGAGGTAACGAGTGGAACCGCGAAAACTCACGATGCAGACACAGTCGACTCCGTCAAACCAACCGTCCTTGCCCTTCGCCACCTCAGACTTGATCAGATCATCCAGGCCTTCGCTCCCGCTCTCCTCCATTCCTTCAAAGCAGAAGCGCAGGTTCACAGGAAGCTCCAGTCCAAGCGTCTTGTGCGCCTCGAGCACGTTGAGCCATCCCAGGATAGGCCCCTTGTCGTCCGTCGCGCCGCGCCCGATCAGCCGGCCGCTCGCCTCGTCCACGACGAGCTTGAACGGCTCCGTATCCCAGCCATCGCTCAGCTCAGCAGGCTGCACGTCGTAGTGTCCGTAAATGAGCACGGTCTTCTTCTTCGAATCGTCGCCGATCCGCCCCAGGATCGCGGGCGGCAGCTGCAGCTCCTGGCCGTCCATGACGTGCTTGCCGAGGTCGACGAGCTTCGTCTGCACGCCGACGGTGTTCAGCTGGCCCTGCAGCCAGTTGCCCATCTTGAAGACGTCCTGCCGGTGGGCCGCATCGCCGCTTATGCTGGTGGCCGTGCGATGGGTCGGGATCAACGTGCGACGCCTCGGCTGATGTATACTGACCTGGGAATTGCGACGGCCTCCCCGAGACGCTTGATGAACTTGTCTGCATGCTCGTCGATGAAGCTGAGGAACTTGTCTGGGGCCGGCATGCTGAGAGATCGCGACGATGAGAGTGGCCGAGAGATGATATGAGAGGCGCGAATTCGACTAATTTGAATGGCTACTCGACGTCCCTGAAAAGGCAGGTGTAGTGATCCTACTCTCGACAGCATCAACATATTTTTGTAGGCGAGTTGCAGGCTATCTCCTTCTTCTACGACTGCTGAGAAGAGATCAGCATAGCGTTGTGGCAGAGATCGCGCGTCGAGGGCAAAGTCTGGGTGAGAAAACCACTCTCAACATGATATCTCATAATGACTCGGAGAGCGTTAATCTCGGAATTACCGACAGTCGCACAGGTCGAGATCGAAAAAAATTATTATGTTTCGATGCCTTTTGATCGTTTATAGGCGAGAAACGCTCACGAAAATTGTGGAAACACTGTCAAGTGCTCAGCCTCGGCCACAGCGCTAACGTGTTGTTCAATTTGCAAGGTGAGTTGATTATAGCCACTTACATGACCTTGTGTAATACCCACTACAGCATCTCATCCTCGCGCGTACTATTGAGAGTACGGCTTTCTAGCACCTTCTCCGATGATCGCAAAATCCAATTCTCTCGAACTCGATGCTCTGGAACGCACTACTGAGCGGGTACAGTCCGTTTTCGACGCGGTTTGGAACGAGTTCTATTCATGGGAACAAGAACACTCCAAATTATCAATTGTTTCCCTGGCCTGCTCTCCTGCTTTCGGAAGAAAACGCCTTTTTGCTACTCCAGACGTTGACTTGAGCCTGCCACTCGACAGACCGGCCACTCCGGATGCCTCCGCCGAGACCACCGAAGACGACACAGAATGCTTATTTACAATGTACAACATCGGAGACAACGGATCCTTTGCTGTCGAAACCTTGACAATTTTCGAGTCTGTGGATGTAGGGATCGTCGAGCCATGCAATACGTACGAGTCTTGCGCCCCCATCAATATCAATATCTTGCACGGAGATGACTCAAGCGACATGCCATTCGTTCCATTTGCCGACGACTCCTTCTTCGACGCTCGAAACCATATGCTCGAATATGATACCTTGGCATGGCAGACAAATTCCAAAGACCCGAACCGTAAGTCTGTTCCCCGTCACCTCATATGCAACGCGCACTTATAAGATAGTCCTCTGCATCGTACTAGAGAGCGCTCGTCGACTCAGCCTTCACTTTGGCATATCAACTGCTCATATTGATGAGACTGCCGTTCTTCCAATTCGGCTGGGCACATATTCTTCCACTCCAGGGGCAATTTGGACGGGTTCCCAGAAGTGGGTGCACATGTAGCAATTTTGGCCGCATATAGCTACTGACTCCTTACTTCAGCGATCTAGCTCATTGGTCCGATGCCCTGAAGCCATTTATCTCCTCTGTCGCGAGGACGCTGGTGCCTGATGCTCGGAATTTAACTACTCTCCTCCAGGAAGAATTAACGCTGTTCTGCCCTAATCTCAATTGTGTGCAAGCTCATTGTCTATCTCATGGTATGTTGATCTTCCTTTATAAGACTACATCTTCTGACGGATTTTTTTTAATCGCGTACAGATTTCCAGCAGGTCACATTGAGTCTACACGACAATCGTTTCCGGAACGTCTCTCTGCATGCGCTTGCTGATGATCCAGAAGCCATAGCGTGTGGCCGTGGTTGCCATCTGAATTTCAAAGGTATGAACATGGGTTGCTCTGCGTTCCAGAATGTATTCCATCTTGAAACGACTTAAGGCATCGAAGACGTCATACCATGGAGCTCTGTAGATGTCAAAAATCTGCGAACGTTCCTGCATATTTTCCCCGGTGCGAGCGAGTGCGAGCTCGCTGCCCTTTGCCGCAAACCATGCAACGAGGTAGGACATTTCTCATTGCCTCTCTTTCGATGGAGATGACTCGAATAATTTCAGGTAGCAACGATCTGCAAGTCTCCTGGGATGAGTACGCCTTTCGACGATACGGACTGGGAACTTGGTACTCGAAGTCCGGAACTGCCGTTTGAATTCGGTGAGCGACATTCAAGCTCAAATATTGGATGAAGCCACTTATCTGACTAATGCATCGAAGTCGATGACAATCCCACGGATTTTACACCGTACGTTTCTCCCGCAAATTTTTTGATGGCATAACGTGCTCACACCTTCTCCAGCGAACATCCATGTAACCATAACGGACCCTGCAATCGAGCGAACGACTGTCCTTGCTTCCGAAACGGTGTACGCTGTTCGAGAAATTGCCGTTGCGACATTGACTGTACGAGCGTATTGTTGTACATCTGCCATCAAAAACTGACCTGGACTGACGACAGGTGTCATTCGTTGGACTGGATGCCGTTGCGGCAGGAAAGGTTCAAAACCGCAAATGTGCCTCGCTGGTCGCTGCCCGTGCCGTCAAACTAATCGCGAATGCGATCCAGAGCTTTGCTCCACGTGCGATATACAGTAGGCTCCATGCTCCGACCTTTTCATTGCGTGCAAAGCTGACCCCAATGTGACTCAGGAGTGAGAAGCTGCATTCTTCGCCGAGCGATCTCTTATAAGATGATTGATCACGAACACGCAGACTCAGAAAAGAACGTCTGCTGCAACTCTCGATTGCAAAAGGGGCATGTCAAAGCGAGTATTAGTACCAGTCAGCGTTGCATGCAGCTTGACGAACTGACGTGCTATGTTCAGAAAGTTGAAGTCAAGCGAGGCAGCTTCGGTCTTGGTGTGTTCCTCCTCGAGTCCGCCTCGGAGGGGGACTTGATCACAGGTATCATTCTCCATCTTGATCGCGGTGCACACTATAATCATGCGTTGTTCTCAGAGTACGTCGGCGAGCTCATCTACGAACCGACGTTCGTCACTCGAAGGTGAGATTGACCGAACGATCTCGTGTAGACTTGCGAATCTGATCTACTGTTGGCAGCGAAGTTTCCTACCATCGGGGACGTAGCTACGTCTACGGACTAAATGCGTCCATGAACGTCGATAGCGCCTTTGTAGGGAACGAAGCCAGGTTCATCAATCACTCCCATCAAGCGAACTGCTCTGTTGAAAGTGAGCCTTGAGCTCCCTGCTTTATTATGACTCATCATACTTGCTGCATTGATAGTCCTCCTGGTTAACGGTGACCACCGAATAGGCATCTTTGCCAGTGAGTTTGTTGTAGCCGTCTACGATCCCTCCCTCTGACATCCTCTTCAGAACGTTTTATATCCGCTGGATCCGAGCTGTTTCTCGACTATGGGCCGGAATTTCCCCTATAAATCTGGTAAATACCCATTTCATTTCTCTGTATTGTTATGGTTTGCTGATCATCTCTTGAATAGAACGTTGATTTTGCGCATAGTTGACGGTGCAGACTTTTCATTCCTACAAATATGTTCCTGTACACATCTCACTGCTTCCGTCTACCAGTGTTTGAGCAGGTCATTTGCCAAAGATACTGTTTGCTACTTTCTCAGCACGCAGATGAAGTCGACAGCGGGCCGATGAAGTCTCAAAATTGATGTTGCATGAGGCGATCACAGCATGGCACGTCTCTTCAAGATGCTGCCATCCATCCAACGAGCTCATAATTATACATGTTTCTCAGCGACGCCAAGTTCGTGCAGACTTTGTGCACTCCAGTTTCCAGTCCTTGGATACTAGTTCCATTTGGAGTAGTGCAATTCGAGAACGGATCGCTGAATTTGGTCGCTCCGACGATCCGGGCAATATGGGTCATTGTCTGGTATTCCGTGGCAAACTGCATCGAACGTGTCCCGGCGTTGACGGTTTCTATATTCCACGTGGACTGGTTAGCCACACGTTAAAATGACGATCTGTGGAGGAAGGCACTTCGAGTAAAGTCTTCTCTTTGGATACACGCTCGCGGCGGTGGTAGCGCTATGCGACTCGAAAAAATTGGGAAGCGCTCGGGCGGTGATGCCACAACGTTCAGACCCGCTTTCTCAAGCTTGGGTTCTAAGAAGAACCGCAACACGTTGCTCACTTCTACGAAGCAGTAGCTATTGATGAGCCGGAGATACACGTGTACGCGCAGGACCAGAACTGAGCTTCCTTTGCGATAAGAATCCTCCCCGACAGGCTGCATCTTCCATTTGACTAACAGAAAGAAAGTCATCGTATGAAACTCGGCGAGACAATCATGGTTCTATCAAGAGACTCCCATTTTACTGATGCGCTGCCATACAGGGCGAAACGAGTTACTATCAACTCACTCGGAGTTTCGTTGTGCATTGCTTCTCCGTAGTAAAGTGATCATCAGGAAGCACGGCTCGTGTCGAGAGAGAATACGTATAGAGGCCAGTCACCCCACGGCGATGGCATGATACGTTGCCCTTTAAGATCGAAGCCAATATTTCGATACACGATAACCTACTAATGGTCAATCACTCATCTAACGAAATATCGCAATCAGCGTTTCTTACATTTGTCGGCGTCGTTGTGCTGCATGCCAGGGTTTCACCATTCTGCTTGGCCTGCATGAGACAAGATTAAGTTGAGCGCACATTACACCTTCGAGGTTACAATTGCCGGCAGAGAGACACGACTTTACCTTCTCACGGGCAAGTTGAATCAATGATGTGGCGACGCCTTGCCTCTGGCTTTCTGGCCGCACCATCGCCATGTGCAGCCACCACGAGCCAATTTTGCCCTATGAAGATGCAGATAAGCATACCAGTGCATCACAGCATCAAGCAACCATACAGTGGGACCTAGACAACTGTTCACGAACGCTGGAAACTCCGCAAATAACTGTAATGACAGAATCAGCCAGTAAGTCCCAAAGACACTGGCACCTAATCAAGCATCAAGACGAACGATAGTACTATAGTACTCTTTTCCCTCCTTAGAGAGATTTTTCATGAACTCGTTGAGCCCCAGCTCGCGCTGCTCGGGACTGAAGACTTAGGTCAACTAACTGAAACCTTTGAACAATGACGAGCAGCTTACGTGCTGAACAGCTCTTGACCTGGCGGCATCCACATCGTATAGCCTGCCAAATCCCATTCTCATCTTTTGCAACATAATATTCGCCTGCAGCAAATATGCCTGCTTCAAGCATTGCCCGACCCATGTCGCCAACCTTGCCCGCATCTCCTCCACAAAGACTGACCATGGCGGCATCTGTATAAGAAACGGCATCAAAATATTTGCCACAACGCAGACCACTACACATGCCTGTGCTCATCAACTGCGCAAACAATGCGACCGAAGCTTCTACGAGCTCGTCTGGATAAAAGTCAAAATCCTGCTTATTTGCAGACATAGAGCATAGAGCATACCGGAAGGCGTGGTTACGTGCTCGAAAGTGTACGCAGGCATATCAGCGGTTCGTGAGCCTAAAATGCGGGACTGCACGAGTGAGAGTGAAAAGGATGCGCCTTATCTAGGGGCGGCTGTGATGCATGAATCCGGTCCATCAGGTTTCCGGAGATAGATTGCCAATTACAACAAATAGAAGGCAAGAGGATCGCGCATGAGTCATGAGCAGAGGCGCGCGACGTCGAGGCGCCTTCTTAGATCATCTAGATGAGATTTGTGAAACCGAAGTGAGAGAGCTTCGCCGAACGGCCCCGGGCATTTAGGTATAACACTTCATGTGGTTCCATCAAGGAAGTTCCCCTTCGATCTGATGCGATGATTCATTCATCAGTGCATGAGATAAAGCTTCACTAACATCGTTACTTGCCACGAATGCCAGCCTTGCCTTGCAGGATATCAGTTCCCTCAGCAACAGACAAAGCATATCGCTTACTGTTGCCACTCCGATCTTCAGCATGCTGACATTCACGTAGGGCACGGCGCGTGTTTGTGCACCCCGCCGTCTTGTCTTCCTCAACGAAACGGAGGCGGTGGTCCAACAAACGCAAGAAGGGCGTCAGCTCGTGAATCGCGACATGATGTCGAATACAGCACATCGCAGACCCGGACTGCGTGTTGATCAGCCGGTAGCACAATATGGACCCGCGTTCCATGTCCGCTTTACAATCATCTAAGCGAGACACCAAGGTGTTTCTGCGAGTGATTTATCTGATGAAGCCCGGTTATGACGTTCAAATGTGTTCATTGCCATACGTTCACATTCCGCATTCAAAGGACAACCACGGTGATGGCTGTGCAATCCCTGGGGTCTAACGTGTTGCGGGCATATCCAGATTCCAACGGCCAGTGAGCGATCTGGCTGAGGACGAGAGTTGGAGTACACCTTGTAGTACTGTTATCTCTTCGCTAATGAAGTAAGAGGGCATGTCGGCACCAGAGGGGCGGGATAGAGGACAGATCTGGTGAACGAATCTTCTTTCATGGACGGGACAAGAATACGACTGAATTGAAAGAAGAGTTCCTTGTGTAAAAGTTGTCCTAACAATTGCACTAATCCCGGGGGGGAGGGAGCCAGTTGAGGATGATGACGGGCCCGAACCCCATCCAAATCGTCCAGATTGCCTGTGTAGCTGTCGATGATCCTTCGAGGCTTAGTGAGAACGGAGACGCCGACGCCTACTTTGAGATCGATTACGCAATGGAGTCAATCATGAACGAGTCAATTTGTGAGGTCTCAAACGAAATTCCCGGGAGAAAATTGAAGACAGAAGACGGAGCAGCAATTCCCCAGAGCTGGCAGACGGAGTCACAGAAAGTCGTGAGGAGGCGCGCCGCGAGGGCGGAACTGAACGGGTGGCCCAAAACGGCAGAGTTCACGTTCGACTTGACGCATGTGCATGAGGCTTAAATGCATGCAGTGACAATGATCTAGCGTGCGTCGAGCTCGTAGACTGTTCAAAATGTCCATCCTGCAATAAGATATACATGATTCATACCATTAATATCCTCCCAACTTTTACCAGGACTTCAAAATTCGGACCAAAGCAGGAAACATGCTAACTTCGACACTGAAGCCTCTAAATGAATCTTCCCTGCCACTCACGGTAGAGGCCATCGACAACGTTATACTCGGACAGACCGCAGAAGTCAAACTTGCTTTTCGGTCAATCACGTTTTCTCCCTTGCACCTCTTTCTCGTATCTTACTTTTCCGTGCAGCCTCCTGAACCATTTGTCCTTCCTTCCTCCACTGCGCCTTCTCCCAAGCATCCCACTCCTCCTTGGCGTCAACCCATCGCTCCTGCACGTCTCTCACATCGCTTCTCGGGCCCTGCATTGGCCCGGCAGCGCTGGTGAAGAGTGCGTGTACGTTTGGCCGCGCTGTCGCCGGAACACCTTTCGCCTCGACCGTACCCGGGGGCTGCTTGGCTTCCGGTGGCGGAACGAAGACGCAGCCCGTGGCTTTGTCAATGACGCGTGAGAGATGCAGCATGGACTCCTTGTCCTGGGAACAGGTAAGACTCAGTTGGAAGAGGACTGAGCGAGGAGCGTACCTCCACTGCGAGTGTTTCGAAGCCTACAAGCCCGAAATCTTCGACGAGGGAACATATGGCCATGTTCAAATCTTTGTAGCGTGGTGAAGATGCGGAAAGGGCGTTCTCCAGGTAGGACAGGTCTTGCACTTCAGTGTAGAATTCGAGGTTGAAGTCTGTACATGCGTCAACGGGACGTATGGGTTCGATATAATAGACCCGGCACGCACCTAAATCGCCGTATTGCTGAATGAGGTCGATTTTGGACAGCACGTTGACGTGAGGAAGCTCGAGGTGAAGCATCGCTCGCAACGCCAGCATCAGCACCGAGACATACTTTGCCGCATCTGTCACGTAGTGCGCGTCGCATAGGTGGACTGCGGCTAGCTGACGAGCTCTGTGTCAGTTGGCATGGAGCAACGACAGGCAGTACGTACGCGGAAGCCGCTCTTGGCCAGTTTGTGCACGATGTTCTTCACGCTCTCATGGTTCGTGCTCAGCTCGACCTGGCCTGGCAGGTCGAACAGGATATATGCGTCGTTGCCCAGCTCCTTCAGCCTATCCTCCAGCCAGTCGTAGTTCGCCTCCAGGTATTCCATGCAGTAGAGCATGCCCCCGTTTGGCCCGAGGCCGTGTTCGTTCATGACATCCTCCAGAGTGATCAGCGACGAGATGTCGATGGCGCATGGATATGGGATGTTGTCGTTCGCAGGATCGAGGTTCACAATGGAGATCGGTCGGTTGAGAGCAGTGAACAGTTGGTGTTTGCCATAGCAATAGGTAGATTTCCCGCTTCCAGGAGAGCCGCAGACCACTTCTCCGAAAGGCATCGCTCAGCAGGGATTTTGCAGCAACTAAGTAGCAGGGATCCTCCAGTGACAAATCCAGCAATTGTCAACTTCAGTTCAAGTTAGATCAATGGTCAACGAAAGAGAGTGAGCTCAAACTAGTGATCCCTCAATTGAGGGACAAGGGAGGCATGATGTCAAGCCTAACTTGAAACAGATCGGGTCAAATCTCGCGAACAGGCGCCCAAACTGAGCTTGAAAGCTTACACTGCAGGCATGAAGGCATTTATTCCCGCTGCAAATACACTGAAAATGTGTTCTAAAGTGTGACCTATGCAACACTATGCCCTAATTAGGCAACTTTATTTCCCAAAAAGGCAGTCAATTACAATTTTCGTGTCATTAAGTAACGGTCGCAAACGCTTTCATGTCTGCGGTGTTAACCGGCCATGACTTTCCGAAGTCTACCGTCTCTCGTTTTCTCAACGACGTCTATCCATGCGTTATCTTCTCACCATGTGGATAGCCCGTTATGATATATAGACAAGACTGTCGCATATATATGAAAGGAAGAGTGAAGTAACATCGTCGCACGCAACCATACAATAACTAAGTTAGGTCAGAAGAACATGAAGCAAAGGATACGCCAGCGCGGAATATTGCCTTGCAAAAAACATCACATCGACTTATGGCAACCTACTTCGCAGGCGAATTTGTCAATCCGCATAGCGAGAAATCCAGGAGCCTGAGATATGTGTCGATTCACAACACATGTTTTCGGGTATCTGCGCACTCACATGTAGCAAATCGTTCCAGCATTCAGAGCCCTGCGTGGACCATGCAGATTGAGCAACCAAGCAAGACTGCTTCTGAAAAGGATACGTACCGCGTGAACAACTTCGTCTACCACGGAAAAGCGAACTCCCACAATCGATATTCGACCTCAAGCTCAGTGGAATATTGAGGAAAAATGCGTGTAAAGAGATCGCACCATTCCTTGTAGTGCGGATATTGGATATACAGCACGTAAGTATACTCCCAATACTCCGGCATCCATCCCGCGCATTCGAAATCGATATGGGTGAAGCAGATCCGATGAGGTTTTGAGTGGCTAGCAGACGCTATTTCACCGAGTTCGTCCTCGTAGTTCTCCAAAAGTTTCATATGAAATTCTTTCTGCGAGCGGAAAGGACCGACCCTCCTCATATGGCTGATGCGATAGCTTTTAAAGGAATAGCCACCAAACCCACATACTGCATCTGGATCCGGGGGAACAAGGGACCGTAGTTGGTCGAACCAGTCGCGGAGCGTGTCCTCCACTACCTGCAGTTGGCGAGGCGAAAGGCTGTTGAGATCACCTATACGCAAGCCGAACTGCTGGCCAGGCATCTGAATCATCAACATGTAGACCCCGTCTTCGCCAGCGGGAGCAACATTCAGGGACTGGAATAGTTGTATGCTTCGCCACATATTGAGTGGCCAGCGCCTCTTGTAGTGAACCATATTTGAGATACAATCCGAATGGTATACGTGCGACGTGTCCATCTCCAATCCAGTCACCGGGATCTATCCGTTTGCTGAAGTTGAATATTGCTGCATATAAAACCCCACGAAAACCTTTCGGAAGGACGAAGCACAACAGTCGCCACGATTGCCTGAGAACGGGATGATGATTTAATAACATCTAGGTCGCTAGTGATTACTTTCGGCGGCTTACCTGATAGAGGAAGCTGACATGCTAACCGATTTTGGGTCGCTTGAGGCGTCCTTGCTGTAGCGGATCGACTCGATAACTTGCAGGTAACTAATGGTCCTCGTGTCAATCCCTGCGACTGAGGCATGTGTTAATGAAATATTAACGGTGTAGAAATGCGCGGAAGTCACGAAATTCGTTTTGTGCAAGAATTCCCAGAGCGAAACGGTCCTTCAAAGCACGGAGCGTTCTACTGCGGTCGTTGGTTAATGTCGCAAGAGCCTGAGCGTTCTCGCACTGTGTGGCGCGGGTGTGTGGCTTTCAGGACCGACCACGTGATCGTGTCGGTCAGAGTCTCTGTTGAGTGCGATTCCGCGAGGTCTTCAGTCTTGCAATTGTACCAGCTCCCTCGCTCATCGCATAGATTCCTGCACTTCGGGCTGGAAATCGCAGACTTTTTACTAATTGCATGGAATGTTTAAACTGCGAGCTGAAGCAGCGCCAGTTCTACTGCGAGAACTGTCTCAAGCAACAGTGAGCTGCGAGATCATTATATATAATCTTCAGCTGAACACAGTCCAGTCTGCTCTCGCTTCGATTGCAAACCAAACATGCAGCCACAGATAGGGATGCGCACATTTTATCAGCACGGCGTGCGCTAGAGACAATCGTGGATCCTGCACGGAGAAGAAGGGCTGACCTCAAGTGCACCGAGGAGCGCGTCCAGGAGATATGGACTGCGGTGGATAGTCTGCGGAAGAAGAATGAGAAGAGTGAGTACCGCCTGGTGAGTTATCTCTATTTGCCAGTAAAGAGGGGTGTGTATCGGATCAGTCGAGCTGGAGGTCATGCGCCAGGAGAGGATCTTAGGTATGAATGGCATCGAATGGTTGAAGCCGACTCCACGAGCCGGAGGCTTCTGTGTTGCTTTCTCCTCTTGCGCTGGCTAGGTAGCATAAAAGTTGTGAGGATGTGCAAAGACCATCTGCCATCTGCGAACCCCCTCCCCTTCCTTTGCGTTTGCTCGTTCGAGCTGCGTTGGTGGAAGTTCTATGGACCCACATTCGTCGGATGTATAATCTTACGATCGCTTGTTGTGGCGTCGCTCGCCTTCTCTTCCACAGACTCATGTGATCGTGCGCTGACGATATGTTAGCTCGTGAGGGAGTTCGTGCGCTTCGAAGCACCTTGGCCGCCCGTCGACGTACTCTCGTTCTTGCCAACTCAATGTTCCAGCAGTCGCATAGTGTGACGCATCCCTCGACCAATTCTCTAGCCACAGTCTCGACTTCTCCTCCTCACGGATACTCCCCGTCCCCTCCTGGATCGTATCCGATCTCGACACCCTCTGTATCTCAGTCCTTGTTAGCGCGACCTGTCGTCCCTCGGCGAGGTTCCTCGGGTTATTCCGTCTCGTCGCAATCCTCCGCTGCCGCTACACCGACCACAACTCCACGTCAATCGCGCTCCACGCTTCCTTTCACTTCAGCTATCTCATCACCATCATCGCATACCGTGAGGTCAACACCAACCTCCCCTCAAATGGGCCGCAACTCATTGTTGGCACCCAGCATGTCTTCGCCACATTCGTTCGCGCACTCCCGTTCCGCACAGCACGGTGCAGGAATGGACTCGATGGTACGGCAAATTGACGATGCGACGTTTCAGCTTGCCGCTCTCGCTGATACGTTGGCACGTGCGAGGTCAGGACTAGTACAGGAGTTAGTAGAAGTCTTCAGTGTAGTTGAGGTCTGTCTGATTTTATGCGACGGCCGCGCATGGGATGCTTACGCTTTGCTTGTATAGGTTGGCGGCCGACCCCCACTCGGTGGCAAAGCTGGTACAAAGGGTGAATGGACCATCGGTGGCCTCATACTGCCGGTTCCGGGCGACATCAGACGTACGTGGACTGATCTTTTGTTCATTCTGATTCTTGATATCCTTTCCAGGATACCCGCCAGACCATATCAACGCAGTGCTGACGCACACCGTCCATTTCGTCACCCTCCTTGCGTTCTATCTCGGCATCAAGCTTCCATTCGAGGTCGTGTGGAGCAGATCTAGCACTCCGCCTTCCTCTTCAAGTAAAGGCACTGGTTTACTAGGTGTCGGGACTCCATGGATTGGCGCTATCAAAGCTGGCGAAAGCGGAGGCTGGGCACGGTGGGTATTATTGGTTGTCTTGGTGAACTCAACGATCTCACAAGCACTCTTCAGATACTCCTCGAAATACGCGTTGCACGTTTCAGCCTCATCACAGCCCAATGGAGGCGCATCTTCCTCGCCCTCACGTCCCTCCGTCCACTCGCGATCCGCCAGCACCTCTGCCGTACCTGGCGCGACTTCGCTACTGACCCGCTCACGTTCCAGCACGCTCGCGTCGTCGATGGCGGACTCGCAGCTCGAGGAGCCACCTAGCACGACGTCGTCGCACGGAAGCTCATTCACGACTGCACTCGCGATGCTACTGTACAACGTGTGCTACCTCGCGCACACGCAGGTAGTGGAGATCCCCCTCGCGCAGGCTGGAGAGGTGCTCGGGAATCTGTGGGCGGTATGCTGCAGTCCAGAGCTTGGCAAGTGAGCATCATCCCGTGTGGTCCTGCTGAATCAGATGGCTAAATAATGTTCTCAATGCAGGAAGTCTCATGCAACTCGCCCGTTGCTCCCTCCGCCCACGCCACCTAGCTTTCCCCTAGACTTTGCGCAATTGCTGCAGGCTACCGCGGCGAATCCTTCCCGGCCGCGTGCGCGTGGGATGGGAGGGAGAGAGCATCGAGATGTGGAGCAGATCATCGAGGAAGATGAGGAAGGATGGGATCTTGTAGACGCCAGCCTTGAATAGTAAGGATGGGTCTCGACTATCATGATTTGGTAACCTGGACACTGTAGATTGATTTGGTTGTAGCGCTAGTTCTGCATGATCTCTCGTCGCTATCACGGATTATTTCTTTGTATTCGTACTGCTGTGCTGCTGTAATCTGATCTTGCTAAGGCTATTGAAGGATCCACGACACAACCGTGCTTAATGTCTCTATCCGATAGTCAAGAAGCTACCTAGATCGTGCAAAATCATATGCTTTTGGTACCGAGTTCTGCTCTACAACCCAAAATTGTCCAGCTCGACCTGTACGCTCTCCAGCCGCTCCTTCTTCGCCATCAGCTCTTTTCTCACGGCAACGATGTTCGGATTCTCCGCGAGGTACGCCGCGCAGCGTTCGGCAGCTTTTGATGATCCTAGACCAAGTTTCTCGATGAGGAAGGCCTGGAGACTGTTCGAGGTGTTGTATAAGAACATATGATCGATGCATAGCGGGACGTAGTCGATGATCCGCTGAATACGCCGTAGGGAGTCAGCACGCCGATCGACGGAGCTTAGAGTCCATACAACATACCTTGTATGCAACATGGAAGTACGCCCGGACTTCGGCCATTACCTCAAGTTCTTCCTCGAACTCGTCGGGCGGATTGAGCTTGCCCAGGTCTTCCACTTCGAGGCCGGTATAGCCAAGCTTGGTGAGCAATGCCAACGCTTCTTTCTGGAGCTTCTCACGCTCCTCGAGATCTGCTTCTGGTGCAGGCTGAGCGGCAAAAGGCAGCGTTTCGGCAGATGTGAGAACGGGCTGCGCAGTGCTTGAGGCGGGTGGAACGAATGGTGATTTCACGAAGTTGGCGTAATCAACGGAGACAGACGTTGAATGAGCGCCAAAGCCAGACTGTGAATGGTCCCTCCTAGAAACGAAATGTGAGCAGGAATCACTAACATTAAGCTTTCACCAAACACGAACTTCTGAGAAGAACCAGGTCCAAATGAGCCGGACCCGGCTTGCGGAGTGTTGTTAGAGCTCGCTGTGGACGCTGGGCGGGCTTTGGCATCAACGGCGCTGGACGCGGTGCTGATCGGCGCAAAGGGAGACGGCAAGGAGGGACTAGAGGACTGGGAGCTCGAAAATCCTGAGAAGGAAGAGGGCGCGGATTGTCGAGGAGCACTAGATCCGGATTGCGCGCCACCACCGAAGATGCGTCCAGATGCTGGACAGGTAGCAGGTGCAGTGGCGCTGGACGTGCTTTTGGGCACTGCGAAGGTGAATGAAGAGAAGGCATGGTCTTGGTCGCCTCTTGCCTGATGGGCGGGATCACCGAAGATGCTCGTACCACGCGATCCGGAATTCGTCTTGGCGGTCGTCTTGCCAGCCCGCGCATCCTTATAGCGAGCGAGGTAGCTACTAGCTTTTGATGCCAAATAGTGGTCATTTTGGGTAAAGGGTGTCTTCTCTAGCTGTAACATGTTGATCAGGTACGTCAACGCGGCCTTTTTGCGTATCTTGAGGATTTCTTGCACGGCTGCACTAAAAAAGGAATGAGACGAGTGGCTACACGGACCCCGCGCAGGGAAACTCACTTTATTCTAGCTTGTAATTGCGCATATTGAGAAAACTCTTTGTGCGTCACGGATGTGAGTATGCTGTCGAACTGCTGGTATACCTTTTCGAACGTCTCCCGACTCAAACGTTCCCATGAATCCTGGAAATCTTGGATCAGTGACATCTTGGCCGAGTAAGGCACATTGTATGGCAATTCCCGCGTGACCGATCTACACCATACCGCATCAGTTAATTGAGACTGTAAACTCAGCTATCCGCATAACATGCTTACTGGCGGATATACTTCTTCATGTCCAGGAGATACATAGAATTTGGAGGAAAGGTAGCCGCTCCTGAGCCACTATGCACAACATTGTCATCATCCCGTTCGTCATCGATCTGCAAGTACTGTATGGAGTCCGGCCCGCACTCTTGTGGTGATGGGTAAGGAAGAAATGGCGGGGCAGTAGATCGAATTCTTCGCTTGAATGTGGCATAAGCTTGTCGATTCTCCTGCACGAGCGAAGCGGTGGTCGGCCCGCCCACGATATACGCTTGTACCGTCTTGCAAAACTCCGCAACAAGACCGAGCACGTATGCAGACGGCTCAGTCGTTACCGGAGGCGGCAGCTGGGAGAGCTCCGCATCGTATTTGGTGAGCTGCCGTGAAACCTCTGTCTGCAACTTCGGGAGTCTGTAGCGGATGTCAGCACTGGTGCGACTAGTAAGATTACATGTCGTAGAAAAAACATACGCCTCGTTGATGTATTTGATCAGTAGGTTGCTCAGCGTGCTAACCAAGTTCGCGGTTCCAAACCGATGCTGGTGAGAAGATGACGACCACGGAGGGGTGGAGGAGAAGAATTCTGTCTCAGCAATGCGAGCCTGAGCATGAGTGATGCCGGCCGCACGCTCGGCGTCATCGGGCTGGCGTGTGCAGAAATAGCCGTGCACCAATCTATTGGTATCGCTGCGTCCTTCAATTAATTCTAGCCATGCCTCTCGAAGCTTCGTAGACCCCACGGCCAGAGTGTCGGGTTTCGTAAGCACGCCTGTATCAGATATTGAGCAAATTATACGGTAATGAGTTTAAGCATGGATCACCTATTGTTCGCAAGCCTGAAGGGTCTGCCTCTTTAGCCAATCGAGCAGCCTTTTGATTTTCGATATCATCTGATGAAAGTTGTAAGTATGTTATGCAAGAGTCTGATAGGCTGTACCAACCGCTCATGGGCAATGTAATTAGAATCAAACAATTGCCTGTAATATGTGATGTGACGAGGCTTTCCACCAGCTGTACCGTATGAGGGTCCGCATTTTGTATAATGCCTGGTGATCATTTGAGTGATATACATGTGGATTGCCTTTTGTCCTGCTTACCGGGCAGATCCACAAAGGAGAGATCTGTCAGTTCCGGTCCAGCAAGATCGATGCAAACTGCATTCTTCGAAAACAGTAATGGTTTCTTGCCTCCGAAACCCAACTGGCCACTCAAGCGATCCATGGTTGAGGTGAGGATGGTCGCTGGATCAACGTGAGGATACAGCACTGCGGCTTGAGCACGCCTCAGCATAGGCTCTACTTGAGTTTTGTCTGTAATAGCATCGCCGAACGGGCGCTCTGAGACTTCGTCCAGTCTCTGGCCCGTCTCGTCAAACTCCCAGCGTATATAGATCCTGCATCGCCACGCGTTCGGCGAATGCGTCATGCGGCATTCCATGGGACAACGCGTACACGTGCCTGCATCTCTCGGAACAGTAATCTAGGTTAACATCTCTTAGTACGAAAGACACTGGTACTGCACATAGTGGATGAGAATGCTCACACCGGAAATTGCTTCTACAAGACTAGATTTTCCGGCGCTCTGGTTCCCGATTACAGCAATACGAGGAAGGTCAAGGTCTGCCTGTGCACTGCATATTGCATTAAAGACTGTCAGCTAACTATTGCACCACATAGAGCGACTGCTGGACTGACCCGAGAGCTCGCAACTTCTGGACGAGAGCCAGTGCGTCTTTCGAGCGATGACCGTAGCTGCTTTCTGCAGAAATGCGGCCATTCCGCGGCAACATATCTTCGGCGGGCATGTTGTACGTAGACGGAGCAGCAGAGCAAAATGCGATGCAAGACGGGTACACGCTACAGCCCAAGGAGTTCGCGCTTGTGGCTGATCGCGTGTTTCTCGCGTGACTTTGAGGTTCCGAAGGCCGCGTGGAAGCTCGAGCTCACTGTCCGAAAGCCATATGGAAATGAATCTATCTTCATCACCATGTAGCTGCTCTGTTGCGTCTAGCTTCTTGAGTTGCCATTCGATTTGAGCTCGCGATGGTTGCAACATGAAGCACAGCGGGACCGCAATCATTGAAGCTCGCGTCAAAACCTTGATGATCATCAGGTTGGATTCCCTTATAAGCCGGAAGGCTGTGAACTACTTCTCTCACCTGAAACGTTACGACGAGGCAGACGGACGAGTATGTTTTACTAGCCACTGATGAACAGACAGATACTGGCGAGGTGGAACGTGAAGTGCAACCGAAGTCGTCTCGTTCTAGTGAGTGAGCATAAGGTCCGATTGGCATCTGGTTGCATCTGACATGCTGAAAGACCTGAACGACCGCCTTGTATTCTGGGCATGCATCGGCGCAATCTGCTCCTCCATCCTGTCTATCATTGTCTTCGCGGGAGGTCTGTTTCTCCCGACCTCTGCGCCTCCGCAACCTCCATACTACGGGAAAGCACTTCGCCGACCCAATCCATATGTGAACCTTGACAAGGTCCTGCGGAACGGAAACTACACGTTTCCTCCGATCATGAACTTTCCTCCTATGGTACTGCAGATTAACACCTCAGACCCTCAGCGCAAGATGCGCGAGGACGACCGACAGTGGCGATCCAGTTATGGGACGGTCTACCCTGACGATCGACACATCGTTATCTCATCTGAGGTGAGCAATGCACGAATTATGCTACGATCGACCATTGAAGCTAGGACTGTAGACGTCGACGATCGTGCAATTCCGAAACTTGGATTATGCGATGGAGCGCTGCATTCTCACGGCGTTGTTGCCTCGCCACACAGAACCATTCGACCCGCAGGTGTCTCTGCGCGATCCCAGTACAGTCGATGTCTGGGAGCTGGACACCACCACTGAAATCGCGCGATACATTCCTGACACTTGGCACCGTGCGGCGAAACGACGCCAGCTCTTCACAACCCTGGAGTTCTCGCATGCGGGCCCGAGCAACTCGAGTGAGTTCCACTGTCCATCGAACGAGTTCACAACGCTGGAGTTTGCGTGCTCGCCGACGAAGCCAGATTGTAGCGTGGACTTTTGGCAGGACCAAAGGGCTGTGCCCAGAGGCGGTAGGCATTGTGCGATATCCGTGCAATCACTTTCGCTGATTTCATTGATGCAGGAATCTATATTGTACAGTATCAGTCGCCGATCCCGCCCATGGAGGCTTGAATGAAGGGACGATAATTTGGTGCCATCCTGGGCTACCTGTCACCGTAGCTGCACAAAGCCAAATTACAGGTTGTCAGCGATAGGACTATCCGCTCATGGTCGAATTTGTCTACCATGAAGTCCTCTTTGTATATGAGTTGTGATATCTTGATACGTACTACGCGGTGGCGGTCTTGCCCTGAGATCGCTTTGCCCGTTACCCCTGGAGCACCCGACCACTATGGCTATCAAACGTTGCACAGTCAGCATTCACTATTGCGAAACTGTCGCGAGGCAGGATACCAGGTACATCGGGCGGTATCCTCTGTGTCGTTGAATTTCGTATGTCGGACATTGAAACGATGCATCTTGTCGCGGAGTTAGAACTAGCGTCTTGTTCGATGTTGAACTCGTAGTACCATCCGTTTAGCATCCTTGTCCGCCAGTGTTAATCGCGATATCGATCTCGCACATCCACAGTCAAGGTAGAGAGCTTCATTTCCACGGCATCCTTCACCATCTGCACAATGCTTGACCTAGAACGAAGTCCGCTTGGTTCCTCTACGTTGTTCCGAATGACCCTAGTCATTTTCGGGTTATAGGGAGCTATTGTAGAGCCTGTGATTACATTATCATGACCCCCGCTGCCCGCTCCACAGTTGTGGCTGAACGCGCACCCCGTTTCTGCTTTCCCACAGCTGTGGCTGTTTTTTTTTGCTGCTCTGTTGTTTGCAGTGGGGTGTGTCTCCTCCTGTCACGCTGATTGTCGTTGTCGGCACCTGTGTAACTGGTTCTTAGTGGCTGTTGTGGACCGATATCTTTGCTGTTCGCTGTGCACGTCATCCATCTGTTGTTGTCTGTTGCTTGATCGTTTGTCTCACATGCAACTGGTTTTTATGCGAACGGTCGATGAATCCCGCATATCTGTTGTCATCGACAAAGCCCCTCGTTCATCTCGGGGGATCGGCCTGCAATGGTTCAACATTTTATGGGCTGTGAGTTAACATCGTTTAGTGGTACGTTTCAGGCCGCTATCAAGGCCACACCTACCGCGGTGATCAGAAGCCGTCTGTGAGTTCCCCTGCTATTATATGTCATGAATCGACGCTCACTCCCCTTAGGCCCTCACGTTCAAAAACTGCTTCGATGGCCACACAAGCTTTGGCCCCGCACAAAGATGGAGCAGTATCCCGCTGCCTGCATTTACGAAAACGACTTCGTCATGATAGAGTGTACCATCACTCGCTTCAAATGTGATGCTAACGGCGATGCCGTCTACAAAGATGGATGGAAACATTGGCATGCACAACTTAAACTACTCACCATCACCAAACTCATCGAAGGACCAGAACCGACGATCAAATGTCAAGGTCGGAATACAGGACGATGACGTCCGCATCTAACTCATTATCTCTACGTTCTTCACTGATCTTCACTTCATTGACTTTCACTATGTTCAAACTACTCGTAACTGTTCTGTTGACAACTCCTCATTTATCCTCTATATATCGCCTGTACTCTATCATCTGTATATCGCGAATGATCCTGATTTCTCTCTCGTTTTCCTCTCTATATCGCGAACTGTGCATGCCTTTTGTACTCAATCCTCTCTATATCGCGGACTATTTCTTTCTCTCGTAACGCTGTGCCTCTGAACTATCCGCTGGTCATTCGGACCCGGGCGTGCGGACGCAGCGAGTACAGTGTGACGACAAAGCCAGGACAAACCAAGTTCGACTGGCTCCTCCACTTAGTGTTGTCCAAGGCCGGGCTTTCAAGCCCGAGCCGGGCCAAGCCGAGCGGCTGAGCCACCGAAAGCCGAGCCAAGCCCGCTTTGAGCCTAAGTTGGCATCACGTGCCAGGAGAGCTCTGGCACGTGATAACCTCACGGTTCGCTTTAGGTCACCTCGTTAAGCCTCGTTATTACCTCGTCATCGTTACAACTTGGGTGGAGTTGGCGCGTCGGCGCCGGTTCCAAATAACAGGTGGGTGTCCAAATGTTCCATTACACAGGAGGCAGCCATAGGTAAGTGAGAATCACAGGTGGATGTGTGTACGTCTAGCTAATCTGAATTACGTCATGGTATAAGACTGCCATCCTATCACGGGTGCCGGCGAAGACAACGGGCTCTTTGATCGTCACAGTACAGTCGTTGCAACAGAGTGCGTCGCCCATATGCCAAGACACGGCAGTGTCATCCGGTGAGTGCATGCGAGTGGTATCGAAAAAGAGGTTCAAACGTAAACACCTGCGATCGCAGAAGAAACGTTGCCACCTGGGGCAGCTCCATCGCCGACTCCAAGGTGAACTGGTGGCATCGTAAGAGGGCATGGTTGATTAACTAAAGGGAATCATTCAAGCAGCCATCCAGATACAGACAATTCAGCGAAAGTCACACCAATGTGGTGAAGCCCATCGCAAGGAAAGTCGAAGACGGAAGTGTAGGGGGGCATGACAACGAACATCGATGAGCTTTCCACGCACTACACAGCCCATTCAATGAACATCGTCCTCGTTCAACGTTGATGTTGTGTATACACGTTAACTCCTGAAGTGCATGAAAAGGAAGACGAGCGACGAGAAAAGGTAACGGAACATCGACAGCAACAGATCGAATTTGTTCATCCCAACCAGATGTGAAACCGGTCCTTTTGACCTCGCACTGATATAAAGCACCATAATGCAGAGCAAGCATCGAACGAGATCCTAGCACAACAACAAAAGCCTCCAGCTCCTCAGTTAATACATATTACAAAGACTGACTGACGGAAAAGCACCGCTGACGGCTGAAACGAATAAAGTCGAGCAGTGCGAACGCGCACCGACAGTATCGATAGCCTCAGTGATCGCACCAAAGATAAATGTGACGAAAGCATTCAAAAGCAATGACAGCAGATCCTCTGCAGCAACGTCGTCAACAACCCGTCAGAGGAGATGCAAAAAACGATGCTCACCTCCACCGAGAAAATCGCCTAGCAATGCGCAGGACAGCAAAAGCGCGAGAAAAAGCGCAGCGATTTGTATGAACATCATATGTGGCAGCGAACAGCATTGAAGTGGTTACACAGTGAAGATGAGGACAGTAGAGCCCGACGGGCTAGGGGACAGTCAATATCTCCTATGTCCAAGGAGAGCACATCCGCGCAGGGTTATGTAATGAAAAATCACGCCAAACCCAAAGGAGCGAATTTGCCAGTGTCAAGGTTACGTAAGCGTGCGCAATTCCTCAGTGTAAATGGCCAAATAACTTTCTGTTATTTGGAACCAATACCTTTTATTACCTCGTCATCGTTACAACCAATACCTTCCTCAAGGCCTCAAGATCACTGACTAACCGCGATCACTATGGATATCAAACTCGTCTATGTCCTTTTGACTCCGGGCAACACATCTGTTCAAAGCATTGAGCTCAAGGTCACACCAACAGTGCAGCTCGCTGATGCCAAAGTCCTCATCTGCGAATCACATGAAATCGAGCTCGAATGTCAGAACATCGGCCGCGATGATATCAAGATTTTTGTTGTGAGCAGCACTCTGTAATGATGTCTCTACCTCGCTCACGCACAAATCAGCCTGTCGATGTGAAGATACAGCCATTCCCGGATTTGCTCGAACGACTTCAGCATAAATTGGCTTCCTTACAGCCACATATGCTAACCGATTCCATTCAGAGTATCTTTGGAGAGCAGCAACCGGATTTCAATTACGTTCATCTTGTGGCTCTAACTTCCGAAGGTATGAGATTATACAGGCGACTCACGCCATATGCATAAAACTTAACGTTCACTTCCATTCTTGTAAATTCCTCAAGTTTTGGAAGAGCGCGACACGGTCCATGAGCTTTCCGCTGTCAAAGGCAAGGCGGTGCTAGAAGGTACTTTCGGATGATCCTGTGTCAGTTGATTGCTAAACGCAGCTGTCAGAACGGATGAGGTTGATCGATGCGGCCGCAGCCGACGTCTCTCCATCGACCGGCGTAAGCACCTCCGAAAATATCAAGGCGGCTTACAACGCCGTCCATGCCGGCAGACCAGCGCTGAACTATGGGCCTCCTACCTCGATCTTTAGCCCCCAATTGGCTCGGCTGAGTGATCGCCTCCAGAATCTCCACAGTGTGGAGCCCAGCGCGTTATACCTAAAGCATAGCCATGAGTATATCGTGCACGCAACCGATTTCTACGGGAAGGAGATGGATCGGGAGACAAACCTCAAAACCACTATCGACGACATCTTGGGAGCGGAGGGCCAGTGGCAGCATCAGTTTGCCAACAAGAAAGCCAAGCCCGACGCTACCTGGGGTATGCCTATTTATATTGTATACGAAGGCAAGAACGAGAACGGCCAGGGCGACGCATCGCTTCAGGGCATCCTTGTGTATAGGAAGATGTTGACATTACCTGACGTGCGCTCCTCAGCTCCTACTCTATAAATACGGTCTTAGCTGACGCAATCATTCCTAGTACCGGGCCGTCATGCAGTATTCCAATTGCCCTATCATTCTGATCGGCACGATGGCAAACCGCCTCGAGATCTCCGCTGCGATCTTCACGGACGGCATATATGCTGACAAGTTGGTCTCGCTAGACCTTCTTCTCGGTTTCGATGGCGAGGAGAACGTCCTGCGGCTCGCGCGTATACTCCATGTTCTCGCTATCTCCGCGCAGGAGATTTGCGCACATTATGAGGAGGCGCGTAATAACCCACCATCGGATCTGATCGCAGTCGTCCTCCCAGACCCGACGCCTGTTTTAGGGGAGACCCTGCCGAAAATGACATTCAAGAGCAAGCTCTCCCGCTCCAACAAGGCTCTTGATATTGTAAAAACTGACGCAGAGCGTTGTCACGGCCTCTACCTCGCGACTATGCCGCAACCGCCTCCCGTTGGCTCGAATCCGTCGTCAGAGGCTCTGAGAGAGGTTGTGGTCAAGTTCACCAAGCGCTACAACCCGGAAGCCCATCGCTTGCTTGCTGCGGAGGGTCTGGCTCCAGCCCTCCATGCATGCTCTCAGGTTCTCGGTGGCCTATACATGGTCGTGATGGACCGCATCCGTGATGGACAGCCTCTCGAGCTCTGTCGGAATCGTATCTCGCAGACCGTATATGATGACGTGAAGAAAGCCATGTCGCTACTTCACGCCGAGAACATCGTCTTCGGTGACTTGCGCCTACCGAACATAATGTTGTTGCCTTCTGGGCGTGCAATGCTAGTCGACTTCGATTGGGCAGATGCAGATGGCAAGGGGAGGTATTCAAGCATGCTCAACGACAGTCTAGTTGATCATTGGGCGCCTGGTGTCCAACGAAGGGCGATTATGACCAAAGAACACGATATCTTCATGCTGGAAAGGCTGAAAGATGCTGCTAATATGTTAATGCCGCGCTCAGGTGCCATGGTATAAACCGTAGATAAGATAATGTCCGCCGACTTTTCGTAAATTGTATGAATGTATTCGATTTCGTCAAGCGAGGGCACGATAAGGAATCCTCGACACGTCCACTCTCCACCAGGATCACCCTCCAACGGGCCGTGACGACGCCATGGGATTGTTCACACCAAGGAAACCACTGATGTACGAGTCCCAATCCTCCCACCTCACCAATCACATTAATGATGAGAGCGAATATAGCCCAAAAAAGCAGACACTCACTCGAACCCATTCGGCGCAGCAGACCACATCGCCAGCGTGTTCTCCGGAAAACTCAGCTCTGGGCCGAGCTCCTGGGCTCCACCATGTACGGGCGTCCCCGGATGCTGCACAAATTCCGGTTGAAACAAGTACTGCTGAGCACTCGCCGCCACACACGGTTCGGCCATCATCGTGAAGGTCAAGTCATAAGAACTCAGCTCCGGCATAATGAACATCGGTGCCATTGCCGGGTGGAGCTCGCCATTCATCTCATTTACACTCATAGGAACTGTTGAGAGCCCTATCTGTGGAGCAGAGGCCATAGAATAATCGATTCTGGATGGACCGGCGGCGTCATTGCCGTACCACGAATGATCCACTGGTGGCTGGGCCTGGGTGTCCATCGCTAATCCAAGATGCAGCGGCAGTCGTCCGAGCTCATCGCTATGTATGGGTAGCGAAAAATCCTGCATGCCCATCTGCCCGATCCCATCGGCAGATGCGCCCTGGCTTTGGTAAGCTGCAACCTGCGGCGACATCGCTGGTTGTACGAAGGCCGATGGGGCCATGGAGGACGTGTCTCTCGACACGCGCCTCGATCCCGCAATGTTGCGCGGCGTATCGTCCGGGTTGGACACGTCAGAGGGCGTCGCGAAGCTCGGAACATTCGACGTGGAGGGCGCGGGGCTGTCCGTGTCCCGTCCGCGCTTCTGGCTCACAGGCGTGCTCGGCAGGGACAGGTCGCCAACAAACGCAAGTCCGTACACAATGTCCCTATGAACGATATAGATAAGTGGAAGCAAGGAGGCATGAGACGATACCGAGCTCCTACCATAGCCGACCAGCTATGTGGCACTGAGGCTCGATGCATTTCAGCATCTTCATGCATTTGTGGACTTCTGCCATCTCTTCATTGGCATCGACCGTCAACCCCGATTGTTTCCCGCCCCAGATATTGTGCAACAGCACGATCCCAGACATAAAGTATGCCACCTGTGAATCTCAAAATGAGAAAACCGGCTGATCCGGAAAGCCGCAGACTACTATACCATGTTGATATGGAGCGGGGTACCGGTACGCTTATACTGGATATCCAGGACATGCGTGCACGAGCGCGCGGCGTTTGTGCATATAGCCAGAGACGGGAATGATAGCGCAGACGGTTTGCGTGGGGACGGGATGAACGGCCGATGCACGAGCACCTGCAACATGTAATAGGACGCATACAGGGTAGCTGACTGATTGAGAAAAGTGATATTCTCTCTTTGGGGATCCCATCGTACTATCACAAGGCGTCAATAGTCTACGCTATAGAGTATAGTCAAAATAGCAAACGCACGATGATCAGGAACAGAATCGATCCACTTGTTTAGCGATGAATCTATCTCCGCCACGATGTGTTGTTCCCATTGCTGTCCAACAAAGCCAAATACCGTCTTGGACTTGGTTATGGAATACTGTTACGTGAATAATGTAGGCCGTTGGTAGTGAATCCCGGGAATGCAATTGAATGGGTGTGATTCACTTACGATGGTACGCAGAGCGAAAAAGAGGATCCGCTGCAGCCTGATAAGGCAATTGAAGAAGGCCATGACTGACGGCTTCCCCGCTGGTTGTTTGAATGCAAGGTCGGGGTCGGGGTTTGTCCAGTATTCATCGTCGCACTCAATAGGCAGATCAAGATCAAAACTATAACAAAAATGTTAAGCAGGAAAAGGAGAAAGATCTTCCGAGGTTTACTTACTCATCATCTTGGATCATACATGGTCGTCCGAGAGCAGAGCTCATCGATCTGTCCATCAGCACTAAAACCCTATATATCACGTCATATTAAACTAGCCATATTTCGTCCACGCGATGAGGATTGGACTAGAGATCGACGCGCACCAGAATGCACGTTTCCACAACTCCTCTTCTACCGTTGGCTTGGCGTTGTAGACTTTTTTGCGATGAGCACCTACATCCTCGGCCATGAGAATGCTAATACCGATAATGTTTCGAACCGTATGCGACGCAGAGGATCCTTGCAAGAAGAGGGCCATGAGCTGTGAAGATTTACGTCAACAGCGGAAGCAACCAACGGATCTGATAGGCATCTGCCACTCACGCAGTAAATTTGGATATCGTGCAGCTGTGGAGGAGACAGGAATGACTTGCGTATCATATGCACTTGTCTGAACCACTGCCATCCTCGTGAAAAAGGAATCTTCTCGCCACTCTCTTCGTCCAACAGAACTACACGCGGGTCGTCAGAAAATCTGACCCCATTAGCGCAGACAAGCAGAACGGTGGAGCCGAATCCTTCGTCACGGAGATGCAGATTATCTCTGATGTTGGCATCAAAAGTAGGCCGATGGAGGACTGGCATGTAAACGTTTTGATAATCAAAATAGAGATTGACGAGCTTCCACAGGAGGTCTTCGTTTGGAAAGCTTCCCGGTTTGTGTGGTTCCAGCCGCTCTTCCGTCTGGGCTGATATCCACTGAAGGCGATTAATCTCATACGCCGTAGAAGTACTAAAAGAATACATACAGGATGTCGGCCATTGAATTTCGGCTGATGACTGCCATTAAGAATCTCCGGACGCATCTGAGTGCCCTCTGGCGATTCGTCGTATCCAATCCCGGAGAATTGTTGTTTCATGTCCATAGCGTTCTGTACGAACATTATGCCGCTTGATTTCCCCAAGAATGTGGGCACGTTCGGTTCTATGCGCATTTTATTAAAACTTTGCATAAGAGTGTGCTGCGCCATGACCTCATCGTCGCTGGGCTCCAACTCGTCCGGATCCGAAGGCCTTACATCGGGAGAGAGAGAAGCGGCAGTGCGGGGGACAACTTGCTCTCGTCGCGCAACGGTGGGCCTACCAGTTTTAGCGTCACGCTCAGTAAAGAATGAGGCATTATCCAAATGGTTGTCGGGTTCCTTGGGCAAGTCCGCGTCTGAACGTAGCTACATGGAAGTCAGCAATCCCCGACGTTATGTGAGAAGGTCATTCCACCTTGACCAAAAGCTTCTCCATGTGCTCCAGACGATTCTCCAAAGTCTCTATGTATCTGATATGCCCGTGAACTTACTTCAATGGTATCAAGCGGGCTCAACACACCTTTTGCTGGAAATTCGTTTCTAAACACCAATCAGTACCGAATAAGCCGTGCAATATAAAGGCAGATACGTACCTGCGCAGCTTCAACATACGTGCACTGATAACTATATGTAATGCAATTAGTGCACCTGTTGTTCGGCATTTGTGTTCCGTCACCTGCGCCGATTTCAGGATCAATCCGTCAGCTCTATGAGAATGCGTAGCAACCACGGCGAGCCTTACATCGAACTAACGGAGCTCGTCAACATGCATCATCTCGGATAAATGGTTTGATACACACTCTTTCTGTGCCTACAGACGTCGCAGGCTCGGTGTACCGTACGCCTCTTCTTCACATGTTGGGAGGCATTCGCAACATCGTGCGACTTATCCGAGTCTTCGGGCGAGGACATATGCATCGTGTGTTGAGCGTTGACGCGGACGAATTGTCCAGGCAGGATGCAAATGCTGTGGGTGCAGAGGCCAGAACTGTGAGCAGATGGCGGTCTGTTATGGCGGTCACACGCACATGCGTAATTGAAGCGGCACAGTGGCGAGGATTGATGTTGCCGAGTCGTCGACGCCACCGATCGAATATCGCCGCCACATCAAGCCGCAGATCGCCGAGAGTCCGATGCTACGATCGCGCACTGTGATTTTTGACAACATTTGCCCATTTGCCCGTCACCAGCTGATCATCCTTGTTCACAATATGAACTTCAATGAACGACTGAGTTTATGTGAGTAACCTTACATTCAGATTTGCCATTGCGCACCTCTGGCGCGTCCTGTGCGATTCTGCGAACTCCAGCCCTCGCGCGCGTGGGCTAGCATATGGCCAGTCTGCTTGTATTGGCTTGTACGAGTGATGAAAAGGAGCTACAAAATCGGAGAAGTCAAACGGAGGTCCTGAGACTTTCTCGGACTTATCTGCTTGTTCAATCTCAACAAGCGGAAACAAGCCTAACGGTAAGCAAATGGGTTTTTATAATGGCCTCTGCTTGAGCCTTCTGAAAATATAAGCACCTCAGTCTCCAGTTCAGCTTCAGCTGATATGTATCGCGCGCACAGGTCAATGCAAGTGCTTCAGTGCACAGCAGCCCTTCCTTCCTTCGAGAGCGCACATGTTCTGATCTTGGCGAAATGCTGGCGTGAGTCATCTCCCATCGGTGCTTCAGCATTAGATAGCGCTCCGATGTGTACTATCGTTGCTGCCGTTCTTGTTGCTGGCTCTTTGTCCTGCACAATCGGGCCTGCGCAAAAACAATACCGTATAAGATAACTATGTTCTGTACTCGCATACCTGCTTTACTCACATACCTGCCTAGTGGGTCGTGGGTGTCCCTAGCTTGCACGTACAAAAATCAAACCATCTATCCAGACGCCGTGAATATGATCAGGATTCATCTTCAACACGTAGTACTCGTGGATATAAACTATACGCTGCTACCCCTGTCTGTATGCGGCTTTCATTGTCCTGAACGGCGAAAAAACCACTCGTAATGAGTAGTCATCCCTATCATTTGTTAAATGCTCGACAGTGAACTCACTCCAAACCTTGCTGCTCTAGGCCATATGGCGTATGAATTCCTACTGCATATGCATATGAACGCAAAGTACACGGTTAACTATTCAACCATATGTCTCACCTTGCAGTTGCATGCAAAACACTGCTATCAAATTGGAAGCACTCAACTTGATGGGAACTCGGAGCGGCTACCGAGAATAGTGGCATATCGCACTGGGACAGAATCATGAGTTCTGAGCTCTAACTCATAATTCCTTCACGCGCACGGCGCACCTCCAGCCTGGCATGGTGTGCGTCAACGCTGCCGATACCTCTCCACCGTGGTCCTCGCGTTCGGAGGCGCCGGAAGAGGGCAAAAGCCGAAACTTGGATCAATGTGTGGTCGCTTGGGCGCTGCAGCTGTGCAGCCTCGTGGAATCCAGCCAACTGCTGTACTAGGCTCACAACCTCATCTCCCAGTCGCGCTGTGAGCCCTGCCATACTCTGATCTTCAGTCTCCATTGCCAAACGCTTCCCTCTCTCAATTTTGCAACTGAAGCCACAGGGGAGGCCATCAACATTGCTGCCAGATTTCATTGTCTCGTAGATCTCAGACGGCTTGGGAGTGAAGCAATGGACGCGTCAGCAATTGAATCGGAGTCGGCAGAGCGATACTCTCGTATGAATGATGTTTCAGAGCGTATTGTCATTTACGCGGTAGTGTTACTCCTGTTCCCATCCAAGCATACAACAGCTAATTCATCTCTTAGATGCATATCAATGGGCTGCTCAATGCATGCCATCCAAGGGCATTTGAAGGCCGCTTTGAGGGGTCGGTTTCAGCACAAGACTTTGACCAATGGCAACTCTCGGTTGAGGCTCGCTTCACGACGTGGGCCAGCTGGGACCTAGCGACAAGCCTATCAAAATGGCGCACCATGATATATGAGATAAAGGACTCTGGAGATCGCATCCGTGGCCACAATGTCGTGAGATCGCGAACTATGTGAGCAGTTCGTGCCATTTCGGTACTTCGCGCATCTAACTTGTTGGCTTCTTCAGCTACAACCTGAGCTTTCTCGTGTCGTTGAAGCCGCATCAACGACAATGTCGACTGGCGAAGCAGTCAATGAGTTGTTCCAACTTCTGCCTCCCGATGCTCGTGAAGTTATAGATCTGTTCGATGCAGTACGTAGATTGTTGGTGCTAGTTTGCTCCTACTCATGACAGGCCCACAGACTCTGATGGAAGATGCAGTCTTGCTGAATCCGGACATCCGTAACCCGATGTTTCGTACAATGAAGCAGCTCTGTGCAGAGCACGTCGTACTGCCGCGAGCATCCCTACTTTGTCCTCACGAGCTCGTCATGGAAGGTGAACGTCCTATCGCGTGGGGCGGATTTGGTGTGATATACCGTGGACCATTGCAAAGTGGTGGAATCGTAGCTCTCAAATCCTTCATCGCTGCGCAGAATGAGCACCCGCAACAAGTTCAAAAGGTCAGCCCTGAACCAACATTCGAGGTCATAGACATTTAACCGCCTATACCAAATTAGCTTATCTACAAGGAAGCCATTCAATGGCGACACCTCCATCATCCGAACGTTGTCCCATTTTTAGGTGTCTGTGACATGCCGCCACCACTCCGATTGTGCATTGTGAGCCACTGGATGGAGAACGGTAACATCATGGACTTCTTGCGACAGAACCTGAGCGCAGACCGACATCGACTGGTACACCGTTCCCCACTACATACAATAGCGCACCGTACTCACCGTTCATCGTCTTAGTTGGTGGAAATTGCGACAGGACTTCAATATCTCCACTCGAAGGACATTGTTCATGGCGATCTCAAAGGAGTGAGCGCGATAGCCCTCTGCTTCTATGCCTCAGACTCAATTGTATTGGCAGGCAAACATTCTCATCAATAACGGGGTTCCGCGTCTGGCCGACTTTGATCTAGCGACTGTGGTGTATCGCATGCAGACAGTCAATACTGCTTCCGGGTCGCACAGAGGTGGCACTTACCATTGGATGGCACCGGAACTTTTCGACCCCGAGAAATTCGGCTTGCCTCATGCACGGCCGTCCAAGGAAGCCGATGTCTACGCACTTGCCATGGTGATGTGGGAGGTATGCTCTTTTCTCACTGTTACTAGTCATAGCTGGCCTCATTCGCGGCTTTCAGGTCTACACCGGCCTCGTCCCATTCTACGAGTGTCGCAATGAGGGGCAAGTGGACAACAAGATCTTGTCTGGTGGAAGACCCATTCGTTCTGAGGATACTGTGCCGCCGGTCATTCAGGACCACATCTGGATCCTCATGAAGGCATGTTGGGATGCACATCCGCAAGGTCGTCCGAATATCGACGAGGTACTCGATCACTTGGGTGCTGAAGATGGCATGCATGGCATCGCAGTGATGGAGCAAAATCGCCTTCGGGGATCTCCTCATACGAGGTTAACAAGCGAGCATAGTAGCGTTGACGTGCAAGCTAATGATCCGGTCGGCGTCCTAAACGTCCACGTGGAATTTCATCTCAGAATAACCAAGCGCATGCTTTTTTTTTGCATACTCGTTTCCAAATTAGGAAACTGACTATGACGGAGATCTTGAGATCATAATCATCTGATAGACGTACGTGAACCCAATATACAGATTTGGTAATTTCCACCCACGAGGCTGTCGATCCATGTTCGCAACTAGTGCATTGGAATAGATTGGAATGATCCACTCGATGAATTCATACGAAGGAAAACACAACGACCAGGTACATTTTGAAAGATCCTACTAATCTATCTTTAATCTGAAAGGCGTGTGCTGACGGTTCAGAGCCAGCTACGGGTTCACCCTCCTCGGGACCGCTGCCTCTGCTTGTTTCTAAAGACCAGGCCATCACCATTTGCCTCTGGCTTCTCCGTGCACTCACTTAGGTACACCCTCTGTTTCATGATCTTTGCACTTTTACCATACTAACATGACTGAGATGCATCCAAGTTTCGTTCGTATGTGTGTACCCATCCGTACCTGACATTCAACTGAAAGCGGTCACTTTTAGAGGTCAAGACCCGAAGGCGACAAGAGCAGAGCGATTCCCGTCATATCATTTTACAGATGAAAATGACACATTCACTGCATCGATCTGTGCAAAATCGATATATGAGGACCAAAAAGCTGAGCTTGAAATAGCCTCTGAATTCTTTGCTGTTGACTCGTCAAATATAGTATAATCTTCAGGTGAGTGGATCGCTCGTGTTCATCATATGCTCAATGCGAGTGCCAAAAATGGACGCGCGGTGACCATCTTGTGCTTTTCAGGATGCCGCATGGTGCCAACTCGAGAGTCAAGGAGCGGAAAGCGCACGACGAGCTACAACTGACCGCATGTAAAAGCGTGGCAGAACGTGATGCAATGCGCCAAAATCGCACCTTATAAATTACCATTCTATATGCATAGTACTTATGCGAAGTCTGCAACATTGGCAAAGGCGATAGAAGGAAAGCTCAACGATGTAAGCGAGGATACGGCAAGGGAGAAAGGGAGCTGGGATACACCAAGGCGTAGAATCGGATTATGCTCGAGGAAATCCACGTCGTATCCGGTGGGAGCAGTGCATGGGAGGACTATGACGCAGTAGAATCAGGAGGTCAATTCGAGAGGCATGCTGGGTACGAGTAGAGCTCGAAACGCACGCTTGTGTGGTTTGTCCATCAAAAGCATTATGACGACGAGGAGCTGTTGTATATCCGTCAATCACTATTGGTGTGCTCCATAGAATCAAGACTTATTTCTTGCCATGACCTTTACAAGGGGAGAGGCACTCAGCTGAGATCTGACCGCGGCAATTGCACGGAGCAATGGTATAAGAAAACGCTCTAGAATATTATTGACGACCCAGCCGTACGATAAATAACTTCGGCACTACGATACAATCATCCTCTAGGAGGCTGCGATGATCCCGTCGGACTGTTCAAAGCATTAAAGCCGCTGATATAGGTGTCCCAATCGTCCCATCTAAGTCAATCACACAACAGATGAGGTCCGGCTTAGTAACAGAAGCAAGCAGATACTCACTCGAACCCACTCGGCGCAGCGGACCACATAGCCAGCGAGTTGTCCATGAAGAACGACTCCGGACCCATACGCTGAATATCATCAGGTAACGACAACCCTGGATCCTGCGCGGACTGCAGCGGGGCCCGAAAATCCTGAGCCCTCGGCGCCGGATACGAGTCGGGCATGATCCCGAAGATGGAATCATACACATCCGAGTCAGAAGCAGTGAACATCGGTACAATCGCCGGATCGAGCCCGCCATTCAGCCCGTTAGTACCCACGGGAGCCATTGAAGGTCTTGCTTGCGGAACACTGGAGATCGGAGAGGCAAAATTGGACGTTCCAGGAGGCGCTGTGCCGTACCAGGAACTGCCAATTGATGACGGAACCTTGGTGTCAATGGAGAAACAAGGATGCAGCGGCAGTCGCCCCAGCTCATCGCTGTGAATGGGGAGGGAGAAGGTGAACATGTTTGTCTGATCAACCCCATTGGAGGGCTCGTCTGGATTAGTCATGACTTGTGGTGGCATTGACTGGCGGCCGGCCGTTGAGGCAGTTACCGGGGTGACATCTCTCGATGCACGTTTTGACCCAGCAATGTTGCGCGTCGTCGAGTTCGTAGCAGATGAGTTGGAGGGCATAGGATCGTCGGTAACGTTCGACGAGCCTTCCGAATCCCGTTCGCGCTTATGGCTTTGAGGCATAGCCGGTAGGGGTAGATCGCCGAATGATGCTAGCTCGCGCAATACTTCCCTATGAACGACATGAACAACGGCGCCAATGAGGCAATGCTAAGGCTCTTACAATAGGCGACCAGCTAAGAACGACTGGAGCTCGATGCTCTTCAACATCTTCATGCATTTGTGCACCTCAGCCATCTCTTTGTTGGGGTCGATTGTCAGCCCCAATCGTTTTCCGGCCCAGATATTTTGTAGCAACACAACCCCGGAAGTGAACAGACACATCTGTGATTGATATGTGAGTGCGTTCAATCGTTCGTACAGCTTTTGGTAACTATACCGTGTTGAGGTACAACAGTTGACTGCTGCGTTTGAACTGAATGTCCAAAACGTGTATACAAGACCGTGCCGCGTTGGTACAGATAGCCAGCGACGGGAACGATAGCGGAGATGGCTTGCGTGGAGATGGGATGAATGGTCGGTGCACGAATATTTGAATCGTGTAATACGCTCCATAGAGCGTCGCGGATTGGTTGAGGAATGTAATATCCTCCCGGTTCGGATCCCATCGCACTGTTTATGATGCCCCAAAAGATCTACACTCGGCACAGCAGAAACAGTGATAAACGCACGGTGATCGGGTACAGAGTCGACCCATTTGTTCAATGCCGAGTCTAGCTCAGCCACGATCTGTTGCTCCCACTGCTTACCGACGAAGCCCAGTAGCGCTTTGGATTTGTTGATGGAGTACTATAGATACGAACAATAGGGACCGTCAATCGTTCATGCTGTGGCGCATTATACAAGCAACACCGCAGCCTACTCACAATAGTACGGAGGGTGAACCAGAGAATCCGATTCAGCGTGATGAGACAATTGAAGAACGCCACGGTTGACGGCTTCCCCGAAGGTTGCGTAAACGCTATTTCGGGGTTTGAATTTGTCCAGTACTCGTCATCACACTCTATCGGCAGATCGACGTCATAGCTACAACGCACGAAGCTAAGCACGAAAAAGAGAGAATCGTCTATGGCTCACTGACTCTTCATCCTGAATTATACACGGGCGCCCGAGAGCAGAGCTCATCGCTCTATCCATGACCACTAGGACCCTATGCGCCGTGTCACATCAACCAAGTACGTCGTGTCAGCGCCACATCGGTCAAGCTGGAAGATAATACAAACCAGAACGCACGCTTCCACAACTCCTCCTCGGCGGTCGGTTTCGGGCTGTAAACCTTCTTGCGGTGTGCACCCAAGTCTTGAGCCGCGAGGATGCCAATACCAATGATGGTACGGCAGGTATGACCCGCCGAAGTTCCTTGTAGATAAAAAGCAGTGAGCTATAATTTTCCTCGTCAATATGGGGGATGACCGATAGCGATGCATTACTCACGCAGTAAATCTGCATGTCGTACAATTGTGGAGGGGCCAGAACTGACTTGCGTATTATCCGCACTTGTCTGAACCATTCCCATCCGCGCGGAAACGGACTCTTCTCTGGTTCTGACCCCGGCACTTGCGAGTCGTCCGAAGTCCTCGCCGCAATGGCGCAGACAAGTAGGACTGTGGAGCCAAAAGCTTCATGGCGAAGATGCAGACCTTCCTTGATACTTGCTTCGAACGTAGGCCGATGGAGGAGTGGTAGATAAATATTGACGTTTGAGAAGTAGATGTCAATGAGCTTGAACATGGTGCTTTTATCAGGGAATAATAGAGGCTTTTGAGGCTTCAGCTGGTCTTTCAATGGGTCTGACAACCACTGAAGAGAATAGTCATTTCAATGCGCCGCAACAACTTCAAGATACGCACAGGATATATGTTGTAGGAATCACTCCAACGAGTGTATGGCAAGCCTGTATTGGCATAAGTGGTGTCCGGTCGTTCTTCTTTGCCATTTCCGGAGTATTCTCGTTTGAGATCCACGGCATTCCGTAAGAACATGAGGTTGCTTGATTTGCCAAAGTACCAAGGCGCAGTAGGATCCATGCGCATCCGTGAAAAGCTTTCGATAAGGGTACGATGCGCCACCGTTTCGTCATCGCTGGGCTCGAGTTCGTCTGGCTCAGTAGAGTTAGAAATCGCATCAGGAGGCGGGGGGACGACAGCTTGGGTTACGACCTGAGCTCCTCGCGCTGCGGTCGATCTGCCAGTACTATCTGCACCGCGATCGGTGAAGCAAGAGGCGTTATCAGGACGACCATCCAATTCCTTAGATAAGTCTAAATCTGGGCAAAACTGCACGCAAGTCAAGTGAATGGCAACGCTAAGCGAGGACAGCAACGAGTACCTTGCGCAAGAGCTTCTCCATATGGTCGAGTCGATTCTCCAGACCCTCTACATACCTTTGAGACTGACGTGAATGGTGATAACGACAAAAATATAGACACGCATACTCTTTAGAGGGTCCTCGTTTCTGGGCACCCAGTATAAACGGGATGCGACGCACACTGTAGAACCGGAACATACCTTCGCAGTTTCAACAAAAGTACAATCGTAGTTGAAAGTTGCGCAATTTGAGCACTTATTACTCGGCAACCGCGTTCCATCGCCTATGTAGATCGCAAGTTATGTCATTTGACGTAAAAATGAAAGATCAATAACTTAAAACCTTACATCGGACTATCAAATTCATCAGCATGCATTCTGCTCAATTAAAGTGCGATACATACTCTTTTTTCGCCTGCAAGAATCACAGGCTCGTTGTATGCGTCTCTTTTTCACATGTTGAGAACTGCTTTCGCCATCGTATGGTTCATCTTCTTGCGAGGACATGCCTGTTGTGCCCTCAGCTCTAGCGAAACCGTAACAGGACCTTGAGTGAGGGTAGAACTGCAAGATCAGTGTCAGCGCCGGAGCCAATGCCGCAACAGGCAATGTCAGGGGTGTTACCGTACACGCATGCGTTCGGCAGCGTTACGTCACTCTCCCGCGCCGCCGCGCTGCTGCGCTATTGGCGGTCGGCGGAGACAACCGAACCGATCCCCGCGCGGTTCGTTTTATTGCCAGTTTAGTGGCCCCAGATCTGAGATAATTTCAACTCCGCTGTTGAGGGTGGGCGCCTCATGAGAAGAAAGCTCGCGTTCCATGTGAGCTTGCTCTTCGCCATCGCCGTACATTTTCAAAAATGAGTTCCTCAAAACATTGGCAGGACCAATATTGTGGAGTGAATATCCTTACTCCTTATGAAGTTGCTTCGCAGCCTGAAAACACTCAATACGGCTCGATCCATCCCAGTCTCACCAAGCATCCTAAGCCTTTGTCCTCCAACCCGAAACTCGAGGAGAAGGCATCGGCTTCCCACTCCGCGAAAGCTGCCTTTCCGGATGGTCAAGTCCCGACCCTTACACCAGCGTCTGCCGAGTGGCTCAATGAGTTCGGCAAGGACGCCAACATGCAGCACCGCATGGCGTCTGAGATCTGAGATTTTCGGAGGCATCTTCTGTCCCTGTGGACCCGACATATTGGTGGCTCCATGGCCACCAGCGTACCAGAATGAACTTGCAAGATTGCCAACTTTTGTCTTTACCGTGGACAGAATGCTCGTTTGCTCGTACAAATTCAACATGCTGGGCGGTGGGCGGCTTCCTCGCGCATGTTGGGTTAAAGGTTGAAGAAAGCAGTCTCATGCTGATCCGCGGGAAGACGCGTACACGCGCCTCTGTGGCTGATGGGAAGGAACGTGTTTTGGCGCTTCTCAGACTAGTCATAATAGGACGGTCAAAGCCCTCCCCGCCGAATATAAGGCCGCGCCCCTCGAGCCAACTCACCCCAGCACCTTGCTTTCTACCCTCATCAGAGTGTACCACAGGTTGCCCTCACTGCACCCTCTGTTGACTAGCACGTCTACCCCATCTCAAATCCGTTACCTTACACGACCTAGTGCCTAGCCACCCAGTAAGCCACAACCGCGTCCTTTGTTCTTGTTGACATCACCTCATCGCCCGTCCTCTCATCCCTACTAGGTTTCGACATGAACTTCAAAGCTATTCTTGCATGGGCACGCTCTGTCGAGACGACTGAGCAGAGTCCACCTCTCTATCATCCCCGCCCACAGCAGACGCGGGCCAACTTTGCCGACATCTTGGACGGCGATTGGGAGGTCTCCAGCTATGGAGCGATTCATCATACAACAAAGAGGAACGAGTACATATTTAGTCAGGTAATCGCCACAATTTTGTTGTATACTGAATGCTCACCTTCCTGGCAGACGGCCGCGGAACTCTGCGATGCGTTGGTAAACGGCTCTGTGTTCCCATCCAAGGTGTCATCGCCCCCAGCCAAGCATCCAAAGGCCTGGACAGAGCCGAAGGAGCTGCTGAGTGTCGAGGACTTGATGTGTTGCTTGCGCGGCGAGGTCAAGCTTGATACCCAAAAGGTGAGCCTATCCTGCCATCACGCTATCGCAACACACTCACAACGCGTCGATAGCCTACAAAGGAGATCCCGTATGAAGTGTTTGCCGATACCGAAACCGCCAATTGGAAGCGCCTCTGCGGTGACAACTATGAGGAGCGGAAGAAGATGGCCTTCCGCGATCCGAACTGCGTGTATGAGTGGCCGGTGAGTTGGTTGATCACTGACTTGATGTGGGAGGGAGAAGCTGATTGCGTCGATTCAGCCGATCACCCCGGGCATGAAGGCGGCCATGGATCCTACTGTCCTGAACACTGACCTCGCTAATTCCTTCATCGGTGACTCACTGCTGTCCATGCTGGATGCAGATGGCAATTGGGATAATGCTGAAGGTGAACACGAGGGAGGTGAAGTGCAGAACGGTGCGCAGACTGTAAGCACATATGACTGCTGTCTTGTAAGCCCTACTCATGAGGATGCGCGGGCGCAGGCCGAGGACATATGCACCGACACCGTCGTCGGCGTGGCGCAAAAGGGTGCCGCTCTTCTGCCAAGGGAAGATGCGGCCACTGGCTGGCCGAACGCTTCCTCGTTCCCCCTCCCTGGTTCGTGCATGGGCTCTGGGTGGTACGACGCCGCCGGGTACGGTTCCTCGGTATGGGCTCGCACCACATCCGAGCTGCCGAGTGCGAACCTTTCAGTGTCGGCGACCTCCTCGACCAGCTCTCCAACCCTCGGCAGTTCTTCGCTGACGATGTCCTCGTCCCCGACGATCTCGTCAATCGCCACTCCGCCTTCTACCATTGACATCGCGTTCCAGATGCATGATGGGGAGATTGACAAGGAGCGTCGGCTCAAGTGGCGCGCGGAGGCCGCGGAGGAGCTGACGAGCATATTCAATGAGCCGTCTCCGTACGGGCAGGCGATTCCAGCATTCGGCCGGTTTTCGTCGAGCAAGGCAGGTAAAGGGCGCTGGTCCCAGATGCGTCACGTTGAGTACTAGCTGGTCGTTTGAGAATGTAACCCTTGATGAAAGAGAGCGACCAACGAAAGATACTAGAAGATGTGGGGAAGGATTCCTTAGGATGGGCACTTCGTATCGTGACAGCTATGCGGCTCGTGGATATGAATTGTAATTATAGCTTTGTGTCTTGTAACCGTCAGTCCAAGTCGGCTAGTCTAGTGCTGGCCGTGTCTCTTTGCATAATATATTGCTGGTCCTGCGTATAGCGTTTTGGCAGGTTGCCTTTAAAAAGCCGCCACCACAAAGTTTGAAAGGCACCAAAATTGGTGAGCCTTGGCCAGAGCAACACCAACCTCATGGTCCGTTATCTGAGCCACTGGATCCAGTGCCACAGCATTGCGGTGGGGGATATGATTTATCAGTGCTTGGTAGAGGCTGGAAACCGAATCAATAGTGCGACGCCACTCGCGCGTAGGCCATTGTGCCACCCGGGCGCCTATATAAGCCTTGTCGTTCGTCCAATTTGAACTTGACTTTCTACCGCGTTTCTTGCAGGCCACTCGCCTGTTGACTAGCACATCTACCCCTTCCCAAATCCCACTTATCTTAGGCGACCTAGTGCCTAGCCACCCAGTAAGCCACGACCGCGTCCTTTGTTCTCATTGACATCGCCTCATCACCCGTCCTCTCGCCCCCGCTAGCTGTCGACATGAACTTCAAAGCTATCCTTGCATGGGCACGCTCTGTGGAGGCGACTGAGCAGAGTCCATCTCTCTATCATCCCCGGCCACAGCAGACGTGGGCCAACTTTGCCGACATCTTGGACGGCGAGCGGCAGGTCTCCAACTATGCAGCAGAACAATACATAGCGAAAAAGGACGAGCACATCTTCAGTCAGGTAATCGTCACAATTTTGTTATGTACTGAATGCTCACCTCTCTTGCATAGACGGCTGCAGAGCTGTGTGACGCGTTGATGAACAAGTCATTGTTCCCATCCAAGGCATCATCGTCCCCAGTCAAGCATCCCAAGTCATGGACAGAGCCGAAGGAGTTGCTTAGTGTGGAGGACTTCATGCATTGCTTGCGCGGCGAGGTTAAGCTTGATATCCAGAAGGTGAGCCTATCCTGCCATCACACTATCGCAACACGCTCATGACGCGTCGATAGCCTACAAAAGAGATTGCCTACGAAGTGTTCGCTGACACCGAGACTGCCAACTGGAAGCGTCTCTGCGGTGACAACTACGAGGAGCGCAAGAAGATGGCCTTCCGCGATCCGAACTGCATATACGAGTGGCCGGTGAGTTGATTGATCGTCGACTTGATGTGGGAGGGAGATGCTGATTACATTGGTTCAGCCGATCACCCCGGGCATGAAGGCAGCCATGGATCCTACCGTCCTGAACACTGACCTAGCTAATACCCTCGTCGGTGATTCATTGCTGTCCATGCTTGATGCTGATGGCACTTGGGATGATGCTGAAGGCGAACGCGAGGGAGGCGAGCTGCAGAACGGTCCGCAGGCCGTAAGTACACATAACTGTTCTCTTCTTAGCTCCACTCATGAGGATGCGCAGGCGCAGGCCGGAGATATATGCACCGACATCGCCATCGACGTGGCACAGATGCACATGGCCGAAAGCGGAGTCGAGAAGAGCGCGACTCTTCTACCAAAGGAAGACGCGGCCACTAGCTGGCCAAACGCTTCCTCGTTCCCTCTCCCTGGCGGCTCTGGGTGGTACGACATCGCCGGGTACGGTTCCTCGGTCTGGGCTCGCACCGCATCCGAGCTGCCGAATGTGAACCTTCCCGCGTCGGCCACCTCCCGCACCAGCTCTCCGTCCCTCGGCGGTTGTTCACCGACGACGTCCTCGTTCCCTATGATCTCGTCAATCGCAACTCCGTCTTCACCCATCGACATCGAGTTTCAGCTGCTTGATGGGGAGATTGATAAGGAGCGTCGGCTCAAGTGGCGCGCGGAGGCCGCGGAGGAGCTGACCAGCATATTCAAGCAGAGCGAGCCGTCTCCGTACGGGCAGGCGAATCTGGCTTTCGCGCGGTTTCCGTCGAGCAAGGCAGGCAAAGAGCGCTGGTCCGACAGGCGTCGTGTCCCGGTGCAGATCGTCGATGCTCACGCCGAGTACTAGCTGGTCGTCTGAGAATGTGATCCTTCATGAGAGATGAACGATGAACGAGCATTGTAAAGATACTAGAAGATGAGGCGAAGGGTTCCTGAGGACGGGACTTCTTATCGTGATGAGTTCGTGGCTCGTGGATGTAAATTGTGACTATAGCTTTGTGTCTTGTAATCGTCAGTCCAAGCCGGCTAGCCTAGTGCTGGCCGTGTCTCTCGCATAATGTATTGCTGGCTCTTGTAAAGCGTGTTGGCAGGTTGCCTTTCGAACGCCACCGCCACGAAGCCCTGAAAGCCCGCCCAAAACTCGTGAGCTTTAGCCAGAGCAACAATCACACTGCCCGCCAACCTCATGTTCCGTTATCTGAGCCACCGTATCCAGTGCCACAGCATTGCAGTCGGAGATACGATTTACCAGCACTTGGCAGAGGCTGGAAACCTGAACAATAAACCGACGCCACCCGCACGTAGGCCCTTGTGCCACCCGGGCGCCTATATAAGCCCTGTCGCGTCTCCAACTTGAACTTGACTTTCTACCGCGGTTTTTGCAGGCCACTCGCGCACAACTTTTCGCCCGTCGCGCCTTCGTTGCATCCTCCAACCTCTCGCCGCTGGCGAAGTGTCTCCTGCATCGTCCCTTTGCACGTTTAGACCCAACAAACACCTGAAGCATTTTCATCGACCACTGGGGTGAGCGCGCCGCAATCCGTCGTTCAGCTCACACCATCGTCGTAACCACCAGTCACTATCTGCAGGATTCCACGATGAAATTTGATACGCTCATGAGTTGGGCTCGCTCCGTCGAGACCGCTCGCAACCCGGCACCATGCGTTCTTCATCATCAACCGCAGCCGCCTTTCAAACAGGCGACCTTCCAGGATATTTTGGGCCACCCTTGGACAATGCAGGATTCTACAAGCACCCATGTTATAACGAAGATTATTAGACGTCCGGTAAGCGATACTAACACATCTTTGTTATTACATGGGTGCTCACCATGAGTGGCAAGACGCACAAGCAGCTGCTTTTGGCCATCTTGAACGGGACTTATCGACCATCCTTCATGGAGAACGAAGCACAGAACGACTTTAGGGCACGTGTTGGCATAAAGAACTGGCAGAACGCGTCTAGCACCATTCACGACGCCACTCAGGCTGGGCAATCGGTCAGTGTTGAATCGAATGCTTGCCGCAATGTCAAAGCTTATAGCCCTCGTCAGGGTTCCCAATTGACATACGGACAGTTTTGGATGGCCTACGCCGCCAATGTGGAGAAGTTCAGCCGAAAACTCGAGGAAGAGAACTTAGCCACTGGTGACACCGAAACCAAGCATGCTGAGTTCGACGATGGGGTGAGTAACCATAAGGCTAATACATCGAAGAAAGCTCACGCATATCAAATAGTTGCGCGGTCGTGGCACCACAACGCCTGAGCCCGACGATGCTGAAGATGCCATCTACGCTCTTCCCAGCGACCTGCTCTCAGAGCTGAACGCCAACGAGGCTGGCTACGACCACTACACGGACATGAATAAATACGGAGGTGAAACTGCGGAGAGCGGTCAGCAAACGGTGAGCATCACATGAGCATTTATCAGTGTCTTGATCTAACAAAACACGCACAGATGAGGGATTTCTACATGGACACTACTACCGATCCTGTTTGGATCGACACTGCCAGGGTCGCCGTGCCGCTAGGCCCGTGGCCACCGACAGACGCAGACAAATGGCCAGCTACCACTGATAACGGCTCGTCAGTCTGGCCTTCCGCATCCCCCGCCCCTCCGTGGCCCCCTCGTCCGTCCTCCCCCGTCCGATACACTTCATCATCGACTTCATCCACGTCGTCCTCGTTTCCAATCATCAACACACCTAGCAGCACATCCATCGAAAAGGACCATGCCGCGGAGCTCCGTCAACTGGAGAGACGCGCTAGACACCTCAAGATGTTGGACGATCTTCTATTGGAGTGCAATCCATCCTTCGCTGGCTCAAGGACCGTGGCGCCTGTTCTTGGCTCTCCTGCCGATTTTGAAGATTGGCGATTCGGCGATCCCATCTACGAGGAACGCAATGGGCCATTCGGGTTCATCCAGGTTGGTCTTTACTGCGCTTGAGCTGGTTGTCCATGAGCACATGCGGATCAGCGCAGAGCGATAACAGCTTGCAAGTCGTGTGTGGTGATTCCCGATGTCTGCGGTGTCAAGTAATGAGTGAAGGGTGCTGTATGCCAGTATACATTGACAGTTGTCTTTACATACTCTGTATTTGTCGGGGCCATCGTGTCTTGCATCAACTTCGTTTCTATCGATCGAATTTCTCCTTGTCCATGATCTCGAAGTCGCAAGCGCACGCAGTAATGAGAATCGTCCCTGCCATCGTAGAACCGGTTTGGTTTGTGTCTGGCGGTGCAAGGACAGAAGTGTACGAAGAGCTCTAAGGTGGATTGCGTGGCGCAAGGGTGTTCTGTGGACCGTCACCCTTCTTACAGCCACAGGGTGGCCACAAGCCACAACTGTAAAGCCACGGGTACCACAGGAGTTCAGACAGACAGAGACAGACGCGCCTGAGGACTCGGAGATCCTTCTTAGCATTTTTGTTTCGAAATGGTCGTACTCTATGCGAATACCACAGTCAATTTGGACATTGAGCACGGATAGATCTCTCCAAAGCAGGTTTTATATACTATGTGATTTGGACGAGGTTGCTGCAGTTGCGAACGAAACTCAACGTGCGACGGTGTTTAGCTGGTCCATTCCATGAGACATCTCAAAACATCCTTCATTACGGAAGCAGTCCTTGATCAGCGACCTCTTTCCTGCTGTATCTCGCCGCGATGTGAAAGCAGTAGTACAGGAGTCAAGCACTCTTCTCGGCGCCCTTGATCTTTCTTCAGATTAGACAAGGCTTAGGATGTCCGTGAGGATCTCTCTTTCATTGCAGAATAAAACGGCAGAAGATAAAAAGCTATCAAGTATTTCCCCCGTCGCAACTGCAGGAGTAGCCCGCGAATCAAACCTAGAAATCAAGAGGCAGCCATTCGCTGTCTGAGACTCTGCGCTGTATTGTGAGCATTCTCCATGTTGATTCCTGCCTTTTCATTAAATATGGATGGCTCATTGATCCACTCTAAGTACAGTGCTGCCAAAAACGCACCGCGTTCGTTCCTGAGCAACAGAATGGAATATTAATGTGGCGGGCTTGTTAGCGCCCGTGATACGCGGCCACGTGATGTAACGCGTGGTTGTTGTTCAGTTAAGCGCCTGGACACTGCACTGTTCAACTTCGTCGCCTCTCTTCGCTGTGCACTCTTACCTGCTCCCCGAGCTCTTACTGTTTGCTGACTATAAGGCGGTACACACTACTGTATACACCTCGTAATGTGGGCCAAGCTCAGCAGCGCGCTCAAACCTCGCCCGACCGCTCAAAACGTGGCGGACGGCAGTAGCGATGCCGGACTCAGTAGCGTATTCGATGAGCATTTGCAACGAGATCGAAATGGTGAGCGTTCAAAAGGATTATGATATTTGTGTTCTTAGCAAAATGATCAGCAGTCAAGCGACCTCTCCGCACCGCCATCCCCGAGCAAGGTCCTGCTTCTCCGATGATGTCGCCTTTGCTGCTGCCGCAAAATGCGCACTCATCATTGCAGACACTCTCAAGTGGTATGTAGGTTGGATTTGTTGAGTCGCAATGATCTGATGGTCACGCAGTGTCCGAAATGCCGCTGGACCACGCTCCAAACCATAACGCCGAACGACGTCGATCACAAGATGCGTTTCGTAGCTCGGAGGACATATCCGCATCATTCCATGGAAGGCAAAACGTCATGCCCTTGGGTCATTCGAACTATGGCTCTGTTCGACCTATCCTCCGCGACGGCAACACTCCTGCCACTGGGCAGAGCGTGCGTTTCTTCTCTCGCGATGCTTATAAGATGATCACGCCGGACATGTCCGCGACAAGCAGCGAGCCAGAACAAATTTCATTCGCATCCCGCCTCCGGAGAGCCCAGAAGCACTCCGGCCACACGTCGCAGGAGACATCCGAGGACATCACTCCGTCGATGCCATCTTTAATGGCACCGATGCCTCCGCCCAACGTGTCAAACATCTTCGACCTATCTGCCGGTGCAGAGCTCCCCACGATCGCTCAGGATACCGATGCACCCTTGCATGACAGCGCGGTCGAAATCTCGGAGGTTGATGACGTGGACCGGACGCCCGCGCTATCTGCTCAGAACCGTAGTCGATCTATGAGTGTGGGACAGCCGGGATCGATGGCAACCGGAAATGATAACCCGTTCATATCGAAGTCCAACCGAGATCGATCCATGAGCGACGCCGCCTTCCACTCTGCTCATTCGTCCACGGACAAGACACCTCCTGCCTCCGAGGCCAAGAGCATGTCTACCGCGATAGCAAGACAAACTCCTCCCCAGGACAAGGGAAAGGAGACGGACCCATTCGGCACGTATGCGTCGACGTACTACACACCGGGCACGGTGCTCCCTCCAACGCCGCAAAAAGCGAGCACCCAAACTCCGTCCAACGTCGAAGAGTTGATCTGGTCCTTGCAGGCGCAGCTTGCGCTGCAGTCGGAGATGTGTGTGCAGTTCGAGGTCGACCTCGGCGCGCGTGACGAGCTGGTGGGCGTGATGCGCACAAAGCTGGGCGAGACCGAGCGCGAGTGCGACAAGCGGAAGGCTGCGATCGGGCGGTATCGCCAGCGTGTGCAGGAGCTCGAGCGGTGGGTGCGCAGCTTGCAGGAGGAGGTGGAGCGGAGTAGGGAGGAGAGTCTGGAGCGGATTGTGGTGGACGAGGCGAACGGAGAGGCGATGACGGCACTGCAGAAGAAGGTCGAGGATTTGGAGAATGAGAAGGCGGAGATAACAAGGAGGGAGCAGGATGCGCGAGAGCGGGCGGAATCGAGGGAGAGTGAGCTGCTCAATATAAAAGAGGAGTTGGACAAGAGAGGTCAGGAACCAACTCCCGCGTTTGATACCGCAGGGCATGGAGAGCGAGAGAAGCTCCAGGGGGACAAAGGTTCTCTTCGGCATGAGCTCTCCCGAAAGGAAGCGGACCTGCAGATGCTGAAGGCCGAACTGGAGGCGCAGTGGAAACATACGGAAATCGCGGGTGAGAAGATCCAGCAGCTGACACGAGAACGCGACGAGCTGCGTGCGGAGGTGGATGCCCTGAACCAGCGGATAGCCGACATGGAGGTTGACTGGAGCCAGAATGAGAACAGGAAGGGCACGTTGGAAGGTGAGATGCAGCAGGTTCAGGCTGTGAAGGAGGAGGCGGAGCGACAGCGCAACGAGGTACGCTAGTGCTGGCGTTGACTTTGTGAAAAGAAGTCTGACATCACCGAGTCAGCTTGAGAATCAGCTTCGTGCAGAGCAGGAGCACTCGGAGAACCTTACGCAGACCTTGCAAGAGACGGAGGACCGTGTCAGTGCTCTTGAGCAGGAGAGACAGCCTCTCGTGGGCAAGGTCAAACGACTTGAAGTGGAGGTTAAGCAGCGTGAAGCCGACCGCCGGAAACTTCAGGAGCGTATCGCAACTCGGGAGCGGGATGTTGAGCGAGCAAAGGAAGAAGTAGCCCGGATGAAGCGAGATCATGTCGACATCGTAAATGGCAATAGCAAGACCCTGCAGGATGTCGTCGGCCGAGAGGTCGAGTCTCGCGCTGCCATGGAGGCCCTCGTACGCGAGAAGTCTGACATGGAGGCTCAGCTGCGCTCGATGGAGGACAAGATCGTTGCGTTGGAAGGCGAGATGGACCGGACGAAGCGCCAGCTGTATGCGCTCCAGAAGGGGAGTGCGGACAAGGAGGTCAGGCTAGCCAACCTCCAGAAACAGCATGCTCAAGACAAGGAGGACCTGCGTGGTCTAAACATTGCTCTGGACTCCAAGCAGCAGGAGTTGGAACTGGTACGTGCTTGTCGCGCTGGGTGTGAAAGCACAGTTTGTACTAATGTTTTCGCGTAGCTCAAGAGGCGCAAGAACGCACGGCTATCGGGCACTGCATCTACGGCAACAACGACCAAGGCTCCTCGTCCGCACAGAGAGTCATCCATCTTTGGTACGCCCAGTGTGGCGCTCAGCTCTCGAGCATCGTCTGTCCTCTCAGACGTGGAAAGCACCGTAAAGCAGCGTAAGGTCGTCAACGTATCCGTTCCCAGCATAGCCAAGCCAGCTCTCACTCGCGGTGCGCGTCCCAAGAGCACTTCTAGCACACGTACACTGGAGACTACCATGACTTTGAATCCTGCCCGCCCTCCGTCCGTCACGGACGACTCCCGCAAGCCCATTTCCTCTCGTATGTCCTCCCCTACCACACGCACGCCACCCGTTTTCGTGCCGCCGGCAACTGCAAGGCCAGTCTCGAGTAATCAGCGACGACCGTCGTTATCGTCTATGCTGGAGACGCCACGTATACGGTTGCCAGCGGCCCCTCGTTATCCACCATCAACTAGCGAGTCTGACGATAGAGAGAAGGAGAACACAGCTCCTGGTTTCATAGCGAGGCGGCGGAGCGCGCTGCTTGCTTGAGAGGTATGGTGAGATATACTGAAGTGTTGTTAGTTTCATTTTGTTTTCGGTCGAGCTTCTTGCATCTGCATCTGTGAACCTTGACAAGGCTTTCGTGGACCGAATATCGCAGCATCTGTTCTCGGTTGTATTTTGGTGATCTACGTACTATAGTATATCTCCTAGTTGCCTTGCTTTCTGTATCGCTACTTCTTCCCGAGTTGCCTGTGTATACGTAGCACGTAGATTATTCGTGAAGGTCATGAAACCGATGCTCTCGGTGGACGTTGAACCACAGCCAAGACAGACGCGTATCTTTCTATTTCGCTAGTGTTGGTAGTACGTAGACTTTATCGTTTGAACCGCGGTGCGGTTCGATACCAACGTAATGGATACAGCTCACAACAAGATGAAGGCATAAATATGCGTTCAAATGAGCACATGGAGGAAACAAGACAAGTCCAGCGAGTCTTTCACGCAGACATTGATAATTTTCGATAACAAAAACAAAAGTCTCTCGTCGACCATCCCCGCCTACTTACGATGCGCTTTTCTACATCTCATCAGAAATGGAATTCCTCGAACTCCTCGAGGCGCTTCAGCCTGTAGAGGTGCCACACTCCGCCATCGTAGCCCCTACGCATGACATAGCCGGACGACAGCTGCACCTCGCGAAGGGCAGGACACCACCTGTTCCAGGGAATGACGAGGTTACGCAACTCCTCCTCGATAGAGTCGAACGAGGCGTCAAAAAGGAACGGAGGATGCGCTGGCTTGCGGATGTCATGCTGAGGGGTCGCGTAGATCTGGAGCTTGTGCATCTCGGGGAAGCGCGCGAGGAACTCTGGTCCCATTGTCACCATTGTCATCTGAAAACAAAGGATTAGACAATGAGAATGCACGGAACATGGTGAGCGTACCTCAGAGGGACCACCGTGCTCGTAGGTGATCTTCAGCCGCCGGAGCTTATGGAACAGGCTACAGATGGCATGCATGATCTCGTCATCCCACGTCGAGAACTCGACGGAGAGCATTTGCAAGTCCGGGAAGGCAGTCGCGATATTGGTCAATGCGGAAATACCATCCCTATGGTTGTGCAGCCCGTACTGCCCATGGGTGCACTGCAGCAGCTGCAGCGCAACGATGGGCCGATTCGGCAAGATCCCTGCGATCGACTCGACCGGCCCCGAATAGCATCGCAACAGCGGCAACGTCCCCGGACGCAAGTGCTGGTGATGCGGCGTCGGGTGGTACGTCGAGTACGTCGTGAGCGAGCGGGCGCGGGAGAGGAACGAGTACAGGTTCGAGTCTGGAAACGCCGACTCGCCGGCGATCGAGGGCAGCACGAGCCGCTTGCGTTGGATGTACAGCCGCTCGAGGTGTGGTGGGATCTCGTTCGCGTTCGTCTGTGCGCCCCAGCTGGGCACGCTGAAGACGTACTTGAACACGTCCGCGGTCGAGTCGACGCGGAGCGTGCGAAGGTTCTGCGCGAGCGAGAGCGTGAGGACGTGCATCATGTCCTCTTCGATGAGCAGCTCGCCGTGCGGATCTGGACCGCGCCGGCGGAGGTTGAGCAGCGCGAGTTCGGTGATCGGCAGCGTCTGGTGCGACAGCGTCTGTGCTGTGCTGCGGCACGGGACGACGCAGGAGTCGACGTGCAGAGCGCGCAGAAGCGGGAGCGCGTGGATGAGCTTAAAGTGCTCTGGCGTCAGGAGAAGGCCGTAGAATGTCAAGTTTTCGAGGTTCCCGAAGGACGTGATGCGCTGGAGCATTGCCCTGTGTAGGTTCGGAGAGGCGTAGGACTGCTGCTCAGGAAATTGCGAACGAAGGAAGTTCCGCTCGCGAGAACGCATGTGGATGGGAAGGCCGCCGAAGTCTACGACGAATCCCGAACAATGACCGGGTAGGAGAGACACACCAAGTTCAAGGGTCCGAGTGGCCAGGTGCATGCCCTCGTTCGCGTCCCACACAGGGAGGTTGTGTGCCATCTGTTCGGGAGTCCTCCAGATGACATGGCGATGTATAGAGCGAATGGCGAGGTCGTGGAAGCGCTTACAAGAGCGCATGACGCTGTACAGATCGGAGGGCAGGGAGAGCAGTTGAAATATCTCGATCCATATCTCTGCGGGAACTGCTTCAGAATTCATAGCTATATTAACTTCTTGGTAAACTGTGGATTTGCTGGACGTGCTCGGCGACCCTTGAACCAATTCCAAACTCTGGCCTGCAGCGACAGAATGAGGTCAATAATGAACCATATATTGAGACGGAAACTCACGTTGGGTCTTGATACTGCGCCCCGCACAAGATGCACTATCGGAAGTAACCATATGAGCTCGCTGCCTCAGCATCAAAGAGGGCGACTCTGTGTCGAGCGAAAGAGAGACTCGGCTGCGGGGCGGGACGAGCTTCGAGGAGCGCCAAGGCCCAAGGCCTGGTAGGTGCCAGTGGTCTTTTGGGAAACGTCCACGTGAGGTGATGCGTTCAGTGTCCAGGGTCCTGGTGCTCGATCTTCCGCGAACAACTCCGAGCAACACCGCAGACATGAAGCAATTTGCGCATGTGGCAAATGCTTAGCAAATGTCGACAGGTTTTTTGCCTTTGTGATCTCAATTTGCTATGGTTCCTTCCCACGTTCCATATTAAGTATTTGCATATAATATCTTAGAGGCAGAAATTTAAAATCATATATTTTGAGAAATGACACCATTTTCAAACTCACCAAATACATTTAGAATTTGAGCGCTGTTGAATGTAATTGTACATTTTTGAACTCCAAACCATCACATGTATAAAATATCCAGTAGCAGATGAAGGTGTAATTACGGTGAATGACTTTCATTCTAGTAATCTTGGCTAGAATGACTTCAGTAGGGAAGTAGAATGTAGGCATAATTACACCTTCATCTGCTACTGGATATTTTATACATGTCATAGTTTGAAATTCAAAAATGTATGATTACATTCAACAGCACTCAAATTCTAAATGTATTTGGTGAGTTTGAAAATGGTGTCATTTCTTAAATATATGATATTAAATTTCTGCCTCCAACATATTATATGCAAATACTTAATACGGAATGTGGGGAGGAACCGTAGCAAATTGAGATCACAAAGGCAAAAAACCTGTCGACATTTGCTAAGCATTTGCCACATGCGCAAATCGCTTCATGTCTGCGGTGCAAGTATGAACATAGTCCACAATGCACGGCCATGTACACCTTGTCAACCAAGCCTCTTTTATGTACGCCGTGAATGGCTCTATTATCTCAGTTCGCTATAGCTGCATGGTGCCTTTAGCGCACGTTCTAGTAAGCCCCTTAAGGCCTATAGTCAACTTTAGCTTATTCTCCGGCGGTGGCCCGGACGGTTGATCGACTTCACATCTCGCAGGGAAATCCCCCTTGCTTGCTGCATCATCCATTGTGGATTTTTTCTGAGGTATTTGTATACGATTGCATTAATGAAGCTGAGCGAGGGACGCCATTCCAACAGAGGTCCGACATCAACGTTGTCGCCTGATCTGCAAGTGGTCAATGAACAAGTTATACCAGCCGAGGGTGCCTATGATCAATGAAGACTTTCATTCTAGCAGTATCTCGGAGCTATGATAGAGCCGATGAACTCCATGAGCCTGTCAAGCAGAGCATTTGCATCCCGCAAACATCTGCCAAACCCGGTCTCCTGCATCTATGCATCAGAGAACATTCTTTCAAAATGTCTGTTGTTCCAGTGCACCATGCATCTTCAGAGGCTGACGACATGCATCTTTAGAGATAAGGCATAATCAGCCGCGACTGAGGAATACTTAGCCCCGGGTACCGTAGGGAATCGCAAAAAGAGCGCAGACCTAGAATCCAGTTCAGAAGACCGCGATGCCATAACATTTCTACGCACTAACAGTGATAGCTGCTACAGGAGTACACTTGCTAACCAAAGATGGCCCACTGGCTCTGGGGAGTTCTTGAACTGGAACGGCTGTCTAAATCTGAAACCGATTCAGGGAAATTCGTCTTGCGCTCGCGCCAGCCATAAATCCCTCACAGTCATGCCTCATTGGCTGCCACTTCGAGACGCCGAGTCAAAAGATAAAGCTGTCTACGATGCCCTCAGGTACGGGAATAGCGTAATTCGCGCATTTTGATTCTGATGTCTAGGTCAGAACGCCCCACCAGCGATCGCGCGCCCGCGAGGCCAGGAACTTAAAAGGGTCCGTTGTCGGGTGGTGTGCCGCCTTCAGCTCGCTCTTCCAGTACTTCCGAGATGAGTGCCAGAGACCATTCGAAGGCGAGGTCAGAAGCCCCCGACGACTATGATATCCAGATCCGGTCAGAAGCTCTTTTGCTTGTCTTTGTCTTCCTACCTCCGTCGTCGTCGGCGACCTTGTCACACTCTCCATGGGCGACCGTGTACCTGCCGACCTTCGACTTGTACAAGTCTCCAACGATCTGCGGTTTGATCGGTCTCTTCTCACTGGGGAGAGGTACGTGTTGCCCAAGCATCCAAATGAATGCCACTGATAAGTACTTTGTTAGTGACATGATCCCCGGCACGCTCGAAATGACCTCCGACAACGCGCTGGATACTCGCAACCTCGCGCTGACGTCCACGTTCGTCGTCTAGGGAAATCGCACCGGCGTCGTGTTCGCCATCGGCGATAAGTCCGTCATGGGCCGCATCGTTGCGATTTCGGGCGAGACCAAGTTCAAGAACGGTCGTCAGCGCGAGGTGTGGTTCTTCACCAAGATCGTTTCCACTTTGGCGCTGTCGCTGTTCTGCATTGCCATCATCGTGTGGGGTGCGTGGTTGAGGAGGAGCTACCCCAGCTACGAGACGGCTAGCGAGGCGATTGTCAACTCCATTGGGTGCTTGACTGCCTTCGTACCACAAGTATGTCTTCCACCTTCCGGTTGAGTTTTTCCTGGTATCAACATGTGTGATATAGGGGTTGCCTGTTTGCGTTGCACTGTCCTTGAAGATCGTTGCAAAACGCATGGCTAAGCGCAACGTCCTCGTCAAAAGTCTCGCGACCATCGAGACTCTGGGCTGCATGTCGGTACTTTGCTCGGACAAGACAGGTACCCTCACTATAGGCAAGATGGTGCGTACTTCTCGCCCTTCTTTCCTTCCCCTGCTCACGGGGTTCTTTCAGTCCGTGCAAAACGTCGCCTTCGTCGACGGCCAGTATGGGGTGGAGACGATCATGGAGAAGCATAGCTCTCCAGAGGACGACACCGCTCCCGCTGGTTTGAAGGCCCTGCACATGATTGCCCGCTTGTGCAACGGTGCGAAATCCGAGACGGCCTCTAGTGACTTGCCTGTCGAGGAGCGGCTAGTCAAAGGCGACGCCACCGACACTGCCGTTCTTCGCTTCGCGGAGACTCTTAAGATCCCCTCACTAGCTATCGACGCTCCCACACTGCTTGCTACACGCGATAAGACCTTCGAGATCCCATTCAACTCTCGCAACAAGTGGATGCTCGCGGTCGTTCGCGAGAATTGTCCTGCGGCTGTAGACGAACAGCGTCAGACGTGGATGCTCGTCAAAGGCGGTCCGGACGTGCTATTCCCTATATGCACGAGCGTCATGCATTCCGATGGATCTGTTGTGCATCTCGACTCCGCCATTCGTCGCAAACTGTTCGCGCTGCAGGAGGAATGGAGCAGCCAGGGACAGCGTGTGCTTGCTCTGTGCCGTCGTTCGTTATTGGACGTGAAGCTCAACGTGGAGAAGATGTCCGCAAACGACGTCGAGGAGCTCATGTATGCCGAGCTGCAGCAGCTGACTCTGGTCGGACTCGTGGGGATCCGTGACCCGCCGCGTGCGGATGTGCCTGGAGCTGTTGCGACAATTCGAAGAGCCGGTGTTCGGGTCTTCATGGTAACTGGTGACTTCAAATTGACGGCGCTCGCCATTGCCAAGCAGGTTCGTACTAATTCATTTCATGAAGCGACTGACACCGACTTCTCGATCACAGGTTGGAATTGTCACGCAAGAGAAGTTGATGCCATGGAACAAGTGCGGTCGGCTGACATCGCTGCGCGGTTTGCCGGTCTTCCTGCTCCCTCCATCAAACCGAGCGAAGACGATCCTATTCGTGCGGTCGTCCTCACCGGCGATGATATCGAAAGGATGCACTCCGAAGACTGGGATGCTGTCATCGGCAGCTACACCGAGATGGTATTCGCGCGGACCACCCCTGAGCAGAAGCTCGGCATCGTGGAGGAGATCAAGGCACGGGGAGATAACACTGTAGCGGTCACAGGCGACGGTGTCAACGACGCTCCTGCGTTGAAGGCGAGCGATATCGGTGTCGCGATGGGCAGCGGCAGTGATGTCGCTAAGGAAGCTGGTACGTCCGTCGGGACATTGCTCAAAGGCTCCTTAGCTGATGGTCGGACTAGCGGCCATGGTCTTGTTGAACAACGGTCTCTCATCGATCGTCGTGGCCATCGAGATGGGCCGTCTCGTCTTTGATAACCTGAAGAAGGTCATGATCTACTTGATGCCGGTGAGCGTCCCCGGGTCATTATTCCAGTATACTGTGCTTCATACTCATGCTGCATAGGCTGGCACGTACACCGAGTTCATCACCGTCTTCGCAAACGTTTTCCTCGGAATGCAACTTGCTCTGAGCTCGTATTTGCAAGTCTGCTTCTCGATCACAAACGACGTGGTGATGTCGATCTCATTGATGTATGAAAGCCCGAGGCTGGTCAGTAGTCCCTGCTGTAGTCCATAACGTCTTCCTGACCTGCGATAGATTTGATGCACCGCAAGCCGCGTAACGCCCGTACAGACCGTTTGACAGACTGGAGGTTCTTCTTCCAGATCTACCTCGTGAGTCTGATTATTGTGCTCTTTACTACAGCTAAGGATCCGTCAGTTCATCGGCTTGATGATGTGGCCGTGCGCTATGAGTATGTGGTTCCTATACATGGATCGACAGGGCCTCAGCTTCTATGATGTGATTCTGGTCTACGATAAATGGACCGACGGATACAAGGGTTACACCATCGCGGAACTCACACATTTCGTTTCTGTAGGCCAATGCATTTAGTGAGTGGGCTGCGCCATGTGATGTGGGAACCGATGCTGATAAATGCCCGGTCCGCAGCTACGTGACGATGGTATTCATGCAATACGGTGGTTTACTTTCGGTTCGGAATCGCCGCGTTTCCCTCCTGCAGTCCAACCCTATTTGGGGCCCTCGACGAAATCTTGTCGTTCCATTGGGGATGATCGGCACAGCGCTTATTGCAGTCGTCAATCTCTATGGTCCTGGCCTCGAAGATGTCTTCGACACAACGCCGATCTCAGGAATGTTATGGGGAATCCCATGCGCTTTCGCTCTCGGGATTCTGATCATGGAGGAACTCAGAAAACTAATCGTTCGTACATATCCGAAGGTGAGCTATCGTTCTCCGTGAGATCTTTTTGGATACAAGCTAACATTTTGGCAGTCTGTAATCGCCAAGATGGCGTGGTGATTTGGATATTCTCCCGAATAGAGATTTCTTGTATCACATTGGCCATATGGTCGACGTAATGATGTAGAGATATTGCGCCGTTTCTAAAGCATGTCATGACTTTGGCCCTGGCGTGACAAGTACGTGAGAGAGTTCAGCTTTATGTGGATGCGGATGGATCGACGTTGGCATACATGCAAGCTGTGGCGGAGTGGCTTACGAGCGGACGGCAAAGTCCTCCGCGCGATCACGTGAGACTTCGAAGCGCTTCAACGCATCAACAGATCAAAAATGCCGCTCTTCGCGAAACATGGTGTACTTGATGCTGCGCGGGCGTCGACATCCGGATTTTCACAAGGCCACTTGTGTTTTTCTGTGTAAGATGCACGGTACCGCATTGTGAAGTCGCCGATTCCATATGTACGTGGCGATATATTTCGACGGCTTACTAGCAAAAGTATGTCTAATTACGTCAGCATTCTTGGAAAATGGAGGGTGTAGATTTTCTAGGGGCAGCCACTGACATGGGTAATCCAATGCTCGTGAGATGTATGTTATGAGCGGCAGTTATTTGGTGTAGTACTCTACCATGGCTGGCGTTTCCTTGACTCAAGGTATGCTAAATCTGAACCTGGAGTCCTATCATTTCTAACTAGCTCGTATATCTCATAGTGTGGGAGCCGATACTTGTCGCAGAACACAGACGGTGACCGGACAATTCCAGGAATCTGGAAGACGTGGTTACTCTGGTTTGCACACATGTTCTCGTTTGCGGCTCGCCCAATTCCCGATCACGCAAGGCTGTGAACACGGCGCGGAACTGGCAATGGCATAGAGGAAGGACAGAAGCCGGCAGTAAGTACAACTCCGTGTCTTGAAACTCAATAGACTGCCCGGCTCTTGCGTGCTAACAATAGCAACATTTACTTTTATCTCGTAGCTCCAGTATCTTTCGCACCACATGTATAGGCTTCGATGGTGAAAAAGCGATCCTTGGAGCCCTTGATGATGCTAGGCTGTGCTAAAAATAGGCATCCACCGGGTGATCGGGAAGCTGGACATCGATGCAGAACGGGCGTAGGAGGATCGGAATACCGTCAGTCCAACGTTCAGCAATGATTTCTCAGCTTTATCGGTCCCGCGCTTTCATCGATGGTTGCAACATCAATCACGGAACATCGCTTGGACCGGAACTCTTCCATCACTCAGTAGCGGAAATCGCGCAAGACAACAGGGAAAAATTCTCCTGAGCATGTGATCTCCCCCAACGCACGCCCCCAATTGAAGATGAGACCGTTCGGAGTCGAACTGTACGGTCATTTAAGAAATGGTAACTCATTAAGCATAACGAGCATCTGAGCCCGTGGCAGAGGGGAAGCTTGATCGCTCAGGAAATAAACCTGATCGCTTTGCTTCCGTTCGATTGACATCAGCGCCTTTCAAGTTGCGGCGATATGCCATTGGAAGACGGGATACCTGTTCCCGGATCTCCCAGACGAGCCCATTCTCATGGCCTTCTCGAATTCTGGCAGAATGCGCTCAATTTGTTTTATATCGTGTCATTTCGCGGTGCTATCTGGACAGCATCCAGGGCCGGTCTTCATCATTTTAAACCCTCGCACCCCCCTCACTTTCGAGCCCACTGATCCTCAGTATGCCTACGAAAATGAGCCCCGCTGCGACGACTGGAAACCCAGGCGATTATGGCATACAGATTCGGTGAGTACTCCTCTGAATGTACTGGCCGCTATCCTGAGCTCTCGTGTAGGTACCGGACACTCTCAATACATGTCAACGCAACCCGGGATGAGAAACAACACCCTCCAGCGAAGTCAAAGGGAGCTGCCGACCCTGAAACAACGATCCGCCAGATAAACGTTCATATGCTTCCCGTAGACGAAATCTACAGTCGATATTCGACCTCACCGACTGTGGGCCTCGATAGTGCCGCCGTACAGCGTAGAGCGGTGCAGGGTGGCAAGAACGTGATATCCCCTCCGAAATCACAGTACTGGAAGAAAATCCTCAACTATATCTTCGGCGGCTTCAACTTCTTAATGTGGATCGCCTTCATTGTGACGATTGTGTGTGCCCTCTCCTGCAACCCATGATTCTTCGCTGAGGTTACGTCGCTTTCCAGATTTCCTATCAGCCTCTCGGTGGCGCACATCCCTCGGCATTCAACTTGGGGGTTGCTATACTTTTGGTACGGCATCGTGCCGATGCTTGTGTCCCTTGTTGCTGATTTGAATGGCAGTTATTGGTAATCATCATCTCCGCGACATTCTATGCACTAGTAGACTGGCATGCCTCACGTATAATGAGCTCTATCACGACTCTCATTGCGGAGAATGCGAGCGTCATACGCGACGGCCAGCATCAGACGATATCGGCAAAGGATTTAGTAGTCGGGGATATTGTCACATTGTCGATGGGCGATCGTGTACCCGCAGACATTCGACTCGTGCAGGCGTCGAGTGACCTACACTTCGACCGCTCTCTTCTGACTGGGGAGAGGTGCGTCTGTCGACAGTCTCGTGAATGTAGCTAATACAACGTTCCTAGTGAGCTGATCCCCGGCGCGCTAGAGATGACCTCCGACAACGCTCTGGAGACGCGCAATCTGGCGCTGACGTCAACTTTCGTTGTGCAAGGCAACTGTCTAGGTGTCGTCTTCGCAATAGGTGACAAGTCGATCATGGGCCGCATCGTGGCCATGTCGAGCGAAACGAAGTTCAAGCTGACCACCATTCAACGTGAAGTGTGGCACTTCACCAAGATTATATCCTGCATCGCCATTACCATGTTCAGCATAGCATTAATTGTTTGGGGGGCTTGGCTACGGTCTAGTTATCCAGGTTATGAAACCGCAAGCGTAGCTATTATCGACTCCATAGGCTGTCTGACCGCATTCGTGCCTCAGGTATGTCTTCACCATTTTCTCAGCAGATCAGTGTTGCCTTACTGATACATCACTCAGGGACTCCCGGTGGGTGTCGCTCTGTCTTTGACAATTGTCGCGAAGCGTATGGCAAAGCGCAACGTGCTCGTCAAAAATCTTGCGACAATCGAAACGCTTGGGTGTATGTCCGTCTTATGCTCAGACAAGACCGGTACTCTCACGATGGGGAAAATGGTTCGTTTTTACTTTCGGCTGATACGTCGCAGCCTGCTAAATTGATCTGTGCAGTCTGTGCAAAACGTCGCATTCGTCCAGGACCAGTTTCGTGTGGAGGACATCAAGGAGAAATACAGCGGTCGGGACAGTACCAATGCTCCTGCTGGTCTGAAGGCTCTGCACATGGTCGGTCGCCTATGCAACGGAGCAAAATTCGAGACGTCTTCCGATGATCTGCCCATTGATGAGCGCCCCGTCAAGGGCGACGCCACCGATACTGCCGTTCTCCGCTTCACCGAAGCTCTCACGATTCCCTCACTTGCCGTGGATACCCCCTCCCTGCTTGCTTCCTACGAAAAGATCTTCGAGATTCCGTTCAACTCTCGCAACAAGTGGATGCTCACTGTCGTCCGCGAGAATCGCCCAATCGGCGCTGGCGAAGACTGGCAGCCGGAGACGTGGATGCTCGTCAAGGGTGGTCCTGATGTTCTCTTCCCGACCTGCACGAGCGTCATGCGTGCGGATGGATCCGTCGACCACCTCGACTCCGCTATTCGTAGCCAGTTGTTCGGACTGCAGGAGGAGTGGAGCAGCCAAGGACAGCGTGTACTTGCTCTATGCCGTCGGTCGCTCGCGGACGTCAAGCTCGACATGCAGAAGATGTCGGCTAATGACGTCGAGGAACTCATGTACTCGGAGTTGCAACAGCTGACTCTGGTCGGGCTTGTTGGAATTCGCGACCCGCCGCGTGCAGACGTCCCTGGAGCTGTCGAGACGATCCGCAGAGCCGGCGTTCGGATCTTCATGGTTACTGGCGACTTCAAGTTGACGGCGCTCGCAATTGCGAAGCAGGTGAGTGCTCATGTCTGTTCCAATCACCACAATATTGAATAAAAATTAGGTCGGAATCGTCACCCAAGAGAAAGCTGATGAAGTTGAACACTTGCGCTCACCCAAGTCAGAAAAGGGTTATGCTGGCCTCCCACCGTCAGAGATTAAGCCCGGTGAAGACGACCCCATCCGCGCGCTTGTGCTCACGGGAGAAGACGTAGAGACGATGGACAGCAATGATTGGGACGAGGCGGTCGGCAATTATACGGAGATTGTCTTTGCACGCACTACCCCCGAACAGAAACTGCGGATCGTTGAAGAGGTCAAGGCACGGGGAGATAACACCGTCGCTGTGACTGGGGACGGAGTTAACGATGCTCCTGCTCTGAGGGCAAGCGATATCGGAGTGGCGATGGGCAGCGGAAGTGATGTGGCCAAGGAAGCTGGTGCGCACAATGATTAATCAATGTCCTGCATTGTGCTTACACCGATCCTCAGCGTCGATGATCCTTCTGAACAATGACCTGTCTTCGATAGTGGTCGCTATTGAGATGGGAAGATTGGTCTTCGACAACCTCAAGAAAGTCATGTTGTACCTGATGCCCGTACGTCCCGCTTCTCACTGCTCTACAATAATCCTCAAACACTGTTGTATAGGCGGGGTCTTACGCAGAATTCGTGCCCGTCTTCGCCAATGTGTTCCTTGGGATGCAACTCGCGCTAAGCTCGTACTTGCAAGTCTGCTATTGCGTCTTCAACGATATCACGATGTCGATATCACTGATGTACGAAAAACCCGAAGCTGGTGGGCACCCATTTCATTACTCGCTCATGTCGTCATGCTGATCGGCTGCAAGACCTGATGCTGCGCAAGCCTCGGAATGCTCGCACCGATAGATTGGCAGACTGGAGATTCTTCGTACAGATTTATTTGGTACGTCTGGTCGCGATCCATCATCCGTGTCTGTCGCTTAATGCTGTTGCTGGGCAGTTCATCGGTGCAATGCTCTGGCCTTGTTGTATGAGCATGTGGTTCCTGTACATGGACAAGCAAGGCCTCGGATTCTACGACGTCATGCTCGTTTACAACAAATGGACAGAGGGTCACAAGGGTTACACCCAAGACCAGCTCAACCACTTTGTATCGGTAGGCCAATGCATATAGTGCGTTCAGTCGACCCGTCATTGTGCATACGCTTATATGATTACCCTCAGCTACGTTACCATGGTTTTCGGACAGTACGGAAGCTTACTCGCCATCCGCAACCGTCGTGTATCCATATTGCAGTCAAATCCATTCTGGGGCCCGCGTCGCAACTTTATCATACCGTTAGGTATGATAGGCACCGCTCTCGTCGCCGTAGTCAACCTGTATGGGCATGGCCTTCGAAAGGTCTTCGGGACCGCTGCCATCCCCGGCATGTACTGGGGAATTCCATTCGGGTTTGCTTGTGGAATCCTCATAATGGATGAGCTTAGGAAATTGATTGTGCGCACGTACCCAAAGGTGAGCATCGTGCTTGTTCCGAAACACCGCATGCTGAGTCCCTTGCAGTCTTTTGTAGCAAAGATGGCGTGGTGATAGATCATCATATATGAGTATTTCGATATGTGCACCGTCTCGGAGTCATTATAATGTACAGTAAGGCCGAATCATTGTCGCGTTAGATTCACATTTGGTGCCCACATCGCGCGAAAGGTAGCCAATGACTTCGTTATGTATTTTATGAGTGTCAATCATTTAGCTTGTGCATGGAATATTGCACGCCTGCTTCCGTTCTGACCAGCTTGCCTGTGATCAGTATGAAGTTCAACTTCGTTATTACCTTTCGGAGAACATTCAAACCGTGCTCTTTCCGACGTCGACCATTTACCCCAGCAATGCTCCTCGGCGGATCTTGCGCGCGTGTGCTTTAGTTTGGCAGCAGGCTTCACTGCATACTAACGGTACACAACTTGCATTTCAATGCAGGCAATGAGCTCTAAGTATTAGACTCGTACTAAACCAGTCCTGTAAGCGCGCGTTATAAGCTGCCGTTTCTGGAGAGGCGGGGTTTGAAAGGCTGCTTGCGGACACTCTGGTGGACGTCGAGCTAAAATGACTGGTACGGTCAAGTCTGGTGCTTTAGAGATGGCCTGCGGCCCGTCGGAGGTTGTGGAACGGATGCACTCGGAAGCGAATGCCTTACCAATCAAATGCGAAGCTTGGTCGCTGACTCCGTATGTTGTCTATGCATTTTAGCTTTGCAGTAGAGCAGCCGTAGCGCGAAATGCATTGACTCTATCCAGAGTGCCACCTCACTTATTGCAGCAAGCTCTATTAAAAGAAAGCTTGGATTCCTATCTTTGAAGCCGCACGTATTTCGTCTATCTTTCCCACTGCATCTATAGCTTCCGGGTTGTGCAGCCAAGGATTGTGCAGCCAAGTCTAAGTTCAAGAGATATATCGGGAACAGCTTTGATGCAATTGAACCGTGCGGCGACATCGTGAGTGCCGAAAAGAGTGCTCGGAATTGCATTGTGCTAGCTGGGAAGGTCTACTGATCATGGTTCGCATTAGTAAGTCCTCAACATTGATCTTGTCGGAACTAGGCCGCATCTCGAACATAGAGAGATTAAACCATCACGTAGAGGCGCGCGCTTCGAAGCCTTGGCTAGCGTGTAAAATTATGCGGGGAGTATACATCGAACAAGACTCTTGTGGAAAGATCGAGCGTCATCGAGGCCTCAGCAGATGAACAGCATCTTGAGGCTATAATGTCAGTACAATGCACTGGCAAGATATCTATGCAGGATGATCTACGCTTCCTAGATCAGGCGCAATCTTCTTTCTGTGTATTTCTCCCCTCGAGATCCGACTTTACGTCGTAGAAATTGGCGCTCTGTATCGTCGAGAAAGAAACGATGCTGAAGTGCCCGACCATAAATTGCGATGAACTCGAGCTCCTGATGACATTGAGAGATGAGGAGACGAGTTGATGGGCAACCCGGCGTGAGAGAGCTAAGGCTGAAATGTTGAACATTAAAAGTGAAACTCCGCGACGACGCAGCCGCACGCTAATCCACGCGCTCGAGGCTGGAATTCGCATGAGCCGCGCCAGCGGTGCGCAACGACAAGATTACCTCACATAAGACTTTCAATCCTTCGTTTACATTAATCATGTTCGCACAAAGTATGAACTGAAAGTTGAGCTCGTAGGATCCCGGCTCTCGGCGATCTGCGGCCCGATGTGGCGGTACGATTTTGATCGGTGGCGTCGACTCGGCAATGCTCGCCACTGTGCCGCTTCAGTTACGCATGTGCGTGTGATCGCTATAACAGACCGCCATCTGCTTGACCATATAGTTCTGGCCTCCGCGCCCACAGCGATCAATTGTCCGCGTCAGCGCTCAACACACGATACACATGTCCTCGCCCGAAGAGGATGAGTCTCACGACGTCGCGAGTGCCTCCCAGCATGTGAAGAAGAGGCGTACGGCACACCGAGCTTGCGACATCTGTAGGCACAGAAAGAGTGTGTATGAAATTATTTAGTCGAGTTGACGGGTGCTGACGAGCTCGGGCAGTTCGATGTAAGGCTCGTGGTTGCCACACATTCTCCTAGAGCTAACGGCTCCGCAAATCGGCGCAGGTGACGGAGAACGGATGCCGAACAGCAGGTGTACGAATTGCATTACGTACGGTTACGAGTGTACGTATGTTGAAGCCGCGCAGGTACGTATCTACCATTATATTGCACGTCTCGCCCAGTAGTCATTAGTGTCTAGAAACGAAATTCCAGTAAAAGGTATGTTGAGCCGAGATGGTGCCATTAATGCACGTTTCACAGGCATATTAGATATATAGAGAGTCTGGAGGCTCGTCTGGAGCACATGGAGAAGCTTTTGGTCAAGGTGGAATGACCCTCTCACGTAACGTCGCGGATTGCTGATTCCCATCTAGCTACGTTCAGACGCAGACTTGCCCAAGGAACCCGACAAACATTTGGATAACGCCTCATTCTTTACTGAGCGTAACGCTGAAACTGGTAGGCCCACCGTTGCGCGACGAGAGCAAGTTGTCCCCCGCACTGCCGCTTCTCTCTCTCCCGATGTAAGGCCTTCGGATCCGGACGTGTTGGAGCCCAGCGACGATGAGGTCATGGCTCAGCACACTCTTATGCAAAGTTTTAGAAAAATGTCCATAGAACCGAACGTACCTACATTTTTGGGGAAATCAAGCGGCATAATGTTCGTACAGAACGCTATGGATATGAAACAGCAATTCTCCGGGATTGGATACGACGAATCGCCAGAGGGCGCTCAGATGCGTCCGGAGATTCTTAATGGCAGTCATCAGCCGAAATTCAATGGCCGGCATCCTGTATGTATCCTTTTAGTGCTGCTGCGGAGCATGAGATTGATCGCCCTCAGTGGATGTCAGCCCAGATGGAAGAACGGCTGGAACCACACAAACCGGGAAGCTTTCCAGACGAAGACCTCCTGTGGAAGCTCGTCAACCTTTATTTTGATCATATCAATGTTTACATGCCACTCCTCCATCGGCCTACTTTCGATGCCAACATCAGAGACAATTTGCATCTCCGTGACGAAGGATTCGGCTCCATCGTCCTGCTTGTTTGCGCTAATGGGGCCAGGTTTTCCGACGACCCGCGTGTAGTTCTACTCGACGAAGAGAGTGGCGAGAAGATTCCTTCTTCACGAGGATGGGAGTGGTTCAGACAAGTGCATATGATACGAAAGTCACTCCTGTCTCCTCCACAGCTGCACGACATCCAAATCTACTGTGTCAGTGACTGATGCCGATCATTCACGTCTGCGGTGTTGACATAAAGATTTACAGCTCTCGGCCTTCTTCTTGCAAGGATCCTCTACGCCGCATACGGCCCGAACCATTATTGGGGTCTGTCTCCTCATGGCTCAAGATGTAGGTGCTCACCGCAAAAAAGTCTACAACACCAAGCCAACGGTAGAAGAGGAGCTGTGGAAACGTGCATTCTGGTACGCGTCGATCTCTGGCTCGATCGTCATCGCGTGGACGAGATGTGGCTAATTCAATGTGACGTTATATACAGGGTTCTAGTGCTGATGGACAGATCGATGAGTTCTGTTCTCGGACGGCCATGCATGATCCAAGATGATGAGTCAGCAAGCGTCAATAGATTCTGCTCCTTTACATGCTTAGCATCCTTCCTACAGTTTTGACCTCGATCTGCCTATTGAGTGCGACGACGAGTACTGGACAAACCCGGACCCCGATCTGGCATTCAAACAACCGCCGGGGAAGCCATCGGTCATGGCGTATTTCAACAGCCTTATCAAGCTGCACCGGATCCTCTTTTTTGCTCTGCGTACCATCGTAAGTGGGTCACAATCGTTGCATTTCCAGGGATTTACACCCATTTCGTTCCAACGGCCTACATTATGTGCGTGACAGTATTCCATAACAAAGTCCAAGGCGCTATTGGGCTTTGTTGGACAGCAATGGGAACAACATATCGTCGCGGAGATAGATTCGGCGCTCAACAAGTGGATCGACTCTGTTCCTGATCATCGTGCGTTTGCGATCTTTGACTGTACTACATAGCGTAGACCATTGACGCCTTGTGACAGTACGATGGGATCCGAAAAGAGAGAACATCACCTTTTTCAACCAGTCAGCCACCCTGTATGCGTCCTATTACATGTTGCAGGTGCTCGTACATCGGCCATTCATCCCGTCTCCGCGCAAGCCATCTCCGCTATCCTTCCCATCACTGGCTATCTGCACCAATGCGGCGCGCTCGTGCACACATGTCCTGGATGTCCAGTACAAACGTACCGGTACTCCACTTCATTTCAACATGGTATAGTGGTCTGCGGCTTTCCGGATCAGCCGGTTTTTACTCACCTTGAGATTCACAGATGGCGTACTTCATGTCTGGGATCGTGCTGCTGCACAATATCTGGGGTGGGAAACGATCGGGGTTGACGGTCGATGCCAACGAAGAGATGGCGGAAGTCCACAAGTGCATGAGGATGTTGAAGTGCATTGAGCCCCAGTGCCACATAGCTGGTCGGCTATGGTAGGAGCCTGTATCGCCTCATGCCCTCTTGCTTCCACTTATACGCATCGTTCATAGGGATATTGTGTACGAACTTGCGTTCGTTGGCGACCTGCCCCTGCCGAGCACGCCTGTAAGCCAGAAGCGCGGACGGGATGCGGACAGCCCAACACCCTCCACGTCGAATGTTCCGAGCTTCGGTACGCCCCCTGACACATCCAACCCGGATGCCGCGCCGCGCAACATCGCGGGATCGAAGCGCGCGTCGAGAGACACGTCCTCGATGTCCCCGTCGGCCTTTGTACAACCAGCGATGTCGCCGCAGGTTGCACCTAATCAGACTTATGGCGTGTCTGCCGGCGGGATTGGGCAAACGAGTGTGCAGGATTTCTCGCTACCTATACATAGCGATGAGCTTGGACGACTGCCGCTGCATCCTGGATTGGCGATGGACACTCAGGCCCAGCCACCAGTGGACCATTCGTGGTACGGCACCGACACCGCTGGTCCGTCCAGGATGGACTATCGTATGGCTTCTGCTCCGCAAGAAGGACCCTCGACAGTTCCTATGAGTGCAAACGGGATGAATGGCGAGCTCCACCCTGCAACGGCGCCGATGTTCACTATGCCGGAGCTGAATTCCTATGACCCGACCTTCACGACGATGGCCGCACCGTATGTGGCGGCTCATGCTCAGCAGTACCCGTTCCAGCCGGAGTCTGTCCAGCATCCGGGAGCGTCCTTACGTGGCGGAGCCCAGCAGCCCGGCCCAGAGTCGGGTTTTCCGGAGAACACGCTGGCGGTGTGGTCTGCGGCGCCGAGTGGATTCGAGTGAGTGTTTGCTTTTTTTTGTGTTGGCTGGTCTGTCTCATTATTTGTGTGGTTGGTCAGGTGGGATGATTGGGACTCGTACATCAGTAGTTTCGTTGGTGCCATGAACAATCCGATGGCGTCGTCGCGGCCTGTTGGAGGGTGATCTTGGTGGCGAGTGGACGTTCGCAAAGTGTCGAGGATTCGCTCAACGAAATCTAAGCACCATCACCCCCACCTTTGATATGTAGCTGAATGATCTCGTCCTGAGTTATGGACGTCGTGCCGTACACACTACTTAGACTTGGAACTTGAGCTTCGTATATTCATGAGTCGGGTTCATGTCCTGTAAAAGCCTTACTAATTATCCGCTGTATCTGTAGCCCGGGCTCGGATTGTACCCGATATGAGCCTGAGCAAAAGAGTGTGCGACCGTGCTCGACATGGCCGAGGTAGACCTTATAACAACAAGACACCTATATAGACTGCATGAGCAGACAGATACCATTCTGTGTCTTGAGCCGCACCAGTGTATATAAAATCCCGCCCAACAACTCAACACAAAGTCTGCTCGCTACCGTTGTCGCCGTTGAGTCAAAAACATGAAAACACTGTCTAGGCAAATAGTATAGAATACACGATCAGCGATGGTTGCATGATACTTGAGCTTGAGCAGTATATTGCGCGGTGTCCTTCCATTGGGCCATGTATGCAATATGGTTCCGGTGGAAAATAGGGGTTATTGGCAGCGAAGTCGAACTATATATTCCTGCAGCCGGGCCGCTGTGGCCCTGTGGCGGGAGGAAGCGCACAGGGGCCACAGCGGGAGGAAGCCTGAGGAAGCGCTCGAGTAAGCGTCGAAGAAGACGAGAACGACCTGCACCACGCCGCAGCGGGACTTGGGCTGCTCAATTTACTCCTTGCTTTTGTCTGCGACTTCGAGTACAACAATCTTGTTTGTATACGGTTTGCAACTGCTCTGGCTACCACATGAACATGCACTGTCGAGAGGCTGAAGGCAGAAGAAATCCGATTGACGAGACGAGTCACTGCATGAAACCCCAGATCACGAAACGTGAGAATATGGTAGCAATAAGGGCATTTTGCACGAGTTACGCTCAAAACACACAAATTTCACACAAACTGCAATGTGATGTGAATGATACAAAGACGAGCTGATTACAAGCAGATCATACACTCAATCCACGCATGTTTCGCAATGTGTAGAATCTGCATGTCTTGGGATCAGACTCTGCAAGGTTCCAATTACGAACCCAGATTTGGTCAACATCCATCTTCCTAAATTCAGCAAACATCTGAATAACAATCAATCCCGACGGCCTACACAATCCTGTTGTGCAACTATCCGTTGGTGAGGAGATAGGTATGGACCGTTTCTCTGCTACTGCTGGTTCTGGAAAATATCAGCGAGCCCACAACATTGTGTCAGATGGATTCGCAGCAGCTTACTTTTTTCACTACACTATTCGAGCCATTATAGAAACTCTGTTCGAAGTGCAAGTCTTGCCATTCAGGCACATCAAGTGAAAAATAGGTGTTTTCGGATACGTGAATGCCTATTTTGGGACCGTAGAGAGTCAAGGTCATGGAACATTGCATTTGCACATGTTGATATGGCTGAAGGATTCACCAACGTCGGATGAAATGTCAAGCCTGCTTTGAACTGAAGAATTCAGACAAAAAATGGTGGCCTTTATCAAAGCAAATTTCAAGGCACACGTGGATGGATTGTCATGCACCGAGAAGATACAGCAGTTTCCATCTGAAGCAGAGGTCTCATATTGTCAACCTCCAAATCCTGACGTAGACAATTATTGGGAGCAAGTGGCAGACTTAGAGAAGTGGGTGGTACGAACTAAACAGCTTCATACATGCACTCGAGGTTGTCTCCATACAGATCAATATGGTGCTCTGAAGTGTAAATGTCGTGCACCATGGCCACTATCAGAGGTCGACATCGTTGAGGAGAAGGGATGGTGGCAGCCAAAGCGAACCTATGGATACCTGAATGGATACGTGCCAGCGATCACTGTCAATTGCCGATGCAATAATGATGAAAAGTTACTCACCAATTCTGAAGAAACAAACAACATCACATTCTACGTGATGGGTTATGCCGCTAAAAAGCAGGGCCACTCGTACAATACATCTGCATTGTTAGCCAAGGGTCTCATATATCATTTTGATGATGAGACATACATCCATCAGATTCAAGAGTAGGCATGCATGTTACTGTTCCGTTCGGTGAACATTCTCAATCGTCAACAGGAGATACCAGCACCTATGGTTTTCTCCTACTTGATGGGATGGGGAGATGTGATCAAATCACATCACTACGTCTCAGTTTACTGGACGTCTTTTACAGGAGCACTGTTGAAGGCAGATCCTGAATTGCATCGCAACCGTAGGTAAGCAATAAACCCTTGACAGCCTCTGATGATGCACTCACCTATGTGGACATCCAGAGACCAACATGGTACTATCAGCGTCGGTGAACATTCCGAAGTGCAGAATAACTTGAATACAGAAATATTATCACCCGATGTCACTGAGGTGAGCTAACATGTATAGATGAAAGCTGCTCAAAGTTGTTAACGATGTTTCAGGATGGGACCCTGTTGATTGAGGTGAACTCACTTGGAACGCTTGTTGCATGAACACAAGTCATCGACTACCAATTGTGAGGAGTCGAACTCGAAACATACAATGTGATGAAGTTTTTTGCAGATACATATGAAACATCAAAAAGTCAGCGAACAGAACGTCAACGCGAAGCAGCAAACAATGTGTTCAATAGTAACAATGAAGAACCTGACCACACTTCGACATGCAGACAGCAGTACATCAGATATCTGCCTGGTCACCCAAAGACATCTGATATGGTCCGCATCATTAGAAGAAAAGGCCACAACACCATACCTGACTTTGTCAGTCAGTATTTTCCCCGACGAGATGATCCTGATGAGCACGAGTACTACTGTGCATCAATGCTGCTCCTGTTCAAGCCTTGGCATCAGGTTTGGGATCTGAAAGGAGAGTTGCTGACATGGCAGGAAGCACTCAGATACTTCAGCCAGCAAGCGTCTGATGTCACGCTCGCACAGATGTCAAATATCGAGCACTACCACAAGTGCAAGAATGCAGTGGAAGTTGAAAAACGAGACACCCATGAAATGAACGCATTGAATTCTATAGTGGCATCTGCAGCTTTAGAAGACAACGAGATTGAGGAGGGAGAGAATGGAGAACCACCTGAAGAGGCAGAAATTACTGAAGAAATGATTGAACAAGCTCGCAACTGTCAAGTGCAGCTCATCGACATCATGCATGGGCGCATCGCTGTCGAGATAGGAGAGACTGTCAGGTTATTTGCAACATTTCCGTCTATTCGGAGGCCAACAGCAAGACTGGCAACAGAAAATGATCTGGTACAATTGCACGAATGGAAGCAGGCCATGTCGCAACAAGTCGCATTTGCCCAACACAATGCATCACAAGCTGATGACAATGCACGGCATGGTCAGTTGGATACAGAAGGATCAGTACACCCACTTACAGCAACAGTGACATCATCTTCTGCAAATGTTCTCATACGGGAAGGGATCAGCGAGCAGGTGTTAACTCCAGCAGACACATCTATGTTGCTTCAAGATCAGAGGTGAGCATTTGAAATAATATCTTGGCATATGACAGAGATGCTCGCAGGCCGCCAACTGCATCAACTGTTGATGCTGATGCTCGGAGAAGGAGGGACGGAAAAATCAAAAGTTATACAAACAATCACTGAGCAGTTTAAAGCTGACAACGCAGATACAGAACTCATGAAGGCAGCATACACTGGCATTGTGGCATCTTTGATAGGGGGAAAAACAACGCATTCTGCCGCTGATATTTCGCTCAACGGAAGACCTCTATCTGAAGAGAGCAGATGAAAACTTACCGAAATGTGGTGGAACATCGACTACCTGATAATCGATGAATGCTCCATGATCTCACAGGCATTCCTAGCAAAGCTGTCGAGGCACCTCTCAATCGCAAAGACAGGAGAGGAAAACGAGGATCGACCTTTTGGAGGAATCAATGTAATACTGTGTGGAGACTTACATCAGTTTCCACCCGTGGCACAGAAGAGAAGCGCGACATTGTATTATGAAGCGGACATCACAGCAGGAGCCACAGTCGAAGACTGTTTGGGTCGACGCATATTCGAGGCATTTGAAATCGTAGTGCTGCTAAAAGAGCAAGTACATGTGACGGATATGGTATGGATGCAATTCCTTCACCATTTGAGACACAGACAAGTACGGACTGAAGACATCAAAATGCTCAAGGATCTTATCATCACCAGTCCCAGCTGCCCTCCCACAGATTTCGATTCATCCGAGTGGGGTGAAGTGGCTTTGTTGACGCCTCGCCATTGTGTTCGTATGCAATGGAATGATGCTGCAGTGAAAAAGCACTGCGAACGTACTGGGGTTCAGCTTCTCATCTCCCCGCAGAAGACTCTACCAACGGCAGACCTTTAACATCAAGGGAACGATTCGTGATGGCCAGCAAAAGATCTAAGCGCAAAGGATGCAACGAGAAGGCAGGTCTGCCTGACGAAGTCCAATTAGCTATCGGAATGAAGGTCATGGTTACTGTCAACGTACAGACAGAGCTTGACGTGATGAATGGTGCATGAGGGGAGATAGTCAACATCGTACTGCACCCCGACGAACCACCAATACCGAATTCTCCCATCATCAGATTGCAAAAACCTCCACTTTTCATTCTCATCAAGCTCACAAGGACGCGATTGACAGAGCTTGAAGGACTACCAGATGCCGTTATTCCAATTGAACCTATGGTGAAAAGCTTCTACGTTGATATGCCAATCCAAACACTGAATGGAAGAAAGATCCTGCACAAAAAAATAAATCGCCGACAGATGCCAATGACGCCGGCCTACGCATTCACAGACTACCGGTCTCAAGGACAGACAATCATGTACATTGTCGTGGACATCACAACGCCGCCTGGAGGAAGCATGTTCCTGTTCAACCTTTACGTCGCTCTCTCTCGCAGTTCAGGTCATCAAACAATACGGATCCTTCGGGATTTCGATGAAACGACATTCTTTCAACCTATTAATGAGATGCTAACAAAAGAGAATCAATGCTTGCAAGAGCAGAATACAAGAACCAAAACATGGTGGGAACAGATAAAAAATGGAGTTGCTCAGACACCGCAATGCCTGTCATCATAAATCATGGGCTAAGCGAAAGCGAGGTCGATGGCATCATCTTCAGAATAAAGTCGACCTCATCTTCTCCTTTCCAACGACATAGAATGCATTGGCATGCACGTGTCGCAGCATGAGCAGCCTCACCGTAGACAATCTCATGCTCGGGTTCATCTGGTGCAGCAGCGGACACGAATATATCGGTCAATATGCTGCAGCCTTGTCTATTATGCACATAGTTAGAAAACTACGTGCACTGGTCAACAATGTATCAGCCTTCTTATTCGGGTAAAAATCAATTACATCGCAGAATTGGTCGTTTGAGTGACACGAGAATGATCGACAACTAGGGAAGACTGACCGTACAGGTTTATTATGCATGATATCGAAGCTCGAGACTGCAGGGTTGTTATGAAGCGTTCCCTGTTAGAACGTTCAGAACCACGTGTGCTTTCTCACACGTACTAGTCCACAGCGTGGACAGAGACTCAGATACCAAATA